CAAGGAACAGGCGCAAAAACAATAATTATTTTGCAACCTCAAGCAGCTGCTCAGCCGACCCAACAAAAAATGGTAGCGGTTACGCCGCAGGGACAGCAGGTTGTCGTAACGCAAGTTTCGCGTCCCATCTTGCAAAGTCCCGCTCTCGGCAACATACCTCCGCCACTCGTTCCAACATCAGGCACAATTCCACAAACTTCCATAATAGTGAACAGTTCTGTAGCACAAACAAATCCAAATACAGTGACTGTCACGATACCCGCGATGGCTCAACAAACGCCAGTGTCTACGAGCGTGCCATCGAGGGTAGTGACGCCCACACCAGCCTCGACTCCACCACCTACCAGACCCACGACACCGCATCAAGCAGCTGCGACGCACGGATTGCCAGCGAAACAACCTGCTAAATTAATTAAGACTGTTAGTTCTTCGACCTCCACGGAGCCAGAATCTAAGCCGTCGACGAGTCAAAATCAACCGGAAAAAACTATTACGATAAAGATCGATCCTAATGCTTATTTATGCGAATGGCGAGGTTGTCTAAGGTATCATTGACATTTCATTCAATAATATTATGTTCCCTGTAGTAACACCAATTACTATTTAATCATATTTCCACAGGCAATTTAAAACACCACACGAAGTTTACCTTCACGTGTGCGAAGCACATTGTCCAACCGGGGGAGAAGAAATATTATGCCTTTGGGCAAGTTGCGATGCCTTGAAAAGGCGTAGATTCTCATTAATGACACATTTGTACGATAGGCATTGCAACGCGGAAGTAAGTAGACGCGTACAAGTTAATGGTGTCGAATACACGATTAAAGAACTTCGATTAATCGTCTGATTGTACATCTCCGCAGACTATGTCGATGAGAAGAAAACAGTTAACGGTAACTGGAAAAACGGAAGTTTCCACATCGACACCGCCGACTCCTCATCATCCTGGATATGCACCAAACGCAGCATTCCATGCAATTAAACGGCACGCTTTGGAATTCGTAAATCCGAAGGAATTAATGGTGGGTAATTCTGTAAAGTTGCGTACAGTTTAGTTACAAAACTAAGCCGTAAAATTTGGTAAAAAGAAACAAACGTAAAGCACTTCTCTGCTAATGGTGGTAACATCTCAGTAAAGTATTTCACACAAAGTAGCAAGAACTTTATATCTTAAAGTATTATAAGATATATTTATCTGCATCGATATTTCGGTGAATCCTTTATAGTTCCCATGGTTCATAGAGTCTATTGAGTTTTGTTAATATAATGAAATTTCTTATTCTCTTGGCAAAGCAGCAAAGGCCAACCAAGCCCGCTGCAGCCACCTCAAGCTCTTCTTCCCCCAGACCTGGGCAAAATCCTCCACCAGAACAGGTAAAAACGTGTTGAAAATTGAAAAAGGATTCACAATTCCACAGCCACAGCTCTTGTGTGCTGTTCCTGTCGTCTATTTTTTTTGCGCTTTATGTTCTTTTGTTTTCGCACCATGCTGTTCTTTTTTTTTTTGTTCTTAATCCGTACGTTTCAATATACATACTTTTAGCATGGACTTCATTATATTTTCATTTCGTAGCTAGCGTCGCTGTAATTTGTGTTTTACGCAGTTGAAGTGTATTTATTCATGATGAACAGGGTGTTGGTATGTTCGTTTGGATCAGCATAATGTAGAATATTTGTTATGCTTACGATATATACGAAAATCATCATTAATTAATGATGCAAGATTTTAACGCATTTAGAAAACTTTGTGATTGCAAGTTGTATACATTATATGTTTGTTCTAAAATAATAAGGCGTGAGAAATTAACAGAAACATGATCATTTTAGATGAAGTTGCTTTACTTTTTCTATATTTATATATTATTGTGTGATATATATAAGTACATTTTTTATTTATATTTTTATATGATTTTATGATAAATATGAAAAACTATTATTTATCCTGGCGTTTGACATTTTGTTTTTATGACTTTGTATTTTACTAATGTTCAGAACTGTTGCAACTAATTAATCCAAACATCATTGAATAATTGCTGTATTGGTGTCACATTATATTTGTTATAGCATTAAGTGAAAATGTGATTAGATGTCTACATATTTTTATTTTCATAGATACTTCAAAATGTAACATTTCATGTTTTTTGTTTTTTAACATATTGGTTTTTTTTTCCTCTTTGACAGGACGACAACGAAGGTCCAGTGACTAAAAGTATTCGTTTGACAGCCGCTCTTATTCTCAGAAACCTAGTCATATATTCAACACATGGCAGAAGGTGAAGTTTCTTCTGAACTTTTCCATCAATTTCAACGTAGAAGGAAAAAACGTAAAAGTAATTATGTTAATTTTTCTTTGCAGGCATCTTAGAGCGTATGAACCACATTTGGCAGGTGTGGCGTTAAGTAACGTTGAATCATCGAGAACAATCGCACAAGTTCTATACGATATGAATGATCAAAGCAACAGTAACCATAGGTGACCTCTTGAACCAGGCCTCTAAACAAGCTCTTTCACGTTGCGAGCAGCGATCAATTTTAAATTTTAGTGTGTAAAGTGAGAGAAAAGGAAGTATGATGTAAAATGCGAAAATTTGCAATTTCATTGCAAAAGTGTGTTTGTGCGTATTAAAAGGAAAGAAAAAATCAAGAATGGTCAAGAGGATGTACTAGGAAGAGGATACGGCAATGTTCCATATTATTAAAAGAGGCCTATAAACTTACTAGGCAATTTGATTTGCCGATTTAGATTATAATAATGTACTGTAAAACTAGTAACACAAACGAAAGACAGTAGTTGAAGTGATGCAGATCAGTGATAAACAAACAAAACAAAAAACAAAAAAAAACAAAAAACGAGATAATATTTCAAATTTAATATTAATATTTATTTTCTCAACAAGAAGCGGAAGAAATGTTTTTAGTAATCGTGTACAAAAAATGTGCGAAGAAAATACTTTATGGACGTTATAGTTAATTACAATCAATATTATATTATTATTATATTATATTATATTATTATTAATTATTATTAATATTATTATTGTATGTTTTTCATAAGTCACCAAGAAAACCTAGAATGTAAAGAAACCTTTTTATGAAATGTATTTGTTAGGAATTTATCATTTGCTTATAATTGCATATTGCAATTACATGGCTATATTATCGTCTCTCTTTGTTTTATTATCGAATAATCTTTATTGTCAGACGTTAGTAAGGCATCGCACATAACGTACACATACGGTTAGCGTTTACGGTGTGATTCATCGGGAATCTAAGAACTTCTTCTGCTTTAGATCGGATTTAGCTCAACAAAAAATGGAAAAAAGAAAAAAAGAAACCACTAACCGTTTTTGACTTCTGTAATTTTCTCAGATATGTAGAGATAACTTTTATACTGTTTCGGTAAACTGAGCCTGTCAGGAGTTGAATCGTTTTCCTAATTACATTATCATCCACAACAAGGTAACATAATCTGGTTTTCTGTGAATCGCAATGGTATTGTGAAAAATGACGAAGCATCCATAAAACTATGCACTTCAATTTGGATCAAAGATCAATTATTGCTTCCGAGTTATCTGTGTATTATAATGATACAGGTGTAAGTATATTTATATTTAAAATTAGAAAGGCCTAAATGTTCTTAAAGCCAGTCTTTTTCAAATTTTCAGCACTAAAATGGGAGGGAGAGAGACAGAGCAGAAACTAAAAGAAGCACTTTCCAAGGCAACTATGTCATGCCATTTTCTGAAGATCAATTCTATATTCGTTCTTGTTCCTTTTTCTAGACAGAAAATTCCTTTGAATTAAATACGATGCTTCTGCAGATTTGTTTAAGAAACCAAATTAGAGTTAAGTAATTCTTGTTGAGCGTGATGACAAAACCTTTCTTCTCATCACCTTGTTTTTCACTTATATTTTTCATATAAATTACAAAGAAATATTATCTACTTCTTTGTATCATAGGCTGTACAAAAAGAGGTGAATGAAACGAAAAAGAAAAAAAAAAAGATTTCGTGAAATGGTAATCTCAGTTATTTCGTAAAGTTGAATAGGAGAGTTACTAAATTTTTACTTTCTATAACTTGATTCTTCTTTGGAACCTGTTGTAAATTATAGCTCGCGTAAACGGATCTCTTTATTTCATTTCATCAGCGATTAAAAATAAACGAACATACAAAAATTTAACGTTATCAGATGTTCGGAAAAATAAATTGCATTTATAACGTGTGTCGTTAGTCGAGTTATCCAAGTACTCGGGCACGATCACGAATTTAAAAGTTAAGAACGTATTAGAATAATAAAATGCGGGAAAAAGAGTATATATATATATGTAATTATAAATATTTGTACATAATACCTGTGTATTTCATTCATCATGTTACGAGCTATGTGTAAATTTCTTAAGGGTGTAAGATTAAATGTTTGGCGAAGTGAAGTTAGAAAAAAAAGTCTGTATTATAATAGAGTTACGAGAAAACGGGAGTTGCAAAGGGTATGACATTTTTGTAATTATCAAACTGATACCAGGTCGTAAGCTGATATTTAACGTCGCAAATTATGAAACAATGAAATATGTGCAAGCCTCTATTATGTATTTTATATATAATATAGATTTGAAGATGTATATATAAAATACATAAATACACAAATATAAATATACATAAATCAAATTGGAATAGCTGAACGTTTAGAAGAGAAATCTTTATGAGAGGCTTTTTATTTTTATTATTTGTAATTACCTAGTTTACATGTTCACCGTTTCGTACGATCATTGAGATCATAACATATGTGTAAAAGAATAAAAGGATGATATAATAAATTACTAAATGCAAAAGAAAAATGATTAAACTTAAAGTAACGAGTTTAATTTGGAAGCTTATTGTAGATTGTGGAAACAAGGATTATTTTTTAATTAAATTATAACTTTATTGATTCAGCATGTAAAATATAAAAATAATACGATATATTAACGTATGCAACATAGTAATGAATACAGTTTTATAATTAGTGCTAGTACAGTCTTATAATTTGTTAGTTTAAAATTTACATTTTCATATAATTTATCGCAACGCTATATCTACAAATAGTATTAGAAATTTTATAGTCAATTTAAAAGTTGAAACATTAAATGTCAGTTCTTGATACTGGCAACAATGTATAAGCTTTTTTGTTACTTTTTTATATTACTTGATTAAATTAAGAACTAAAATACTACAATAGGCACATTTTAACTTAACACATATTTGGAATTTTGCAAGCTTTTGTTTTCCATTCATTAATTAACTTAATATACAAGCGTCTCCTCTTGTTCTCCTTTCTTCAATTACATTGTCTACAATAATTCTATTGTTGAATGAAGTACAAGAAACTGAGGTGGCAGTAGTAATTTGTAAATTGGATGACTGTGTACAAACAGTAGTTACTAAATTATTTTCTGATTGTAATGGTAAGCACTCGCAACTATTTTGATTTGAGTAGATATTTTGTTCGTCGTTATATTTTATGGGTTTTGATTGTTTGAACACAACAGGTATCTGCATTTTTCTCTTGGACAATTTACATTTAACCAACCTTTGGTCACATGGAATACACGAATCAATAATGCATTTTGGTTTAAAATTTATAAGTTCTGATTTCTTATGTTTAGATTTTAAACATTTATTACTTATACTCTTTGCTAAGAGTAACATCATGATAGCTTTTTCCTCATAAGTCAAAGATTCCTGCTCGTCATTTATTCCCTTATTATTCATTTCTACAGCATTGATTATCAATTTATCTAACATAGTTTTATTAATTCGTTGTGAACGTAAATTTTCTTTGCTTGTAAGACTGCTTTGGACACGACGGGAAATATAATAAACTTTGTTTTTGTTGTTTGCAGGATTTACCTTTTTAGATGTTGATGTTGAAAAGGATTTAAAACTCGAAGCGTCAATTATATGAAAAGATCTTATACATTGAATTTGTACATTATGTGTTCTTTTAAAATTATTAATATCTTTTCTGTGATCTTTATTCTCCTGCTGTCCTGTGAAATTTTTACAATTTTGCTCTACCTCCCTTTTATGTTTGCTTTTTTTAAGAGCTACATCTTGCTTCTTAATATCTTGCTCATCGTTATCTTTTTCAGGTTTTAATGTTGTATACTGCATACAGTTTACATAACTGGTGCTTTCTGATGGTTCCTGAACACAGATATTTCTTTTTTCAGGATTCTGTGTAATTATATCTCTTTGCTGTTCAGTATTATAAGTGTCTTGATATTCAGGAGCAGACATAAGTTTTTCAATTGTTCTCTTCTTAATCTTCATATTCTTATTCATGATTATCAATTGCTCTTCTAACGCCATCGTCTGTTCTTTAATTTCCTGTAACATTTTCACATATTCTGGTTTTATTATCTCTGCTAAATTTGCACAATTTTGTTTATATTTCGATACAGCAACATCATGCACCGCATTTAAGTAATTGCAACCCATATTTTTGCATCTTACTTCTTGATAGTGGTAATTTTCAGCATTTTGTTTATCAATATCTTTGTCTTCAAATTTTTTTACCCCTTTCAACATATTTTGAACTGTATCCAAAGCAGTATCAATTGTATTTATACATTTTTTTTCTCGTTCTCTATTATAGTGAAAGTTTTCAGTAGATTTCAATAAAGTACTTGTTGTAACATCATGCATACATTTTATATCGGTATGTGTACTTTTATGCTTATTTTCTCTTTTCGTAGTTGATGCAGAACAATTAGTTTTGGTACAAGTTGTATCAGTACAGAAATTTATGTCATCTTGATGTAAAAACTTTGTTAATTTTTTATTCCTTGATATGGTTTTGTTAAAAGTACTTTCTTCTAGTGAAGTATATTTATCATAATTATTTTTAGAAATATTGTACGATTTGTTAGTGCAGACGATATTTGCAATTTTATCATTTAAAACTACGTTGCTATTCTTGGAGAACGCTAATCTTTTTTTAGCTGCATTATCCAAAGCTTTGCTGTCATTTGATATTTCAGTGGAATGAACAGGATAATATGAAAATAGTGGGCTACTGTACCGAATCTTTGAAGTACTATTAGAGGCTAATTGTTTAGTACCCTGATTGCACTGTGCTTTATTTTGCACACCTACTGATTGTGACACATTCAACTTATTTTCTATGTCAAAGGCAGTATAATTATATTTCATTCCTAATGTTTGCAAGACATCAAAATGATTGTCGGTATTAAAATAGGTAGAATTGTACTTTGTGCCAGGAGAATTTAAACCTGACACAGTTGGCCTCTGTACATTAGTTTTGACTAAATCTTCATTATTTCGAGGCTCTGGTTTGTTCTCATTTTGTGCGTTTTCTTTTTGCACGTAGTTGTACTGATTGGAATGCATTTTACAATCTGAACGTAATATTATGTTAATACATGGAACATCACGCTGAATTTCTTTTGGTCGATTGTTACATCTGTAGTTACTTTCCACCTTCAAATATCCAAAACGTGACACTGCAATATCATCTACCATTTTCATCCCGCTTCTATCGGTTGTACCGTCATGCTCTTCGTTCTGCAAATATCTATTGATCAGAGCATGTTAAATGATACTTTATATAACCACATTTAAATCTACGTTAAAACTGTCGGGTGTCGAATTTAATGACCTGCAAACAAAAAGAAAGGCAATTTAATCATACGAGAAGTAATTTAAAAAAAGATGATATCAACCATGTAAAACTATCGCTTTAGTACTAATTTACTACTTTCAAATTTATTTATTTCATACCAAACAATCGCAAATTTTATAAACGTTAATTGAACCACCACAGAGCATATACAAGACACTTCGTTATACGTTCAGAGAGATTTTTAGCATTTGTTGGAGTTTTCAGAATTATTCCGTCTTGAAACATCTGCTTCGTTATTCGACACAGAAGGGAAAAGTGGTAATTTGTTGGACGATGATTCGTGAAAAATGGTTCTCGAGGGCAAACACTTGCAATCCATAGGAAAAGAATGTCGCTCATTTACAGATCGCGCAGGACTAAGTATACGGGAGTATTTGGGAATCGCGGTGTAAGGTTTCTTCAGCCAGTCTACTTGCCTGGCAGTTCAATTTTGATTTCTTTTTAATAAAATAAAAAATTTGTTACTGAATATTTATCTACCTGCGTGTCGCAAATCCTGTATCATTTGACTCGTTGGGATTTTGGTTGGTAGGATGTGGAGTTTGGACGAGTGAATCGGGAAGGCCTTCTGAGTGTCTAAAAACAGATATACAACCCTGATCCTGATTCCAATTCTATGTAATTAATAAAAACTTTCGTGGAATATACCTGCGACTTTCTTCATCTTTTCTTGCACGATCAAATCTCTCGTTTGTAACTTGCCTACGCAGTTCACTGATCTGTTTACAGTACTCCGCAGCCTGAGTCTGATATTGCCGGAGTTTGCTTGATTCCGACGATCTAAGATGTTAAATAAATCTGAAGATCTATCTTACCATCTATAATTTATTATAGAAAACAATTATTGCTTACAATTTATTTTGTAATTCAGACATCTTCTGTCTCAGTCTGGACATCTCGTTTTGGAGCTCCTGATTATTAGCCTGTGCAGTTATAGACTCTTGACGAGCTTGCTCCAAAAGCATCTCCAGTCGTTCAACCGTTACGCGATCTCTGTTCATCTGATCTTGGATCGCAACTTGCTCCGCTTTTAGTTTAGCGATTTGCATATCGTACTAAATAAAATTGTATACAAATTATCAAATTAATTCATCAATTTTCATCGTCTTTTTAGATTTACCTGCGCCTTGATCGCATCTTTATCGTCCATTTGTTGCATCAGTGTATCTTTCTGCTGATCCAATTTTACACACAAATCTCTAACAGCATTCAAATCGGCCTCTGTTCTGTGCCTCTGTTCTCCTTGTTGGCGCAACTGCGTTTCCATACTGGCGACATTTTGAGTTAATTCGCTGATCTATAAAACTTGTATTATTTTTTATCAGTGTATAATAAAAAGAAAGTTTTTAGCACGTCTACGTTGCAGAAATGAACACCTGAGTTTCATAGCCCCTTATCAGAGAATCCTTATCAGCCAATTGTCGTTCGAAATCTAACAGTCGATCCCTAGCCGAATGGAGCGCACCTCTTGCTTCAGCTGCTTCAGACTCCAAACTATGGTTATTGTTCTCCAAAACTGTCGCCTCCAAGCTCAAACTTCTGAAGTGATTCAACATCTCCGTTCTTTCGTTCTCCTACAAGCATCATTGTAAGTTTGATATTATTAAAAACAAGTTCTGCTGATTGCAAATACGAAATACCACCTTTCGATTGAGAAGCTCCTCAGCTCGACGAACTTCGCCAACGTAAGTTTGAAGTTGCCGTTTCAAATCGGAGCATTCGGCGCGGGACGCGTCTAATTCCCGTTGCAGATTTCTTACTTCGCAAGTAACCGCAGCTAAATCGTCTTGGACCCGTTGATTTTCTTGAATCGCATTCTCTCGATCGTAAGAGGCCGTGTGCAGTTGTCGTTGAAGATTCTCCACTTCCAGCTGCATCATTCTTAATTGCCTGTCTTGTTCGGCACTCTGATCGATGGTCATTCTATAAAAAAAGAAAAAAAGATTTTATCCCAGCAAACAGTAAGGATGTCTGACCTCGTTTTTGGCTACAAAGATTGCATTAAACATAGGAACGTTTTCATCAAACCTACTGTCATCGTTACTTCATAGTATTAATATTAAATCCGTGTCTATTCGATTATGAGAATTGCACGCACATCCCTGGATGGCGCAAGCGTCTTTCTCGAAAGAGGACAAGGGCGGCACGTCGAAAATACGTCGATGAATTAGGTGCCTATGGGAGTTGCTTCATTCTTTCTCGAAAATATTTACGTCGCCAGATTTCCTTTCGCTTGTAGATCACGTAGCCTCCGAAACGACCTTATTAGGTACCACAAGTTAAATACGTAAGGACAGGAATCGGAGAAAACCAGTGATACGTACTTAAAACATTTTTTCAATTACCGATGGCTTAAACGATGTTACAATAGGTATACCGTAAGTATATCCTTCCAAATAATATCCTGTTGTATACATAAATTTAACGCTATCGTGAAAATTCTATATTAAAAAGTCCGTGTAATCAATTGAAAGCGTGACATTTTAAATTTAAAGTTTAAGTAATCGATCATCGATCGACCGTGTCTCGATTACGCGTCTGCGCATTACGCAAGAGATGTTCACGCGGACGCATGGTCGGCGTGATTTGAAAAGAAAAATGTTCGAACAAACGACTTTCTCTCATCTCGTGATCCTTCCTTGATGCTAGCAGCTTCTTTCGATGGTACGTATCTTTTCCTCTGTACAAAAGTGAAAATAAACGTCTCAGTTGTTAACGCGTCGTAAGAATTTCTTTATGCAATTTCAAACTGACAACGAGAAATAGTATCTCCAACTAATTTTCCAAATGTTTTCTTTTCAGGAGTAAATCGGACTGGAACTGTGTCACGAACATCACGAAGAAATACGATGAGATATATAACTGAATTGCGCAACGAACGGATTTCCATTACCAGCAGAGTTATATCAGGTAATCAAGAATAACCTGAAAATAACGTGCTATTACAATACGTTTCATTGTTACGATACTTATTTCAGGTGCAATGAATAATGCAAAGGTCAACTTCTACTAACACGAAGAGGAATATACGTACTTTAAAGGAAAGGGAAATGAAAATGCAATAATTTACTTGAATTAATATGCCTCATAAATATGGATAAAATGATCACGGAAGTTCACCCCGGTACTAATTACAACAAGACTTTACTGATTTTCCAACGAAGTACTTTCATAATCAGTGATGGAAACCTTAGGCTGTCGATGGTCATACATATCTTATGCTTTCTACAAAACGAGAAGATACTTCTTTTCTACCATTTACGTAATCTTTTCTATACTTTCAAATTTTCAATTTCACATGTTACGTTATTCTTAAAAATGCAATTTATTTACTAATAATTTTAGATAACAAAGAAGCCGAAAGAATTTAAAATACAAATGCGACAAAGAAGGTCATCGTACGTCCGTTTCATCCCGTTAGACTTCGTCATCGAGCAAGACGTACTTTCGTTCTCGTTCATCCTAAAGAATGTCCCTGAAATCGAATCCACGATAGAGAAGCCTGTTCGAGGGAGCTCTCCGGTTATGTTACACGAACAAGATTCCCTACTGCAATCGCTCACGGTTCAAAGATTTCGAATTCCTTACAGAAAATTTCCAAGCCAGTTGATGTAACAAGCTTGATCTTGAAGAGAAACGTGGTTACGTTATTTATCAGGGAACGACAACATTTCTTTCTAAATTCATTTTCTACTTCATTGTAAAGCCAAAGAAAAACTGAACGGAGTGCATCGTCCTAAGGCCACCGCCTACATCGATCGTCTTTCGAGCAGAATTCTATTCTACTCGATGTCAAAAGGAGCGCCCTTTTAGAGATGCCGTTCACCTTTACCGTTACAGGTAAAGGGCATTGCACGGTTCCTCGAAATGCAGGGAACGTCAGCACGTGAGAAGCACTCGCAACAGGATGCAGAAGAAGAACCGTTGTAATCTCTTCGTGTCTCTCGACTCCTAGAGATTACGTGATCTCTTGGAAACAGGGTCCACCGTTGTCCCGAATCTCCATATAAAAGCAACCTTTCGGCTCTTTCCTCGTGCAATTACATACACATGACTTTCCATAAAAGGTTCACTTGATTTCATTTTAAAGTGAGATCAAGATGACTCACGGTGGTACCTTCAACATGTTATGTCCGGTTGATTATGACAGTGGAATGTATTATATTACGTCGATTTTGTAACTCGGAATTACGTAACGGGTTAGCCAGTTACCCGATCTACGCGTGTAGAGTCAAATATTTAGTTAGACGAAGGTTCCTATTTTAACTTAAATGATGATCGAATCATCCTGTGCCGGTTATGTAACAGGTACTTCACCCTAACGGTTGCTGGTTAAGTCCCATTTCCGAATACTTTTACCGAATACCTATATTTAGATGTATATTTAATGCTTTTTAAATATTTCAGGTGCTACTACCTTTTCTTAACTTTTAAAAACCTTGCTTTACAAAACCCATAAATCTTCATTTATATCTTTAATGGATATATCTGTTACAACTATGAATTGTAAGTAATTTGTAGCGTGGTATTAAAAAGTTTGTTTCCAGTTTGCTGCCTCACTTTATAACTTTCAGCTCCGGACCATGAGAGTGTAAATCATTTGATTTATAAACTACTAGGTGTGGCTTGTAACTAATTAGACTAGACTCTTGGGGATCAACTTGTGTTGCTCAGTTTAGAATTCGATGCAGAGATACTGTCATCAGACAGGATGATTAAGATGCAGCAGTGTATGTATAGGTGGTGAAGAAGAGTATATCGAAGAGGAAAGGAGTAAAGTAAGTTTCAGATTAATCAAAAGTTATGCAATGGATGCTTCCACGAGGACGAATACTTTTCTCTCCTCTTCGTCGGAGCAACCTTTCGGAGGTCAAGAAAGACCCGGTCGATTGCGTTGAAATTTCGCAACCGGGAATTTTCAACGAAATCAATGATCCACGATATTGCAACGTGATTGTGCAAATCACATCGAGTGGATTCTGGAGAAATTGGGAAATATTGGGCCCGGATTTCATTCCCATTGTATCATCGAACGTTAGGAAACCCACGCACGATACCCTACTAGTTCTTTAGCTCACGGAACTATTGCAAATTCAACTGAATCCTGATAGACTAAGCCGGATCTAAGATATTCTCTATATTTGTTTCTGTATTCGAAAAACGTGCTAAAAGAGAATTTATGGAATACAGGTTACTCGTGGATGGATTGTAAGATGCTTTTTAAGGGTATTTCTTAAAGATCATACTAGAGGACATAAATATATTTTCCACAAAACCTGCAAGCAAAATAGAGGTGATTGAACTTGAAGAAATCATTGTAAGAAATTATTAAATCTTTCAATTACCATTACAGATAATTAAAATCTCAATGGGAGTGACTGTCAGGGAGGATGAAGGAAAGAAGGAGGGAGCAGGGACTAGAATTAGGTTCCTGTCTCGGAGAAGTTAGGTAACAGCATGTTGCCGCAGAGTTGATTCCAAGTGGTTGCTTCAGTCTGGCAGTGGTATTCGAGCGAACACCATCGTTTTCATTTCGCGCGACTCGCGTCAATCGCAGGATGTCAAACGACGCCGATCGAAGGATTAGGTGAACTTCAGTGAATATCGGTGATGTGATTACCAGCAGGCAGACCATCATCATGTTCACCATGAAATCCTCATTGTAAGTCAACCCTTCCTATTATATCATAATATTCTTTTTTCATATGAAAATTAAATTTTCAAACTTGTATTTAAATATCTATTGCTTGCATTTTGTTTAGGTAAATATAAATAATTTATAATTATTTATATGTTAATTGTTTGAAATAGAAATTTGGAAGGTGATCATAAAGGGCGTGAATGAAAATGAGAGTTTAAAAACGAACCCACTATAAAGAGATAGTGCAACTCTTAGCAAGAAATTCTATCATTTCTTCGTACATTTCTTAGGAGATAATTTCTCTAAATAATATATTGCAAAATTTCAAAGCAAAAAGTCTTTGCCATTTTGTTGCTAATTTTTTTTCTAATTCAATATTCTGTCATTATGAACGATTATACCCTATTCACATAACGATTCAGCGGTAGACTTATGGTGAAAGTTGCATAACAAGAATGAGTAATTTCGAAAGGTCGTTTCGCATCTCTAACTGAAAATGTCACGGCACGATCTTCGTAAGATCAAATAGTAATTTAATTCATCGTATTCGTCGGTGGTTACGTCTCCTTATGTAATTATCTTAGTGGAACGATTTAAGTAGGACATAATGATACGCCTTTTAGCAGTCAATTAGAACAACAATGGAAGGAGTTGATACAGTCGCTTCAACAAATGAAACACCGAATTAATTTCAAATTATTAGAATAATAATGAAACGTTTGTGTAGTAATTTATATTAAACTTCAAGCTTCAAATTGCTGTGGCATAAGTACTATTTTGACATATTTTTATGTCATGAAACAGGCTCAGAACTATTTTTCGCAAAATAGAACAGTTGCTTAATACTTTGAGAAAGCTAGTTGGCAATGAGAGTAGAAAATGGAATAATTATGACGATCCCTTTTTCTGAACATTTTAGGTGGTATTGTCTTCAAATATAGGTCGAACTGCGCGAGGAAAGAGCGGAACTATAAAGCGTCTGCTAATGATATAACGTTGTTGATTTTTATCGCATGTTACATTATGAGTGAACATTATATAACGTGCAAAAAAGTGGAAAGGAGCTTGAACACGAATGAAATATGAAAATATTGAAAGGTGTCGAGAAACTAGTTCAAGAAGAACAATATAACAAAGGAGTTTTATTTGAATTGTTGCTATCAATTGATTTATGTTATCAATGGTCAGTTCCTGTATGAATAATACAAGTTCATTGATGAATAAATGACAAAAGAATCATACCTACATCTGTCCAAACAGCGACAAGGATAATTATTCGAAGAACTCATAATTATCTTCTTTTGTGAACAAACGAAACTAATGATTTTTTCTCTATCACAAAACAAGGGTTACTGAAACATCCACTCTAATAATTTTGTACAAAATATGCCATAATTATTGCAAAATTTCATCTCTATAGTTACGTGATATTGAAATTCAATTGTTTATTATTCTTCCAGGTATTTAATTATTTCAAAAATGGTATACACCATAAAAGCAACAAACTCTACAGAGTAATCTGAGACTTCGTTTTCAAAATAATAAACGATTAAAGATTTACTGTCCGACTTCCGGGATGCTGCTCTGGCAATTAGTCATTGTAAACGATCATAGTAATTAATCTTCATATTTTGCGGATGCAAGTGAACGTGAAAGTTGTTCATCAAAAATGTTATTACCAAGCTTCGATATAAACAAAAGTACTTTTACTTTCAAGTATTCTACAATTAAACAGTTACCAAAGAATGCACTTCTAAAAGAAACTTTCTTACAATTCAACCGGCACCAGTGAAATTTTGATATGTTTCGAGAGAAATCTCAAAGATTAAACGTATTACATATTCCTTCGAATTTTACACTGCAAATGTTCATTAAATTCTTCGTAAATGAAATGAAATATTGCTCCTCTACTATTATCAAAAGCTTTATGATCTATGTAGAAATTCTAATAAACCTAGTACGGAGAGAAGGTGTAAATATTTGTTGTCTGGATTCATCTCTAATACTCTCACTTTTTATTTGCGCAAAGCCGTCACACCGGCTTGACAATGAGGGGCAATAATTACACAGGAAAAAGGAAGCATGATACTTTGCAATACACAGTCATTTTCCAGCAACTGTGCGACTTTCCTTAATGGATCTTTTATTCTGATCCATGCAATACTTCATCTTTTCATCTTAGAAAGAAACTCAAGCTGAAACTCCAAAATTTTCTTTGATCAAGATCATAGTGAACCCATTTCAGACACCTGTGATTTATCAGCGAGAACAATAAATGAAAAAGTGTAATTAATAAAACGATAGGAAACGATCAGTGAAAACTCGTTCTGTAAGTGCAATGGAAAGTCGTGAAAGAAAGCTTGTCTAGCAACTGTTAGAATTTAAGTGGCAAAGTTCCTCACATTCTGTAATTACTTCCTTGATTTTCGGAAGAGTGTGTATAAATCATTTCAGACAAATCTCCTCGATCGCTTCAAATAATTCAACTTCTTACATAGGAAAGAAAATCACAGAAAGATTCTTCAGATCCTAAACATTATGAAATCATCAATCATCAATTATAAAATGTAAGATATCTATGTTGGTATCCATCGGATGTCGTTAAAAATAATCGGTCGTTCAGCAACGTTTAGAGTAAACGAAAGAAAAAGAAAAGAGGAAAGTGTTTTTGCTTTCAGTTTGGCAACACTTGCGAGGCATTCGTACAGAATGGTATTCTTATTCTATATGCATGTCGTCATCTTAAACCCTGCCATCAGGGACAATGCCATTGCCATAGTGAAACAGTGAAAGTATGGTCATTTTATTTCTGTCGTGCTTTTGCTCTTTCTTACCGTACCCTCGATCTTGACACACGTAGTACACGTACTCGCAAACGCGTGGCCGTGTGTTTTCTAACACAATTATTATTTTCCAGATTTTTACAGAAGCCCTCGATAATAAAAGTATGCGATTCATTTGAAGATACGATTCCGCTTGCAAAACCAGATCTTCCATTCTACTTTTCATGATTTCTATCTTCTATTCCAGTTTCTATGATTTCTATTCTTTTTTGAGTTTTCATTCTCTTTTACTGTTACTGTAACTCATACCTATTATACGAAATATTATCAGTGTTAAATCTGGAATACACGTGTAAATTCATCGTGAAATGTTTTCCAGCAGTGTACGAGACTTGCTAGTGGTCATTTGGTTCACGTCGATGGTTCAACTTCGCGCGAGGTCAGCGATAATGCCTCCACCATGGGCAGATCCGTCGAGCAATCCCTGCGCCGCACAACCACGTGGTTGGCAATTGTTATTTTGGCCGCCGGATGGAAAGTGTTACAAAATATTCCAGGCAGGTGCTGCATTTCTCTTTAAAGAGACACGCGTGTTCTCCTGATAGAACGTACATTAGAAGCGACTTTCCGTGGTCCTTTTTCTTTCATTCAACACCAGTCATCAAATTCTGAAACATGTTTCTTCGACAGATTGGGCCACCGTGTCCGGAAACGATGGAACTAGGTCCTGCAGCAGGTGGAGGTGGAACTGTGGCAGAATGCAGATGCCCTCCAGGGACTGCACAATCCCCTAGAGACGCTCTTTGCCATCCAATATATACCAGAGCATCTTGTCCAAGCGGACAGTTCTTTGAACCTGTACCAGAGACTTCTGGGAAGTCCAGGTAAGCTATAACTTGCAGGTACTACCGGTAAATATCTTAGAAAGCAAGTATCTAAGAAGATATTTTCATTTAAAATAAAGATGGGGCGTCTGCCGTGAGCCAGAGCCATGCACAGAGAAAGGAGAAGTGTACTGGCCTAGAGATGGCAAGTGTTATCCTAAATTTAGCAGAGGACCATGTCCAAAAGGAGAAATTCTTGCTACGGACGAAGATGGATTGACTATATGTTCCTGCTCTACAACTGGTGAATTGGGAAGATATCACTGGCCTGGGAGTGTAGGTGGCTGTCACGAGCACTATACCAAAGGTCCCTGTACAGAACCTGGAGAATTATTCTTGCCTGGTGGTTCGTGTGGTTGTCACTCTAGGTTACCTCATTATCATGAACCAACTAGAATGTGCTATCAGTTAGGTAAGATAAATCACCATGATAAACTTTGTAGTATCGTTGTTCCATGATGTTAATGAATTGTTGATTTATCGATAGGTGGTATTGGTCCATGTCTCAAAGGGCACTATTATGTTGTAACAAACTCAGCATCCAATGAAGATACAGCTCGGGCCAGTTGCGTGTGCAAGCCAGGTCATGTCCTCTATAAAAATGGATTTTGTTATAGACTCTATACAAGAGGACCTTGTGAACCTGGTTACATGTTGATGAATTCGACGGGTTGCGCTCCTGTACCTTGCAAACGTGGAAGATTGTACATTCCGCAAGAAAAAACATGTTATAAAATAGGAACTAGAGGGCCATGCCCTAATGGACAGATCGTTCTATACGATTATAATGTACGACCATCTATTGATGGAATTAGTTACAATGGCATGTGTGGATGCACCAACATATTCAAAGACTCTGAAAAATGTTCTGAAGAAAGTAACGATAGCTGTGAATCTACACCAGGAATGGTAGAAATAAACAAAACTTGTTATAAGTTGTACACTCAAGGTCCATGCACGGCAGGAGAATGGTTGGTTGCACGAAGAATGCCAAAACCAATATTGTGGGAAAGTAAAGAATCAGAACCTAGAGCTCGATGCGAATGCAGGCCTGGGTACAAAAGAATCACAGAAAATTCAGAAATTTCTGAATTAGAAAATAATAATCTCCTCTCACCAGGTAGTTGTCAACCACCTACGGTGAGCTTAGCAAAATTTCTTAACGAAAACGTGAAGTCGATAAACCTTTCGGTAAGAGAAATTGAACTAGCAGTACATTAGTGATAAAATGAACTGCGACACGCAGAAGCTGTGTGTAAATTTTTAAGTAATATATGTAAATAGTATTGTACAAATGTGACGCGTGAAATAGTTGTAATATCACCGCCTAAATTTTCTAAGAATTTTTATTTATTTAACGACTTAAGGCTAGGAAATTTTTCATCGTTTAATTTTATCATGTTCGAAATTTCATGAAAATTTATCTATGCCGCAGTAAATATAGTATTTTACCGATTAAATTTTACCATTGTTACTAAAAACGTCTTGTAAATATATAATTTATAGGAACATTTTTTAAATATAAATCTTTTAGAGATGATAGGTACTCACTCATTTTTTTGCTGTAATTCACGAATCTGCTGTTCACTTCCCATTACCTGTTGATCTTTCAGCATTATTTCTTTCTCTAAAGCAGCTATCCTCTCCGTCTTCTCATCCAACACCATCTTAACAAAGATTATTTATTTTTATCATATATGCACTTTACTATCCTTCTTTTTCCATTATAATAAAATTATTGTATCTACGTTACTTACCAATAATTGATCTTTCTCATGATCCAAATGTGTCATCTTTGTTTTAAGATTACAAATTTCTTGTTGCAATTCCTTCACTTGACTTTCAAGTTGCAACTGCTGTCGTTCCATCGCTCTACTGCGATCAAACGCCTTATTTAATTCAGACTCTGATTGTGTTAATTGATTCTGTGCATCGTTCAGTGCCTGATCTGTCTGATCTTGGAGGGCCCTAATATATCGATTGATACATTTATTGATTTTAAAACGATACTACGTTGCAAGAAAAATTATTTTCGACTATGTTATACTTGCAATAATTTCAAAATTTTCTTCAACACTATACCATCTACTATTCGCAAATTTTCTTTTCTAATACACAAAGTAAGAAATACCGAAGTTGGAAATATTGTGTCCGTTGCGTTCCTAATTCTTGCTTAGTCCGTTTTAGCTCTTCTCGCAGATCTTGTAATTGATCTTCCAGCCCCTTTATGGTTGCTCTTCGTGATCCCTGCGTAAGTAAAAGTTCTTGCCGCTCCTTTTCTATCTGTTTCAGTCGAGCTTCAACATCAGTTAAGTTTTCCCGCAAACGATGTTGTTCAGAAGTATGTGCTTCTGCTGCCATCTAATTAATTATTAACCATGTATACAATAACATTTTATCAAATTTATTTAATTACCTTTAATCGTTCACGTAATGCATCACGTTCCTCTATTAATCGTTCAACATCCGCTCTAGCAACGTCTCGTTCATGTTCCAACCTTTCGATGATACTCTGAAATATTTCATTTTTATCAAGTCAATCGGACCAATTGTCAAAAGACAATTTTACCTTTGTTTTACTAATATCCTTCACAGCTGAGAGAGAACAATTACACGAATTACCACGTTTACACACATTACAGGGGCGACAAGACGATTTATGTTCAGCTTTATAATTCTTCAAACGCATCTCTAAATTAACTTTTTCACGATACAGTTCTTTTTTCTCCCTCTGTAATTCATCCACTGCACTTTCTTTTTCGGTTAACTGAAGTTTCAATTCTCGAATTCGTGTCCACAGATCAGCCTGTTTCCACAAATAGAAATAATAATGATGAATTTTAAAAAAAAAGTAGTAGCTGAATAAAAATAGTAGCTGAAAAAAAGATCTTACATGATCTTTATCAATCGTTTTATTATGGTAATCTTTAATTTTATTATATTCGTCTCTGTAGAAATCTCTCTCTCGTCCTAATTGTTCAACCGTTTGCTGTAACTAAAATATAATAACTGTAGACGTAAAAAAATGAACAAGCACAAATACTTCTCAAAATACGTACATTATTTATTTGAGTCTCTTTCTCATTCAACTGTCTCAGTACATTGTTGTACCAAACACCATTCTCATTTTGAATTTCTTTCTCTTTATGCGTTTCATGAATCTCTATTCCATTTTGTCCTGATAATTGCGAATAAATATACATATAGATATCTGATTTTACTTTTTCTTGTATAACATTTTATAATCTTACCATTGTTGTCATCATTCCTTTTGCCTTTTTCTCTTGTTCTTTTTATATTTATTATATCATTATCTTTTAAAATTTCCATCATGTTCATTTGATCTTTTAATAATTTATTGCTATATTGTAACTGAATAATATCTTGTCTTTGTTTTTCATTTTCTCTGGCCAATCTTTCTATTTCATCATTTAAGTTTGTTTCTGTTGCAATTTAAGAAATATTTATTAATTATAATACTTCAAATTTAATTGTACTTATTAATTGAATAAGAATAAAAATTCTGCATACCAATTACTATTAATTCATTTATCCTATCTGTCATCTGTTTTTTCTCATCTAATGTAGATTCCAAAGTGTGTTTAATGTTATTTTTTTCCATTCTACAAACTTCAAGGTCTGCTTTCAATTCTTGCACTTCTCTACGTTCGACAGTTAATTCACCTTCTAATACATGTACTTGTGTCATTACTTCTTCTAATTTTTGCTAAGTAAACATAAATAACATAAAAATTAATATGAAAATATAAATCTTGGTTTATAAGTTGTTACTATTTACATTATTACCTGTAGTTTAGAGACTCTTTTATTAGTTTCTTTAACTGTAGAATTACAATCAGCTTCTACAGCTAATGCTATATGATCTATATCTCTTAACTCTTTTTCTAATTCTTCGTTCCGATCAGCAAGTTTAAGCGCTTGAGTCATAGCATCGTGTTGCTTATTTAAGGCTTCTATAAATAACGTAAAATATGTATTTATAAATAATAAAGCACTTTTATATAAAGACTACATTAATAAAAATCTAATTTCTTTACCTTTTAACTGCTGTTCTAATTCTAGCTTTTCTTGCTGAAGAATCTTCAATTCATTAACATCTACATTATCTTTGTCTGTCTTTTTACAAAGACAATCTTTAAGTACAGCAGTATATGGTCTGCCTCCATCTAACATCTTCTTCAATCTCATAATTTCTTTTTCCTTTGTAGCTAACTGTAAATACATTCTTATAATATACTTAGAATTATACTTACATTTATATTATATACATGCACTTAATTTCTATGGATATATTACTATGTGCTAGTAGCTGCAATTAATGGTGATTGTAGCAAATCCAAGCAATATAATGAGAAACAGGAATAACCCAAATCCATGCAGATGTAATTAATTGACAGTAATATACCTGACTCTTTAGTGTATGTACATTTTCAGTTTGTAAAGAGAGTTCTCCCTTTAATTTTGTTACCTCATGACTCAAACAATTCATTTTATGGTCTGCCATGCTTAACAAATCAACAACTTTTGGTTCCACTGTGCTTAAATTTGGCAATGGGTTTTTACTTTTAGAGCCTGTTCTTGGTAATGGTTCACCTTCTATGACTGGTCTTCGAAGTGGAAAAACAGGACGTTTTTTAGAAGCTGTATTAATACATTTTTTCTTTTAATAACAATAATATTATTTGGAAAAGTGAGCTAAAATATATCAGATGGTAAAAATTGTTTACCTAAGCCAACATTACTAATAGTTGGCTTTAAACATTTCCCTTGAAGTTCTAAAATTCTCTTAGACTTCTTGGAAGATTCAATCTCCAATTCCTTAATTCTATGCAGATTACGAGATGATGCCAACTGAAGATCATTACATTCATGCTCCAATTTATAAATTTCCTTTTTAAGATCCTTAATTTGTTTCTGATGACTTTCCTTTTCTTTTATCAAGTCTAAATGCAGCTGGTTACATTCTTGTACTAGTCTTACATTATCACATTTATAAGGATCAATTATGGATTTTAATTCTACATGTGCCTATATGTATATGAAAATATTAAATGACATAAAAATCTATCTATTGTTTTACACATAGGGAGTTCTAAAAGTATGTATTATGTAGCTTTATATACAACATTTATCCAATATACCTTTGACTTCTAAATGTACAAACCTCAATATTTTCTTGCGCAATGCTTTTAAAATGTTTCAAGCTTTCTGTTGTTTGTAAGAGATCGGCAAGCAATTTTTCTATCAAAGGAAGCCCATCCACGGTAAGTGCCTGCTTATATCCTAAACTATCTAAATGCTTGCGAACAGTTCTATATCTGGCTGCTACATTATACTCCTCCTCCATACTCATTTTCATAAAATTTATAAACAATTTACTTATCGCAAAATTTATATCAAATTCAAACGACTTTTCCTTTATTTAAAATTTATTTTAAAATAATTGCATGTACAATTCATTGAATAATACTTAATAAATATGATAAAACCAAAATGTTAAACAGCATTATAAATTAATTTCGTCCAGTCCATAAATTTGTTATACAAATTTTTCTTTTTAAAACAATTACTGTTCCCTCATTGCAGTCATGCATCTTCTTCCATTATTTATATACATAATACTGCATAATACCAACAATTATTGCTCACTTTCCTCAACAAAAACAAATTCGTGAAGGTGATGGGAGCGTCGAGGCTGAACTTCGAATTCTGTGTCGGTAAAACAGTAATTGATAGAACATCGTTTGTGATTTACAAATATATCATTCTCATGGTTTGTGAGTGAATAATTTCTTAATTATTTACAAGTTTGTTTTATAATAAATCCGGTCGCATCCGGTCGTACCCATCACTACATCGAACAAGTGAGTTTTACGATTTGTTCGTTTTTAGGTCTTATATTTCGCTAGATCCGGTCGTACCCATCACTATTTCGAACAAGTGAGTTTCACGATTTGTTCGGTTTTAGGTCTTATATTTCGCTATTTGCTTCGGGGTCCCTGACACCCCGGTGGCATAATATCCATATGCAGCGTCACCGGTACCTCGGGGTCTCAGATACCCCGAATGCTGTAGTGTCGGTAAGCAAGGAGTGTCGTCGGTGCTTCGGGGTCCCTGATACCCCAGTTGCCATAATGTCAGTATGCAGAGAGAGTCACCGCTACTTCGGGGTCCCAGACACCCCAAAATCATATTTCGGTTTACAGAGAGTGCCACCGACATATCGGGGTCCTTGATACCCCGGATGCCATAATGTCGGTATGCAGAGAGAATCACCGCTACTTCGGGGTCCTAAACACCCCAAAATGATATTTGGGTTTACAGAGAGTGCCACCGATACACCGGGGTCCTTGATACCCCAGATGCGAAAATGTCGGTATGTAAAGAAAGTTACCACCGCTTCGGGGTCCCTGGCACCCCGGATGCTATATAATTGGTAGGCAAAGATAGACTCCGGCGTTTCGGGGTCCTTAATACCCCAATATCATATCAGGTCGGTACGTGGAGGCGTCATTGGCGTAGCGGGGTCTCTGAAACCCCTGGATAATATCAGGTCCGTATGAAGTTGGCACAACAAGTTTAATTTTTTTCCAGAGTTTATTTAATTTACTTCGTTTATTTTTTTTGCTTATTAAATAAGCTCATCGAAGCAGAATAATATTTATGATTATATCCCTCTTCTGGGTCTCAGCCGAGGACCCCATTTATTTTACTTTTTCCAGTTATTTATATAATTTTATCCCTCACTATAGGCCAAGGCCATCTCAGTATCCCTTACATCCCTGCAACCCTTAAATACCCTTTTTTTTTTTTTTTTGTTTTTTTAACGTGGTGGAAATCTTCAGAAAGACACCTTCAGCCCCCCTGGGGAGGAGCCGGAGGTAGTGTGGGATTTTTACCCACTAAAACCACCACGGTGGCCTGCACTAGGGCGGTAGGGAGGGTCCTTTGACCCTCCGCCATGTGCCAAACTCCGCCGACATCGGGGGCCACACCCGATGCCGGCACTCCTCGGACCGCGAGCAGTGGAGACCGGGGCCCCAGCCCCGGACCCCTACGGAATTCCTTTACATCCCTCGTTCCGTTACATCCCTGCATTCTTTTCATCCCTACATTCTTTTCATCGCTTCATCCCTTACATCCCTACATTCTTTTCATCGCTTCATCCCTTATATCCCTACATTCTTTTCATCGCTTCATCCCTTACATCCCTACATTCTTTTCATCCCTATATTCCTTTCATCTCTACATTCCTCTCATCGCTACATTCTCTTCATCCCTACATTCTTTTCATCCCTATATTCCTTTCATCCCTATATTCTTCGCATCCCTACATTCTCTTCATCCCTACATTCCTTACATCGCTTCATCCCTTACATCCCTACATTCTTTTCATCCCTATATTCCTTTCATCCCCATATTCCTTTCATCCCTATATTCTTTTCATCCCTACATTCCTTACATCTCTTACAATAAATATATTATAAAGACTGTTCGAGTTAAGGTAAGTAAAGGTAAGTAAAGGTAAGTAAAGGTAAGTAAAGTCTTGTAAAAAATAATTTCAAATTTAAACTTTTGCAAAATTTAGTTCCTTTTTTTACCGCCAGATGGCGCTGATCCGACGTCGAAAATTTAGTTCACATTTTTGCCGCAAGAGGGCCAAAATTTTGGCATGATTTAGTTCCTTTTTTCGTCGCCAGAGGGCGCTGATTCGACATCGAAATTTTGCGCCCTCTGGGGGCGAAAAAAGGAACTAAATCATGCCAAAATTTTGGCCCTCTAGCGGCAAAAATGTGAACTAAATTTTCGACGTCGGATCAGCGCCACCTGGTGGCGAAAAAAGGAACTAAATCATGCCAAAATTTTGGCCCTCTAGCGGCAAAAATGTGAACTAAATTTTCGACGTCGGATCAGCGCCATCTGGTGGCGAAAAAAGGAACTAAATTTGTATACAATTGCAGAGCTTATAGCCGCAAAAATTTCAACTTAATTTCAGGGAGGTACTGGGATCTATGGAGTGCAGGAATATAAGTAATACAAGAATGTAAAGGATACAGGCATGTAAGGGATGCAGGGATGTTGGGATATAAGGAAGGCAGGAATGTGAGGAATGCAGAGATTTAAGGGATGTAGGGATGTAAGGGTAGCAGAGATGTAAGGGATGAAGAGATGTGAGGAATGTAGGGATGAAAAGGATGCAGGGATGTAAGAGATGAAGAGATGTAAGGAATGTCGGGATGTAAAGAATAAAGAGATGTAAGGAATGGAGATGTAAGGAATGTAGGGATGTAAGGAATGTAGGGATGTAAGGGATGAAGCTATGTAAGGAATGTAGGGATGGAAAGGATTTATGGATGAAAAGGATATATGGATGAAAAGGATGCAGGGATGTAAGAGATGAAGAGATGTAAGGAATGTCGGGATGTAGGGAATAAAGAGATGTAAGGAATGGAGATGTAAGGAATGGAGATGTAAGGAATGGAGATGTAAGGAATGGAGATGTAAGGAATGGAGATGTAAGGAATGGAGATGTAAGGAATGGAGATGTAAGGAATGTAGGGATGTAAGGGATGAAGCTATGTAAGGAATGTAGGGATGGAAAGGATGTATGGATGAAAAGAATGTAGGGCTGAATAGAATATAGTGATGAAAAGAATGTAGGGCTGAAGAGAATGTAGGGATTTTGTATAGATGGCTTAACGGGTTAAATTACCTGTAGGCGACAGGTCGGTAAGTTGCCCAGTAGTTTCGGCCGGTTTTATATAGATGACGCAGAAGTTTGTGATTAACTTACCGACAATTAGTTTTCAAATCAGAGGTAGAAATTAAAATCCTTTGCAATATTACGCACTGGTGGTACCATAATTAGTAGTAATTTATCGTTTGTGAACATTTAACTTCATTCTATTATGAAGCAGCAGATATGTATTTTTTTTATAGTTTACTTAATAGTTTCTCGTGATAGTTAACATGTTCTTTCAACGATGGCTGACTAATTTTATTGCCCGTAAAATCCGGATTTAACATCCGTGTCTTAAAATCATATTACTAAACATAAAAAACGCGGTTTTATTTACCAATGTAGTTACTTATAATACTGGTTGCAATATTGTACTCAAGTTACAACGATCGTTGGTCGGATCAAAATAATTGGATGCAGCCCAACTGTCACACGATTACCAGACGGATTTACTTTGTTTTCTGTAGAACAACATTGTAGCTGTGTGTTTAGTTAATAGTACTAGTATTTCTTTTACAGGCAATTTTCTCAGGCTCCTTTATAATAGCGAAATGTAATTGGAGTCAATCCACGCGAACAAAGACTCGAAACAGAAACAGAAGTAGCAAATACGAGGCTTAATAATCTCGTTTATTGATCGATAATTTACGATTAAGCTACGTTATACGTGTTTGATGAAAGTGCGATTTTTACTTCATAAGCATGCCGTCAACAATAACGTAAGAAATGGTTTATCGTTTAAAGCCGTGATAAGAAAAGAATGTAACAATAACATTCGTTTCTGCAGGTTCTTACACGTTCTTTATGAGTCATTCGACTTTTTACAGGTTTCGCGTTGAAACGATATTGAACAAAGAGAAGAAAAAATTGCAACTAAGAGAAACGTAACTTGATACAAATTTTATACGCATAAATTTTTCACTAATAATATGTTGCAATTTTTTTTATCATTACTTACCTTATCTACAAGTTATGATTCTTAGAAAATAACAATTGTAGAAGTCTTACTCGAAATTATTTAAAATTCACATTTTGTACGAATATCATATAGTATATTTCTCAATTAACGATTGATATGCAACGATTTCTGAGAGTTTTAGAGACTTATCAAAAATCGACTTCTTTCATTGAAACAAATAATTATGCTACATATATATATAAAAGAAAAAAATAAATATAGATTACAAAGACGTAAGTGTGTTCGACGTATTATTACTGCATGCGATATAGTACGACACGTGTTTTTGGCTCCAATAAACAATGTTTATTTGGTATACGTGTAGAGCCTTTTTTAAAAACACAACTGCGTACATATGAACAAATTATAGTTAACTATTATAATTCTAAATACGCGACGTATGTATCTATTTCAGCGGGTTTTATCTCTTTTTTTCTCTACGAGCGTCTTTTTCATGTTTCTTCCTATTTTCCTATACATTTACATTAAATACATGTAATACATTACCAACTGCCATTAATATATTATATATATATATATGTATATATTTGCTTTTTCGTTTATATGTATACACGCACATACATATATATTATATATACATATAAACGAAACAATACTGCTTTTTTTTTCACATCGTAAAAAGTTACTTCGGATACATTGGAACATTATTTTATTATTAATCTTACCTTTTTACGACTTTTGTTTCTACTGATCCCTTACAACAGACTTTCACCACGAAAATGACAAACACACAAACGATTATTTCGAGCGTGATTTAAAAGTATCGCTTCCAGATATCTTTTTTTTTTCTTTTTTGCTTTTTTCAAATCCTGTTTATCCGTGTCGAGGACACACGATAATCCAATTTGACGTATCGTAAAAAGAATAACACGTCGCTAAACGTACACAGCGAAACTATGCATTGTATATATAGGGTCTAATTTACGTGGTAGCGTTTTCCAAACCACACCGTATTCTATGGTGTGCTGCAAAATCTTTCCTCTAAACTCTAAACAGTCGTGGAGCCAGAAGTGGGCGACGATTAAATCATTTATTTTATTAAAAGGAAGGAATTTCTAAATTTCGATTATTTAACGTAAATAAATTATAAAGAAATCGTGGAAGGAATTGTAAGACTTCCGAATCCACCCCTGCATCTAATCCTAAACCACGGAGAAATCCAAGATATGGATTTTCGTTCCTTCCTAAACCCCGGCACGCGATAATACATGCTTTCTTCCTAACGCTAATTTAGTTTGGAAAACACTGTTCTTTTATATATATTTATACTATACACGAACAACACGATTAATTACGATCATCTCATAATCTTCGTTTTGTAATGTAGTACCTATAAAAAAGCTGACCAGCAGTAAAAGCGCGAAATATTTAAGAACTAATTTCCGGATAATTCAACCTTGCGATTTATAAACTGAACGATTATCGCTGGAATAGAAATATAATACAAAATAAACTAATCACAGACACCGTGTCTTGATATTATTTCTTTCAATGTATTTACAGACTCTCCGCAAGATTGATGATAATTAAAAACAATATTTGCTAATTACTCGATACACACACGCCGTTATAATGATTCCACAATCGAATATGCCGGCAATTTTTATTTCTTTTCTTAATTTCGGTTAATGTAACCTTTTCGAAGCGACAGATATAAGACGCGTGTGTAATTCATTTTCAAGAATGACCTGAATTTACCCCGGCTATGCACCATATCTATGTATCTATGTACGTTTGTGTGCACGCGCGATCACGCTCTGTGCCTATCTATATAGGTGTGTATGCGTATGTATATGTGTGTACATATGCGACGACGCACAGATAAGATTCCCTTGCCTATCTGTAGTCTGAGCTCGGTTACGTAACAACTATGCATTCCCTTTTGTGTACGCTGTTTTAACAGCAATTTTTTCTTTTTTTTTTTTTTTCAATGTTAATTCAATTATCAACGTTTGCCGAACGCGTTACGTAAACAATGATCGCACATTCACAAGCGAGGAACAAGTATGTCGAGATTCAATCGACAAGAAAAAAAAAAAAAAATAAAGGAAAAGAATATTCGTTTCGTCGTTGTAGATCATAGTATGTCTCTAACAAGAGAACACCTTCGGACTCTTACGTTAAGATCTGAATAAAACTTAGCGGATCAATCTATGAATCCACAAAGTTTCACTCAAATCGATAAGATTTCAATGTCCTTGTAAAGAAGTTCTGAGCTTCCTCTACTCCCGGATCCTTCCACCTTAAACCTACTTGAAGGAAGAAAAGAAAGACACAGGGGAGGATCTCAGATATTCCCTTCGACATCTGTTATAAATTAAGCTAAAATATCTGACGGATTAAAGATTGACTTATATGTTATGGCGGTTCAACGTGTGCCTGTATTTTATTGGTTAAGAGGAGGAATATATGAGAGAGTGAGACGGAGAGAAATGGAAGGAATGGAAGACCGTTTCGTTCAGGGTCTACTAGCAAAGTCTGCTGTTGACACTTGTCGGATTGTTGCAATTTTATGCCTGTAAATTGATTACTGGTAGGGTACACCGCGAGATTATCAATTTTCGAGTTGTAGATAAAATGTAAAAAATGAAGTGTATAGTATCAAAATCACGAATACGTGACATCCGACGTCAAAGCGATTTCGATCTGCAACGGTCAGGGTTTACGAGAATTATAATTTCCGTACATAATGTACGAATTCTACCTCGAACATTACGTAAATTATTACACAATCGAAATTACCAGCCACAAATGTATGTACAGGATGAAGTTTAGGAAGAAACAGAGAACACGAATGTGAATGGTACTATGTCAATTCAGAGACTCTGGATTTGTTCTTGTTATGGTAAATATACTAATTATAGTTGACTCAAAGAGTCAGCAATGACTCTCTTCACTGAACATATTTATATCTCATTTGACAACTACGTCGACGACTATGGAAAGCAACACAAATGGCGTTTAATATTCAAGAGATGTTTGCTTGAAAAAAATAGGTCACAGGATGGCATTGGTAAACGGAAAGATCAATTGATGTTCCTTTTTAATACGTTTGGTTAGTATGGATCGGGAAGATAAATGATTAAAGAAAGGATTTCTTTCGTAGCATGTTTAGTTGGTTAGAGGATAGTTAAAAAGTGCGAATAAAGTTGTTTATGGGTTTATTGTCATGGGAGCTGACAGTAAGCTCTTTGCACGTGTGTGTACAGCCTTTTCAATCGGCCACCATATCTCTTCCCGTAATACCGTCACGGTCGAGGACAAGAATTTACCCAATCTTGTTAATTGCGCAATATTCGACTATCGATCAAACAAAGTTCACCAGGGAAAAATAAACTAAATAAAAATGAAAGAGAAATCAACTTTTGGAAATTTCTCTGGGTATCATAACGTGTTGCGTCTACCCTGTATAACAGGTTTTGTATAACATTTTTATTTTTTATTTAACAAGTTTTATAACTTATTATGTTATGTTATGTTATGTTATGTTATATAGCGTAGACGCAAATTAACAAGCAAGAAGCTAAATCGAGCCAAGGAGCAGTATAGGTGGTGTATTGGTGTCCTGCAATGTGAGAAAGAGAGCGAGAATAATTATTCGTTCAGAGTTTCGACACTTCCGCCGAAGAAGATGCAAGTTCACGAATACACTGTATGCACAGTGTTAATTACTTCCCTCCCCTCCACCCGCCTTCTTACCTATCTAAATGTGTTACCTATCTTTAATAAGGATAATTAAACATCTGCTATCTAATCATAAATTGTGCGCGTGTAATGTATATATCACCCGCCATACTTTACCACTGTACAATTGAAATTTTAGGCTAAAGTAGGTTAGATATTTATTACATATGTATATGTATATAAGCGAAGCGAAAGTAATCAATGTGCAAAAAGCGTATGCATGTATGTGTATACGCTGTGCCCCAAAAAAGAAGAATGCATAAATGAGAAAGTATTAAAAAAAGAAAAAAATACCGGCGATGAAAGATATACTATTTTCTATTGTTATTAAAAACATAGAGTTATCGTTGAACGTGAAGAGTGATACTGATCGGTAACAATCATTATTACGGAATAATCCATCTTTAACCCTTCTATTGTGTCCGAATCTATACGACCCGATCTTGATCTGTATGATAACTTGTTAAGGACATATTTGCTAGCCTAACGTAAACACTTTTCAATAAATACAATTAATATATTTTAATCACTGTGACCTGCAACTTGGTAAATCACCGATAACCGTTGATTAAACACGCTATCGGTGAAATATAAAAGCCGGAAAAGTATGTATCGGTGATCGACAGCATAAAGGAATTAAAAATAAAAATCAATTTTTAATCGTACGAGAAACGATACAATCGTTCTTTCCCATTCCAATTCAACAAGTTAAAACGAGCAAAGAGAAGCTCGCATATATTTCGAATATCTAACGGTGATAATTCAACAGTAGTTGAAGATAATTTATCAATTGTCACTGATAACTCTACTTTTTCTACCGACTGTGCCAACTACCGATGAATCAACGCAGTTATAATATGTGAAAATAACAAATATAAAGTCCACGTTTTTTCTTATATTTCTAAATTTGACAAACTTTCATTTATGAAGAGAAAGGCAAATTTCGAGGGATATATTTAATACTGTCAGCTAGAAGCATATTTAGGCTTACTTATCTTGGCTGGCGTATAGAGAATCCCATAGAGAAGTAACGGAAGGTATATAGAATAAGAATTTCAGAGCAACGATATCTCTTCAACGGTTTCGTCAAATTTCTCGTATAACCAGATTCGATGATAGGATCTGAAATATGGTAAACGGATAAATCGGTACCAATTGAATTATAGGACGCGTGGGTTGATTATATCTTACCCAAATGATTGAATCCTAACAGCAATGTTAACGTTGACGAACAATTAATTAGATTTTATAGGTGAACGTCCTTTTCTGTAACGTATTCCAAGTAAACCAGCCAAATAAATACGTAGACATTATGCAACTTTTCTAATATTACATATATAATATGCAAATATGTACAAGGAAATTACCAGAACACCTGGAAAAAATCAAGGTTTTCATTTTCTTTGTATTATGCTATTTTGGCCCAATTTTCTAAAAAGAATATCACCACAACGACATATACCACATGTCCTATTGATGAATACAATATACTATACGACTTTAATATTTTATACTAAAAGTAGAAGAAACCGGAAATGATATTCTATTGTACAAAACTAAATATACCGTCAGTATTTTTAATTAACTTGTAACGACCTATGTGTAAACGCTAAATCGGAAGGCCTATGCTTATATTTTATAACATAATCGGTTCACGTGCATACAACTTGGTTATTCAGCGTGGTGTTCAATTTGGAAAAAAGGGAAGATTTGTACAAACGGCGTTTGTCTCTTGGAATTTCAGTCGCGATAGAAACAATGATGAAGTTAAATAACAAACGATAAATGAAAAGTATTTCGTTTTTCAAACGATCTACCAAGAGAACAAAATGCAAATTGTGTCCTTTATCTAATTGTAATGAAACGACTATATGTTTAAAACATAATAAACATACATGTAAAAAACACATATAATTGCATAAATTGAAAAAAAAAAATAAAATAAAATAAAATATAAAGTACTTTTCTGTTTTTAATTTTTTCTCTGTATTTTTTTTCATTTTCGTAACCTTTCAATTGAATTCTTATTTCATAACATAATCTTTGTAATTTAATTACAAGTTTTTTTTTTCATACAGTACACATTTAAAATTATTATGCTTTAACTTTATTTCTGGAAACATGTATGTATATGTATATTTTTTGTCTCTGGGTATATCTGACCCGAACACAATTAACGTGCTTTTTTTTTATGAACACAATAAAAGGGTTAATAAAAATGTAATTTGGACAAACAGTATCAGTACCCACTTTATCATCGAAATTTACCTAGCTGTATACATACTATATATTAGCGATAAGAATAATTAAACGCATGAAGTTGACGATCCATTTTTTATATCATTATCCTTTTCTCTTCTCTCTCCCTCTCACAACACTTCTTTAACCAATAAACCACACACACATCGAACCGCCATATACTGTTTTCCACACACAAATTGTATGTTCTTCGCTCTTTCTCGTATTCAGATATTATAATTTCATTTGTTTAGACTTGTTGTATAGACGTTCATCTGCAATCTGTATACTGCCACTTCAATCGCAATTAATATATAATTGTGCTAAATATTCTTTTATCAATAACATTTGTTTTCTTTATACACTCAGTAGAGCCGATTATCTTAGTTGATGATAATTCAATGTCAAATTACACTACAAATGATTACTATACAGTGAAAGAGAAATGTTTCGGCATGGGATATTTGGGGTCTTTCCTCAGTGTTAACTCCCTGTTTGCCTGTTGCTTCGTTTTTTTTTTTGTTTTTTTTTTTCATATCTTCTGTACATACATCCTCTTCCTGCAAGACTGAATTATTTTCCTCGATTTCAAATATTTGAATCAATTAACAGATTTCGGCACTCTTGTTACTTGCTTGCAGTATTTTCAACAATAGTGTCATTTATGTAATGAATATGTACTTATTAAATGCTTGGACTCTAATATATCAACTTGAATACAGTATTACAGAAGGATGCTTAGATGAGTCGACGTGAGTATGCATGGAAAAATGTGTTTAAGTAAAATGTCGAAACAAGTCGCAATATAATAGTCGGGGAGCGCTGTTGATTGCAGGCGACGAGTCTTGCATTCCTGCCACTAAAATATTTTTACTTGGTGTACAAGTAGATGGCAACGATGAGACCGTAGAGACCCAATACTTCAGCGAAGATTAGAATCAAGATCATACCGACAAAGAGGCGAGGTTGTTGAGCGGTACCTCTTACACCCGCGTCACCAACAATACCAATGGCAAATCCGGCAGCTAGACCAGAAAAACCTACGGCTAAGCCAGCACCCAGATGAATAAAACCCCTATTAAAAAGAGAAAAAATATGTTTGTTATCTATAAGTTGATTACATACAAATGTACTAACGTTTAAATAAAGCAAAAGAATTAAAAACTAGTTAAGCCCCAAACTGATTAAGTAGAAATACATATAGACAAGCATTATTAAGTATTTTATAGTAATTAACTATCAATGCTATCGTGTAGAACAAATTACCTAAATATTTAAACAAGCAATATCATCATGTTATATTTTTAATGATTTTCTTTTAAAATAAATTTATATAGCAATGTTTAAATGTTTTAAATATACTTACAATAATAAAAAATAAATGTAATTCTTTCTGTATTATGCTAAATTATTGTACTATCATCAACCCAAACTATATTTTTTTTATTAAATTAGAAGAATTAAGAAAATGATAACATACTTGAAAAGACTGTATTTACTAGGTTCCTCTAGATCGCCAGCAATGAGAACAGCTACTACAAGACCATAAATGGCAATGATACCAGCCATAACAACAGGAATGATAGATTTCATGATAAGTTCTGGCCTCATAACAGACATTGCCGCAATTCCTGTACCTGACTTTGCTGTGCCATACGCCGCTCCCAGAGCTGTAAGTAAAACAGGCATAACATTGTATTTGTTTTCTCTGTAAGCATCTATCGATGAAAGAATGAAAATGTAATGTTAAAAGTTATATACCCTTTAATACTTGCAACAAATTATAACACCAAACTACAACAACTTCATAAATATATTTATAAATACTTTATTGGCTATGACACAATAAGAACACGAACATGAACATTATGGAATATCGAGTTATTAAATATTTATTGCATCTTTATTTTATATTTTGAACCTTTATATCTGGTAATAAAATATTTAATAGATTCCTGTAGTTTATTACTCCTGAACATTGGAGTACTATCGATCTCGTTTAATATTGATCTTAACGACGAGGTCACGGACCCGATTTCAATAGTATTATTGAATTTCGTAGCTGTTTTCATTGACATGTTTCAATTTTGTATATAGATTCGAAAAGTGAACGATTTTACAGCTATGTTACGAGCGATTATTCCGCCGAGACTGGAAATCGTAGTCACATGATTCTCACGTTGGCAGTCACATGATTATCATGTAAGTCCCATCCCGTGAGTAGGGGGCGTGGCACAAGCGGACAATCGTTTCTCGTTTCTTTTAAATTTTTCACTCTTTATTTAATTGTAAAAGAAAGAAAGAGGTGGTGCGTTTGAATAAACAGGACGAGAAATGTTTGTTACGCGTAGAAAAAGGTGCGCAAAAACACGGAAGCGTTAGATATTTCGATTCGAATAGAATCTATTTGAATCGAAAGGAAGATTTTTCATGCATTCGAAATTTCTCATGCTTTTGCTTCGCAAGTCTAGCCTTCCTCGTGTGTCACCGTCCATTCAAGACTGGCGCACACGGGAAAAGGGATTCGTATTGATTTCCTTGATAGGGACTGACGCTTCAAAGTTTAAGTTTTCGCGTCTGAAATATCTGTTATTTTTTTTTTTTTTATTATTACGTTCAAGGGAATTTGAAAATCATTAAACTGAGATCGATAGGCGATGATATCAATTATCTCGATGGAATCTTCCACTTGATTCATGAATTCTGTGTTTTCTCCACCCGTCAACTAACACAGACTTTTACTAAGAAGTACTCAACGAGGTCAGCATTACGAAATAACCGTAGCCAGCCTCGAATGTCGTGAATACAGTAATACTTCGATAAATCCTACTACTGGAACCGAGTTCCGCGACAATTACCGAGGGAGGCACCTGTTCCAGACATCTTACGTCTCCGACTTCAACTCGTTCGTCATTTTAGTTTATTTTATAAACGAAAAACAATACAAACAAGTCAAATAAAGTGAAATGTTACTTTCATTGTGAATCATCGTTCGAATAGGATTTTCATCTGCTTAAAATAACGTTACGATGATCAAGTAAAAATATGCAACGATTTTATTTATTTTATGTTTTGATCATTAAATATGTAGTTTATCGCCTGTTGATCAGTGGACGATAAATAATACACCAAAAATAATTCCAGGAAGTATCAGAAGGGATAATTAATGCGACAATTACCGAGGCAACGATTGCGACTCTTAAAGAGGCGATACGATACGTTTCTGTTGTAATGTAAAATTAAGCTCGTTGAATTGCGTCGCGTCTACCTACAGAACATTAAGAAATTGCAGATGTACGTGCCTAAAAAACTGGCGTTTCAAAATTGAATCTGTATCCTTGACATCTTCGGCACTTCGGATTAGAATACACCTGTGTTGCTATACTATGTTATACATTGCAAGGTAATAGGCTTGACAATGACAAAAGGTATCACAAATCATTTAACGGAATTATAAAAATTTTGTATCCGTTTATCCTTGTCGATAAGTTTAATGTTGGTACTAAGTAATCAGCAAAGAATTTATGAGTCATATCGTGTAACGAGCAAATTAAAATGCTTCCTACAATATACTATCGTACAACAAAATTAATTTATCCTTTAGGGTTTATTCTGTTTTCTATATTTTATGTCGATTCGCAGCAAAGAAAATGGCGTGCGTTCAGTTGAGTTAACCAAGGTTAGGTACACTTTGAAAACCATGTTTTCTCTATAACCGTGTTAGATTTATTACCAGATGAGTTATTAATAAATGCACTCGTACTCTCTTTCACCAAACGTCTAGCCGATTTCAAACAATTGAAACTCACCAGAAAATATAATGGCTGAGGCGGCGCCCATCACTCCAAAGAAGGGCGCGTAAACAGGACGTTCTTCCGTAAGTTCGCCGGAGCTACTCATTTTGATGTGTTTAAGACTCGTAGGTCAATTTGATTACGAGTATTTACAGGTTGTCGAAACGCGAACGTCGGATAAAAGAGCGATCTTCACGCACTCACTTCGCTAAACTAGTGCCACTGTCAACTATGGCCTACCGTACAGGAGTGCGGGTCATGTGACGAGTGACGAGTGAGAGAAGAAGAGGCTGCCGAAAATCGAGAATGTCTATTCGCCTGCCATTGGTTCGCAACTGCAGACTACACCGTTGTCAGCGAATCCTGAGCCGTCTTTTATCTTTTATATCTGACGTCAAGCTGTCCTATAGGCTCTCTGAACGAGCACTGCGCACTGTTATTGCGCAAGCTTTTGCTTTGCTGAGCGCGTGACGGGCGTTTTCTATTGTTTATTCGCATTTTATTAACATTTTTATGAATTTAACATTTATAAAAATGTGTTAAATATTTCTTTACATATAATATTTGTTACTTGAAAACATTGTATTGAAATCACATAGCGATTTGAGGTTATTCCGCTTAAATCTTTGCAAACACGTGACTAAATTCAAACGTTGCTGAGCTATTGAATTTTCAATTTAAAAACTATAAAATTGTTGTAATAATTTAAATTAATTATACTATGCAATTTAAACACTGATGTTATAATACTATTTTACGATACAGTTTTTATTAAACAAATGAATTCCGACCGTTTAATTTCAGTTACATAAATAAAGTACTATAAAATGTACTGCTGCTGTACATTGTGGTATGATTTTGTAATAATTTGTATAATAAAATTTGAAATACATAACATTTTCATCAATCTTAATCAATATATTCCATTATTAAATTTGTTATAATATTTCTAATTTTTTGAGCCAACACCTTAACTTTAAGCACGTGTTCGAACTTATTGACCGGAAGTACCATTGCAGCGGTTCTAACATACTTGATTCAAATACCATGATAAACGTGTTTAATGATATTGAAACATTTTTGTAATAAATAACATATAGACACACGTTAAATAATCATGAAATTTGCATATAAGGTAAACGAGATACTGTAAATCCAGAATTTCTTAAATAAATGCTTTACAAATGTAATACAAATGTCAATATCGTTCATGTAGTGTTTCTAACCTAACTTAATAACATATTACATTTCCCTTTTTTGCATATTATTTTTAATAATTTGTGAATTTGTTATTAAATGTTTCTTACAGTTCAGTAATCTGCTTGGTGCAGTTTACCGCAAAGGAAATTTGATATTTTCTCCAGATGGATCTACAGTCATTAGCCCTGTAGGCAATCGGATAACAATATATGATCTCAAAAAGTAAGCATAGTGAATGCAATACAACAGAAAGATTTGTTGATATTTAAGTAATTACTGTACTCTTTAACATTTCTTATTTCAGTAACAAATCAAGTACTTTACCTATAGAGAGTACCTACAATTATACATGTATGGATTTGTCTCCTAATGGAACTTTATTAATTGCAGTTAATGAAGGTATGATTTATATATATATTTGTATAATTTATGTGTATCAAATTAGTTTTATAATTGTTGAATATTTTACAGTGGGAGAAGGAAATATAATTAGTATGATTAGTAAAATGGTAATACATAAATATCATTTTAAACAACGAGTCAGGTGTGTAAAGTTTTCTCCAGATGGTAAACATTTTGCAGTATGCAAGGAACATAAAGGTATGGGTGTATTGTGATTAATATGCATACAGCACATTGTATTTAAAATTGAAATAATGATAATAACTGTTTCAGTATTTATTTTCAATGCACCCAACTTATATTCGTGTGAATATAATCCCTTTATCATGGAACATGTATTTCTTGGAGCTGTAGATGATACCACTTGTATCGATTGGTCTTATGATTCAAAACTAATAGCTGTTGGTTCTAAGGATATGACTACAAAAATATATGGAATAGAAAAGTTTGCAAATTTTAGGTATATTAGTCTTGGTAGCCACTCTGATGCAATAGTAGCATGCTTTTTTGAGAAGAAAACTTATGATCTGTCTACAATTTGTAGGTAAATATTTAAAATACGATCGATATTAAATTATTGTGTTATAATTACACATTTATTACATAGGAATGGACGACTTTGTATTTGGGAATGTACAATTAATCCAGAAGATTTAGTGCAATGGGAACCTCGTTCTAAAAGAGACAAACACGAAGATAGTGATGTAGAAGATGATATTGATGTTGAAAAAGTTATAGAGAAAACAGACAAACAAGCTAAAGCTTATGAACATGGCTTACAACAATCTCGTAATTTTTCTTTTATTGATGAGTAGACTATATGAAAAAAATATATATATAAAATATATAACATGATTTATGTTTCAGAAAATGCGATTGAAACAGAGAATGATAAAAATTCTGACAATGATACAGAAATAAAAAAATTACGTTATCAGAAATTATGTCGCCATTACTTAACTAATGAAGTTCAGAAAGAGAGGAAAGAAATAGTGAAACTTACTGCTGCTGCGTATCATCAAGAAACTCATATTCTAGTGGTAGGCTTCAGTAATGGTTCATTCTATTTGTATGAAATGCCTGAAGTAAATATGATACATTCCCTTAGGTATTTTTTATATTAATGTTGTTTTCTATATGAATCTGTTCTTCAACAATTATACTTACATTACTTTTGTTTAGTATATCGCAACAATATATTTCATCTATCGCGATAAATTCGACTGGCGATTGGATAGCTTTAGGATGTTCTACAGCTGGACAATTATTAGTATGGGAATGGCAAAGTGAAACTTATGCAATGAAACAGCAAGGACACAGTAATAATATGAATTGTTTAGCATATAATCCAGACGGCCAATACATTGTTACTGGAGGTGACGATGGGAAAGTTAAATTATGGAATACAACGAATGGTTTTTGTTCTATTACATTTCAAGAACACACGTCAACAGTGACAGGGGTGTTATTTAGTCACAATAGAAAATTTATCGTTTCTACGTCACTCGATGGAACTGTTAGAGCATATGATTTAGCAAGATACAGAAATTTTAAAACTCTTACTTCACCGCGTCCAGTACAATTTTCCTGCGTCGCATTAGATTCAAGCGACGAGTTTCTTGCTGCAGGAGGTCAAGATTTCTTTGAGATTTATCTATGGAGCGTTAAACTGGGTACCCTTTTAGAGGTACATGTTTAACAATTATATTTAATGTTTTAGATGTTCTGTGGATTATTATCTAAATATAAATTTCTCTGTTAGATATTAAGCGGACACGAAGGCCCGGTTGTCAGCTTGGCGTTCAATCCAAATATTGCAAGTACAGAATTGGTATCTGTTTCTTGGGATAAATCTCTGAAAATATGGAACGCTATTGAGAATGGTTCTTCACACGAAACGATACAATTAACTTCGGACGGTTTATATGTTACTTACAAGCCAAATGGCGAAGAAGTAGCGGTTGCTACTTTGGATGGGCATATCTCATTTTTTGATTGTAAAACGGCAGTACAAACTGGCAGTATTGAAGGAAGAAATGATTTAGGTAGCGGTAGATCTGAAACTGATCTGATTACGGCAAAGAAAAGTTTACAGGGAAAGTAAGTATATCGATGAGTATGAAATTAAAATTGAGCGTTCAAGTTATATTAATTCAATCATACGTTTAGGGCTTTCACCTCCTTATGTTATTCAGCCGATGGCACCTGTATATTAGCTGGTGGACAATCAAAGAATATATGTATTTATAATGTACAAGAGTGTATGCTGGTAAAAAAATTTGTTGTAACACAAAACAGATCGTTAGACGCTGTTGATGTAAGTAACTTTTGTATTATTATTTTTACTATTTTCTGTTTGAGATTTCTATAAAATCTGCTTTTATATAGGAGTACATAAACAAACGAAAGTTAACAGAATTTGGAAGTAAGGCATTAATTGAAGAGCGCGAGGAAAACGAAGGAGGAAATGTAACGTTACGGTTACCAGGTGTTAAAAGTGGAGATATGGCAAGTAGAAGTATAAAACCGGAAGTGAGAGTATTTAGTTTACAGTTTTCTCCAACAGGTAAAAATCAATTGTATAAGTTACATTGAATAACAGTACTGTATGAACTTTTATATATTTTTTATATTATAAGGACAAGCATGGGCGGCTGCTACAACAGAAGGTCTACTAATATACTCGTTAGATGTTGGTCTGGTGTTTGATCCATTCCAATTGGAATTGGGCATAACACCAGATACTGTAAAAATAGCTTTAAATGAAAAAGAATACGCAAAAGGTTTGAAATGTTTAAATATATAATTCTATTTTTCATTTAGAATATGTACTGATAACAATTATTTTCAGCATTAATGATGGCTTTGAGATTAAATGAAAAATTGTTAATACAACGTGTTGTAGAAAATATTCCACTGTCAGATAGTAAGTATATAACTGATTAACATATTACCGAATTAGTTGGTAGACATATACTTACTACATTTTGTTTCAGTTGAATTAACTACAGCAAATTTACCTGACATTTATGTCGATAAGGTGTTAAAGTTTATAGCATCAGAATTGGAGTTAACTAGACACGTCCACTTTTATCTCCTTTGGATAGAAACAATATTAACTAAACATGGAGCAAAAATTAATTCAGCGCTTCAAATGCCGATATTACTGACGCTCCATAAAAATATGCAAAAGAAATATGATGATTTAAGCAAAATGTTTGTTATTTTACAATTCTTACATATTAATTCACATATCAATTTAACGAGTAACGTTAATTAACATCTTTACGTTTGTAGATGTGATTTTAATCAGTATACAATGAGTTACCTGAAAAAGGTTGGGGAGTTCAAAGCTAAGAAACCTATGAATGTAGAAATAAATAGTGACGAGGAATCTGAAAAATCTTCAATCGAAGAAATGGATGTTGACTGAAAAAGAACAATATTTTATAAATACAAGTGTGTACATGTATATAAATATATCACGCGTATGTATAAATTTCTCTATGGTAACTATAAATTTTTAATAAATTTGTTAATTATTTTTTACGAACATTTGTTTTATTTTCCTTATAGTATCGTTTTTTCTTTAAATAGTCACTTCTCAAACTAATTTTTAAAGCATATGATACTTCTATACATTGTACTATATTTCATGAAACGTTCTTAAAACATTTTATAGCGTACTTCGATGCAGTGAAGTACAATAATTCGATCGGTGAACTTTGCTAATAATTTATACATTTTTATTATGCATCAGAAGGCTTAAGCTGCTTTCTTAAGCAATAGTATTGGCCAATATAAAACGATAAATAGCATAAATAATATAGGGAAACCTATTCTACTGTAAGTGTCAATCTTTTGTGATCGCGTTTTATACATACGTATTATCGGATACTCGTGATCTATCCATGCATTTTGTAAAAGATGCTTGCTACCAGCTCTGTTATTCTTTGTTTTTGGCGTATACGTTGTATCATAGTCCCAAATGCTTTGGCCTTTTTCCATAGCAATTATTCGCTGAAAATAACATAGATTTCTGTTTCTTTTTTAAATAAAATAATACTTTGATTACATATCAGAGTGTTAAAAACGGGTCCAATGTTTCAAAGGTATACAGCCAATACGAGTAAAAATAAAGAATCAATTATTATACAAACTGTTGAGTAATGCCGGGATAATAGAGATGTTTGAAGATCGTATTCCAACTGATTGCGCAAATCAAGCACCTTGACCACAACAAATTCACCAAGAGCAGCGAATACAAACATCATACAACCAGCCATCCAGACGTCCAGTGCCTATACAAAAAGAAATATTGTTAATCCAATATATTTATGATTGTTGAACTGGTTGATCGTTGATAAAACACACTTTTACATAAGCAACTGGAGGAATGTCACTTTTCAGACCAGTGAACATGGTGACTAGGGTGAGCATGCTGGTCACCAATAGAGCTACTCGTCCAGGAATTGCATCGAGACCCAACCAAAAGCTGAACCAAGACAGCATCACCACCAGGGTTGATGGAGCGAATGTCTGTATCAGATGATGACCAATTTGTCTCTCGAAGCGGAAATAAACCACTAATCTTGAGAAGTTCCCTGTGAAATCATTTGATAAATATATTCCATGGCGATTTGAATAATTTCAGGCATTGAAACAAGGCATTAATACCACTTTTCTCCATCATATAATCAATAGTTTCTTCGGCAACCCTGGGCTTCCCAATATCGTATTGCAACAACTTCATTTCTGGGTTCACCGTCACATCACCCGCTCCCCATCTCAAGCGTACCTTCTGTTTGTGATAGGAAACTATCGCGAGTAACGCAGTTTTTCAAGTTAATCTAGAGACTCTATTGAACCAGGTTTATTGGGTAGAACTATCTACATGAAAATTGATGAGATGAAGGATGTTGATGGAATAACTACAGGGTGTCTCAAAGTATATTAATGTACATACTTATATTTGAAGCACAGTTTGATTTTTATTATCTTACAATATTCTTTGAGACACGATTGACTAAGCATCAGGAATAGGAATGTTAAAAAACATAAAACTATTGTATGGTGAGTTTTAAGCGAGCGTTGCTTTGTCTAACTTACAACTTTCTATGTAGATAGGACAAGTTTGAATGTCCATTGGATAGAGTTGAAATTCCATTTGGCAAGCAATGATGGCGTGCATTCGAGCCGAATACTTCACAGTTTTGTTTCTGTATAATGTAACCGAGGAGAACTTGTGATTCAACGCGGCAATTTCTGAAAATAAATCGTTCGTTAAAGTGAAAAGTAAATTCGAGAGAAAAATGATGAAACTTACCAGAAACTTTTGCATTCAAGAAGTAAGGGTCTGGCTGCCAGAGGTTGTCAAAAAACTCTGGAGGTAAAGTCACGTAATCATCACCCTCTTCGAAGATATCTTCCGGCATCTCGAGTCGAGACTCGATCCAACTCTGACGAACGAACATATCCACTCTACTTGACAAGCAACACTGTTATTTTTCTATTTCATATCAAATGAATGGGTCACAAACATACATATATGTATTTATTCTCACCGAAAATCCATATCCTCCACGTTTATGGAATTGATATCAGCCACGAAGATATTGAAGTCCACTGTCACTGGCGTACCTCGTTTCGCCGGTGGCCTGATCTCTGTATCATTCACACATTTAATTACATGTTAATTAAGAAGTGTATACGTATAACGGACTGGTGCATGTACCAGGTATATTAAGAGTGTCCATCATGATGTATGGTAGTATTACCAGTGATTTATCATTGATATTAAACACTCGTGCAGCTAATTATTCGCGCTCTGAGAATGTGAAATTTATTACCGTGTATCGTTTCTTACGATTTATGAACGGGTTCGAACTTAAACGGAGACCAAGATTTTAAATTTTAAGAATATCCTCAGAAGTTGGAATTTTAAATTTTCATTTCGAACTTTAATTTCTTACATGCTTTGATTTTTTTCTATTATTTTACTTTGGCATAATTTTGCCTTATCGCTGACTTTTTAATAACAAACCTTTCACATAGTGCTCTGGTAGAACGATTCTCGATTTTAGAGTGGAGTTTTTCATGTCGACCAAAGAAGAGCTGAAAATAAAAAATAAAAAAATAGATAAAAGATTGTTTACCACGTAATCTATAGAAAGCGGTGAAGTTTTGTAACAACCAATTTCTCGGTAATTTTTCAGAATGAAAACTTGGTTACCTCGCGATGGAACGAACTTCTGTGAAAAACTTGAGGGACGAGTAAAAAAGTATTGTCAGAAGCGTGTTCTTCATCCTAAGATTTCGACAACTGCCAATGCGTTTTGACCAACCTAACCGATCGGCAACGAACTATTCCTACCAATTAATCTATTACATAGCAGTTACACGCAATCTACTTCAATTGCAAATATCGTCGAATACCTCTAGCCTGCTTGTTATTACTTTTCTAGAGTTGCGCAACGTTTTTCTGTGGTCGGATAAACTTGTACAAACTTCCATCTCTGTATCTTTCTTTCTCGAACACTAATCAAAGTGTAATTCGAGTTTCACTTGAAACGATAAACTCAATCAAAGTCGATGCAACGATCAGATTTCATTGTTTTCGTTAATTCGAACGATAAGAAAAATTACCAGCTTGATTTACTGATTATAATGTAATTTGATGTATTGATTTAATCAGTGATTTACCTTCGATCATGGAAACGTTTATTTCTGATGACAGAAATTTAACTGATTGATCGGTGGAATGAATGGGGGTCCTAGGCGACCGCCTAGTCTGTCTATGCCCAGGACCGGTCCTGGTTGCCTTTAAATAACAATAAGAAAACGAGCCTATCAGAAAGAAACGTTTTCCATGATAAACATTTATTACAAAGAGAGATTCCACTGCTTTTGAACACTCGAGGCCTCGTAGCCCTAAGCCGTATAACAGTAACCGAATATCGAAAGGAGGAAGAAAAAGACCAGAGAGAGAGTGAGACCTGTTCGTCTTCAGTTAAAAGAGGCGTCCCTAAACAACCATCAGACTTAACAGAGACCGAGATTCCGATCTCGTGTACGCACTACAGACTCTTCTTCTTCTTCTTCTTCTTCTTCATCTACTCCCCTCCAGGATTTGACCTTTATGAGTGGACAACGGTACCAGCATCAGCCACATGCACCAGGATTAGACGTCACACTAGTCTGGAACTTGACCTCGATCGATGACCTCGATGAATCCTCCTCCTTTGTACACTTTTACCTCCATTCTTCCACCACTATTGACATAAAGTTCATTTTAAGTGATTTGAACAAATAAAAAGAAATATTGGTACGTGGGATTCATTGAAAATACCATTATTAAATTTTTGAGAGTGAACCCTTGTTCTGAGGCTGATAGACTCGTATATCTAGTTTAATAATTTATTGAATTCGAAGCAATTTCTTATTCTTGAAATTTTACATAACAGTTAATCATATGCGAAAAGGTGTTGAAAAAGTAATAGTTGGATGACCATTTACAAAAGAAAAGTCATAAAACTAATTAAGACCTCGAAATTAAAAGTCAAAATTTCTCCATTTTTTTAATACTATGTATCCTGCTCATTAAGAGGATAAAAAGTTTCTCACAGAATAAAGTGTTAACATTTTTATATGGAATTCTGATTTATGTTTATCTTACCATGCATAATATATTGACTGACATGGTAGGAACTTGTGGAACTTCTTAACTTCACCTTCGTTTCAATTTGACTTCAATTTGACTTCTACTTCGCTTGGACTTCAGTTCTGTTTTACTTCAATTTCGCTTTAACTTCAACTTCAATCTTGATTTCAACTTCAAACAATATTCCTGAAAAAAGAAACTTCTTAATCCAATTTTTCAGTTCAACATTTCAAATTGATACTACAATTTTAAATGATTTCCCAAATATTCTTCTTTAAAGAAGAAATGATACCACCATTTAAATTTCAGAAGCTACTAGCTATTTCCTCAAAGTGCTTCAAAGTGGCAATAAAACTCGTTTTAACAAGACTATAAAGAAGCATTAAGAACTTCTAAGATTGCGTAGGTGTAAGAAAAAAAAAAGGCAGAAAGGTGGATAGAAAGTCATCTTGTATAGCTGTTTCCATAGCTTGTCCTATTTAAGCATCTCTCACGGTGTAAACGTCAAAGTCGTGTGTTTAAACATGTACATGTCTCTTTTTTTTTTTCTAAAATTAATGCCGCAGGATAATATCAATTCTTGTGGAAACTGGAAATCTTATTACTTTATCAATAATACTTGAGAAGAAATCTATCGGCATAATTACAATAGGATTTTTGTCCAGGGTGGGCTATAGCAAATTAAAATTCGAAATATGAAAAATTCACTTCTTCTTACCATTTTCTTTCCAACAAATTTCTACGTAATTTGCCAGATTACTGTCAGTAATTACACAGTGATTTTTGCACGGATGTAGTTTTCTACAGTAACCGGATGTCAATTCGCCAATAAGGAAAAGTGTTTAGTGGAGGGTAGCATAAGATTCCATAATGGATGATGGGAAAAGTAAGCAACGTTGATATTGAGAAAGTCTTTTCTGAAATTTAAAAATAAGACAGTTAATGTTCGCTTTTTTTTTTATACATTGGATTACAGAAATATTGATTTGAAAAGGAAAAGTAAGAGGTGTTGATATCTGGAAACTTTCCTCGTAATATCGTATACCAACTACTTTATTTCCGTGACCGTGAATCAACGAAAACATTGCTGAATCTATTTCCTAATTTATCATTTTTTTTTATCGAGTGCAATGAACGCGTTGCATTGCAGAGAAAGTCGACGAACGGTGCAGAAAGACGATGCTTAGATATATAATAATCATTTTTGATAAGTCATATCTTATACCTTAAATTTAATTTAAGTTTTCTTTGAAATAATTATTTTTTCATTAATTTAATTACTTATTCCACTGAACACCCTATAGATACAGGAAATACCATAGATTTGCAATTTACTTTCTCTAGCATAACTCCTATATCAAAGGTCATATTATAGAAAAATTGATAATAGTCGATATGCTGTAAGGGAAATTTAATTTTTATACGCGATTTGTTATAAATTTTGACATCATATTTTTAGACAGAAATTTGGAATGTTATCACAAAGTTAAAGAGACGCGTAGATACATTTTCTAAACAATAAATTGCTGTTACTATTACCAATAGAAAATCTGTTCTACTCTATCTGAAACAGTTTATCGAATACAGCTGCGGTTTTCAGAGCAACATGATTTACGCTCTTCTTACGCGTTCGCCAGGTACCGTTAATTATACTTTGTGAATACATGGTAATAAACATAAGTTTCTTTCAACTTGTTAACAAGAAGCGATGCAGTTGAACGAATCAGTGAAATTACGAATGAAGAAAGAACCAGACGAATACAAGTTATTAGAAGTTTCTCCCACACAAAAGAGTTTTACTAAAATCTTGTAAAGGTCGCTAACAATATGGTACCATTCCAATTTTCTGCTCGAATGATTTCACATACAAGATTCGCCAGATAAGGATTTGGGACGAAGCTATTTAAGAAATTAACTCTTTATGCACCCTTGCAACATTCTCTTTATAAGTATTATTAAATAACTTTTTGTATTATACGATTCGACTTATAAGTATTATTAAATAACTTTTTGTATTAAAACAACGTGTTCCGTCATTTCGAATTAGACAGAAGACGGGAAGAAATTTTCTTCTTCCTGATTGCGCTACAATAATTCTCAATGCGTTTCTTCCTGATTTTTGTACAAACTTCTTGTCGGACAGTTTCACGCGCAACAAAAACCTCAACATTCTCCAAACGACCAATTATCGTAGAAATCGTGTCGTGCTCGAAACTGAATCGTGCCAGGAAGCCGAGCGAAGATGATGCCCATAAACAGGAAGTAACCGCTAGTAAATAGTGTCTTCAAGTAACGTCACGTAAATCAATGACAAGTCATCGCTTCGCTACATTTACATACATATATGTATATAGAAGGATGCTCTTCTATCTTTATATACATTCTAAAATTTTTTAATTCCAAAGTTCCAGAATTGTAAAATCTAAAAATTCTAATAATCTAAGATCGCATAATTCAACAAACGGAATAACGATTAATCGCCTAAATCGTGAGCGTTTGATCAAATCTCGCACGACATAAGCTCCCCTTAAGGGTTGTATTGATTTCTATGATGGCGGCCGGCCGGCGCCTGCACCCTCCGCGTTCGAGGAAGCTGAAACAGCATCGGTCTGCCGTGTTTTCTACCAAATATAACGATGAAACTAACACAGTAACCAGGTCCAGGTGAAAACCAATCAACCGTGCACGTGATAAATATTAAACATACCTATTCGGGACGATTGATCGAGAGTTTTAGTGAAATCCTCGTCGATGATGCGAGAACTCGTGGTTCCACAGAGGTCCTTGACGTAAACGGAGTGTCAATGTTCCTGAGATGAGTTGCGTGACATTTTAAAGCTGACGGTGAGTTACTTTTCTCATTTTTTATTGATTATTCCTCTGTAAGACTATGTTTGTCCTATCGTTTCGATATACAGCAGCGTGACGATCGAAATTACCATTTCATTTCCATTTCTTGCGCTAATAGTTTATAGATCTGAAAGATAAGATGAAATTAGACGTGGTCAGGGAAAAGCGAGGGTGTTTAAAGAGTTTTAACCCTCTGTGACTGTTTGCCCCAAAGGCAGTAATAAATTGATGAGTTTTTGAAAATTTTAATTCTTCTTCCATTTTTATTGGAAGAATGAAAATGTTACGTGAAAGCTAAGACTTAAAATTTATCGAGAATTTCTTTTTAATTAACGATACTATAGGCGCTACTATTTAAACGTTTCACCGTGTTATACTGTTGCTTTTGTTCGTTTTACCGATTGCATTTATATAGAAACACGTTTGAACTTTCTCCGGCCTGAATCGACGTTCATGATCGATATAATAACAAATTGTAAGTCGATGCAATACCGTTATTGTTTCCGACTGATACCGATCGGTTATATCAGTTAGTTTCTTATCTTCCTTACATCAGTAAGCTTAATTTACTTGAAACAAGAAAAGTCTGAAACGATTTGATGACAGAGTTTCTAAGTAATTTCTAATACTGAATCGCTCGTGTGGAAAATTATAATCAGGATTGTAAACAAATTAGGATTACGACTCGGATACATCTGGTACTCCGTGCTAGTTGCATTTAAGATTTCACTTTCGCTACTTCTTCGATCGGATGTTCTGCTGGACACGCAGAGAAATCATACGGGATAAAAGATAAATTCAGGATTAAAGAAATCGTAGAAGCGTAATAGCCGATCGATTACAAGTTAAAGTACTAAATACACTTGGTTGCAATGAATTTTTTTTCTTTAATTTTCACTGAAAACACGAACACGAACTTACTGATCTCTCGAAGGTTAGACATTGACCTCGAAAGTGAGGTGATCGAGGTGGATTGAACCACGTCTGTACAGAAGAAAGTACATGTAGCAAGTTTAATTGAAGAAAAATCTCGAGTGAATTACTACGTCGACACGTGCTTCAGGTTGACATTGACATTGACAATAATGAAAACGTATTTCTATCGTTTCGATAACCTGACTTTGAAAAATCATTGCAACCTCCTATTACCAGGTGTAAAAACTAATTATCATCGATATGATGAATCTCGTGGATTTTCTTAATTCGTCTAATGATAAAAATGACGATTTTAACGAGTAACGAGTCAGTAAATAGAGATGATCATGATAGATAAGAGGTAGACTTGTTGATTCGAGAGAAAGGAAATGCAACCACTCTCTATCTAACAACTTTTCCCTTCGTTTCAGGCGAGTCTTCGTCCGGTATCGGCTATCGTAAGAGCACTGCTCTGGAAAGTGGTTTCACTTCTTCCACTATTCAGATTAAATTCCAGATTTAAGAAAAAAAAAAAAGCAATTAGTATTAAAATCTTTTGATATAGAATAGAAGAATTATATACATACATACAGGGTGTCCCAGCCTAAGGGTGACAGATAAGAAACCGCATGTATGATATGTGGACACTCCTGGAAATGTTTCCAAAAATTAACGATTCATACAATATTCATTTAAGAAATATTTTAATAAGGAATTGTAAAGTTTTGCATATTATTGAATACCTATGATAAAGAATCGCTTTTCATTTTTACCGTTCTTCTTCAAGCTCATTTAAAAAGTTCTCGAATTTATTTTACCATAATTGGTACGATAATTCCACACGAACGCATTCGCATCCCCTTAAAGCCAGCAGTCACCTAAAATATAAATACGAAACAAGAAAGCAAAATGGTTCAAAGTTATTTAAAATGATCCAGTACAATATCCCGCTGAGAGTTTGCTTATAAAAATTGATTCTTATCTCTTGATACACGATTATACGTGGGCAAATTCTCGTCTGACTCGATGGCACACTTTGAACCGACCAAGTAACACGGAAACGAATGTTACGGAATGTTGGCCGACCAATGGAATCTATGAAATAATATTTGAACGTGATCGGCAAACATTTGCCAAGAGACGGACAAATGTTCGGAGAATCGTTCCTCGAACGTAAATAGATAATTCATTGTTTAAAGAATCGTCACCTTTCTAAATAGCCGTTATCAGAATTGTTGTGTCACTCGTTACACCTGATCTATCAATGAACCATTTAACAACTGTTGATGATCGTGACCTACGCTTAGGCAAAGAAACGATTAACACGGTAGCGTTTACTTTACCTATAACGTACGTGTGGCAAAATCAGAAACAGCTGCTGTTAAGATAATTAACCCTACGAACGCGTTAATTAAGGTAGGGGCCATTGGTGACCATTACCGCAAATTTTAAAACAAGCCAATGTTAAGTGCAAAAATTTAACCCTGAGTTAGATCGTTAGAAGTAAGATGCGGGTAAATATAAAGTTAATAGATTTAATAGACTGATGGCAACGTTTATTGAGTGGAAATCAATGAATGATTATTAGCAGCGGTAACGACACCTGTTTCACTGTTTTGTGAACGACCTATGGACAAGGAAAAGAGGTAAATCCGGATGAAAGTTTGCCCCAGGCGAATCTGGGTTCTATTGATCTCCTTTTATTCGTGTGAATATTTTTCGAGACTTCTCTCCTCCTCTTTCGGTTCGATAATAATTGACCAAGCATTCGATTCAAAATTTATTTGAAAATTTCACTCTACCTACGATCATAATTTAAACAAATTTCATAATTCATCTGTCATTTTAATAAATAATTAAGCTCATAAATATGAGAAAGTTTAAATAATTCAGAAGTAGAAAGGGATCTTCGAAAATATACGAAACGGATCCTAATTCAAATCAGCAAAGAAACTTCCGTTAGCCAATCTTTCCTTGGCCACGATACAACGGTATGGGAGGAAGAAAAAAACAAAATTGTAACCAAAAGGATAAAAGAGCAAGGCGTACGTAAAGGTAACCCTCGGGCTTGCTTTCTCCTTCTGCAGCCAGATTCCTTCGATCGTTTTTTCCCCGCCTTCGAATTTTGTCGAAAGACGATAAAAAGGGTGAATCAACGACACGTCGGATATCGTGGACACTCAGCATCCACCTATACTGGGTTTGAAAACGGATACTGTTAGCTCTTTAGGACACATTCGAGCTTCATGAAAGTTGTTGTCCTTATTTACTTGGATTGTTCCACCACCTGTTTCTCTCTATTACTTCGTACAAAACATATTAACGTTCATTAATGTCACCTCGAACCGTGCGAGAATTCCGCGTAAAATAAATTTGTAAAAGTTTATTTAGGATCTCAATGCGAATATGTACATTGATAAAAAAGAAGACAAATTGTCAGATATAACATAAAAATGTGTACCGATGACGGTTTTTAAACGTTTTTAAAAACTCTTCAGAAGAAAAAAATTACATCTCTGACTCTTATGAAGATAAAATTTCAAGATTAATTATTGATTTTTAATAAGAAAATATTCAGATCAATCGGCCCACTAAATATCCAACAGATGAATCGAAACAGGTTTTCCTTTACTTCCGTCTAAAGATTGTTAAAAGAGGCACGTGTTTCTCAGCAAATTCACGACCACCAATTCCATCAGATTTTCGTTTCGTACAAGTATAATACGTGTATACATGTGTACAAACAGCTTGCATAGGAAGTAGGTTCTACAACAGATTGACGACTCTTATGCAAATGAAGAAATGATACTCGCACCTCGAACACGTAGATAGATCTTTTTTTAAAATCGTATTTCGAAAGTTACCTAAGAATCGTATATTTTTGCAATTCTCTCTTTTTTTCAATATCTATTTATATCTTACGTCCTAGTAGATTATTTTTCGTGTTACTTAATCCTCTGTTCGAGTTATTAGAAATTATAAATAATCGATGTCTTAATTAGCTAAAATCATTTGATTTTTAAGTGAAAAATACCCTGAAAAATAATTGAGACGATATCAACCTTCATCGTACCTTTCGTTTCGCTTTCTCCCAATTTACTTCAAAGCGAAGCCGAAAAGACCCCTTAATTAACGAAAGTTGCGCTTTTAACAATTATCACGTGTGAAAAAATAATTTATATACAATATCAAAAGATCCAGTAACATGTGTTAAAATAAAAAATAGGAGTTCCACTTCGTCTGACGAGAGTTTTAATTGAGCCAGCTGATTATGAAGAAATAGGTGAAAGGCCTAGGACAAACGTTCATGGTCGATGGACCGACGGATTGAAATATTCGGAAACGTGTTTCACGGTTAAAGGACCACTGACCCGTTTTAATCTGTTTCTGTGAAGACGATTTTTACGCTTTGTATCGCTTTCTCTTGGATCCATATTTACATCCGTACGCGCGACCTCCCTTTAGAACTGTCGTAAAATAGCTTTAAGAAACGATGGATATTTATGAGCCACGTAATCTAAATTTCAATCGATACCAAAGAATAACAGCTGACGAAAAAGTGATTTTTCATGGTTCGTTTCGACGTACAAAAAAAATGTGTAATCCTTGGAATCTCCTGAAAAGTAATTTACGGATATTCAGCCGTATAGCATTCGTTATTTTTCGTTTCCTTTAAATATCGTTTTACCCAATTGATAAAAATTCCAAGAAGGGTTAAATTTCAATTATCCTTATACTTAATTATTCACTTCGATACTTGAATAATCCCATGGTATATTAGAAATGCCCAAAGTCCTCTTCTTCCTCGTGACAACTCTCTCAGCTGATCTCATCCTCGACCTCTACAAACATCATCGAGTAGCGAGTCCATCGAGTAGCGAAGCGAAAGAAAGGCTTCTACTCATCTTCGTCGATCTTCGATTATACCGTACGTCCACGAGTCTGCGACAGATTTCGAAGAGACTCAAGCAGATCGAAGGTGCCTATGGTGTTCCGTTTCTCGCCAAAGAAATCGAGGACACGACGAAGACGTCGCGTCGTATAGCCGGTGTTATACAAAACGATACGATCGTTTTCGTTCTGGCCAGGTGGTGGTGATGGTGGACAAACGTTGAGGGATATCGTCCATAGGTGGGATTCGTTGGACGATGTACAAAAGTCGGAGAGGTAGAGGAGAGACAGTCAAGGTGGGATGCCGAACAACCTGAGAGGATCGTTCTTGCGTTGACCGATTCCGAACGATCTATCCCCACGATCGATCCCACCATACGATTTTGGCCTCGTTTAACGTTTACGTCTTGGAAATCGTACCACCTCTGGGAACACCACCGGGGAGACATCGGTTGTAACGACACCAAAGCAGGACCAAAGTTATAAAGCACACCGGCGAAGCTGGTGCAAGGCGCTGCCACTTTGCTGATCGACCTCGTCGTGTCACGATCCTCCTTCTCTCGTGAAGGAAATTATTTTTTTTTTTTTTCCTGGCGGCACCTCCGCTGGTGTCACCTGCTACGCACGGGTCGTGTTCCTTTACCCTTTCGTTGGGAAATAGGTATTTCACAGAGACAGTGTAGAACGAACAATCTTGTACTCTTCGATACTTGTTTAGATACAGTAGTTGATTGTATTGGTGTCGTAAGAGGACGTTGAGGAAGTCGAGGGGCGAGAAGGGTCGTGAACGTTCCGCCTCTTAGTTCTTGTCGAACTACTCATCCAAGGTAAGAGAATCCTTTTTTCCACGCGTTCATGCGTTTTGGGATGATTTCTGATAATGGCGCGTTATAATCCATACATAGGTCACCCATAATCAAACCGCAGTCCATTCAAACGTTCCACATATTTGTAGAGATAATGTTTCGAATCACGTTGAATTTCCAAGTTCAAGTATGCTTGAATTGTTTGAAAACTTCCATAGTATCTTTAGAAAAATTCCATTTTGAATATTTTCTTAAGAGTATAGTTAGACTTTAACGGATGTCTCGAGGTATTAGAATAGTCGGCGAGATGATAAATCACTATTTACCGGTTCTAACGACCCATGAGTTGACGAAGACGATGAAACGTTTAATATAAAAATACTGACGTAGTACTGTACGTCCTTTTGTGGTAACTTTTAAAATATGCAAATTGTAATTAAATTATTAACACTTTGATATCAGAAAAGTTCGTAAATACAAAATTACAAGTCATTAATTCTATAAAATGTACAATCATCAAAGTGTTAATATGTATTAACGTATATTTCAAAGTAATGAGTTAATTATCGTTTAATATATTTGATGTATAAATCAATTTATAATTTGTTAAATTTCAATAACAATGATAACACAAAATAATAAGTTCCTTTTCTTATACCAAAGTGCAAATTGCAAATAATGCTCTAATGAATATTTAATTCCACTTCCGTATTTTCCTTTCAGAATCATCTGCTTTCACATTTTTACGTAAAACGTCGAGCTAAGAAAAGCAGTGTTTCTCCAGAAAGTATCAAGAGCAAAATTAAATTATTAATTTAATTTTTCATTTGATAGGAATGAAAACTGGTCTGTAAGTGATTTCACCTAACTTCTAAAGATTATGAATTGATTTATCGAACTTTCTCTCAGATCATTTGCACGTCAACCAGCTGTTTGAAAATTATCATCATACATTTGTTCACATCAGACTCACATTCCACTTTGATTTTATTATAAAAGTGGTACAAGTTCAATTAGGATCGGAAATCTTAATTCTGTTTAATTTTCAACAGGACATTAATAGTCTTTAGAGAACTTGCTTAGAAGAACATTTGTTTCACGTTGAAAGCAAGCAATTTTGTCAACTGAAAGCAATTACCATATCTACTTAATTGTAAGCCATAAACTTTCCACGTGTCGTCGCTAACAGTGACAAATATTCTTTTCTTAACTTACTATTACTAAGTTATATTTCTTTTTATCCTGAATACCCAAGTTTCGTTTTTAACGCGAAATCAATTATTCAGCTTTCAATTTAAATTCTTCGCTTGATACCCTAATAATATAACATTAATGTGACTCCAAAACAAAAAAAAAAAAAACGAAATTGCCATTGGTGACCCCATGACATTCAACGTGTTAAACGAATGTTTGCTAACGTTTCTTCCTGTGTTTGCGGTCAAAAGTCTAGCTGAAACTTAGGATGTTCGAAGACGAAAGATGAAAGCTAATAAGTGGATATACCAGAGAAGGTGCACTTGCACTTGCTACAAGTTCACGGTAAAGTTAAACCGCAAATGAAAGTAGACATTCCAACCGTGCAATCGAACCATCGAACCGGTCTAAATCGAAAGATCGTACGAAACATGTTTTCCCGCAGACATAGCGGGAGATAGCGTTTCGTTTATCCGGTAATGTGAAAGTTACATATAACGTTTCCATCTTTAAGTGAACGACCGGATAACATACGTGGAACTAGTCATTAACCGCAATATAACGATAGGAGATTCGTGCGCTCGCACCCTTTTTAATAGTAATTTAATCCGATATGCACTTTCCATTTTATCCGTATGTCGTATATATTCCAATTAAAAGCTCATTTTTGTTAGAATTCTTTTTATTGGAATATGTAAACGGAGATAGAGTAGCATTGAAACTAGAGTCACTCCCTAAAGCCCCATTGGAAACACCTAATTAGTCATTCTTTAGAAAATTGTTTCGAAAAATACCTAATACATACATACCTAGGTGTGCGTATGTATATTATGTATGTTATGTATGTTTATATCTATAATGGTCAGATACATAATTGTTAACACTAAAAGATAAGACTTACGTGTATCCCTGGTCTATTATCATGAATTACATTGTAGACTGCTGTTTTCAGTTTCCTTTTCCCACTTGGCGTGGATCGATTTTAATAAATATATCGGCGGCGAGGTTCTTATTCCACAAAATAACGTTATTCCAACCATGTTCCAGGCAATGGCGAACATAATTAATTCCACGGCAACTCTAATAAGTGACGTTTACGATTACTACCTCTGGACGTTGTCTCTTGCCGGTAAGACGCCGTAATTTTCTTAATTCCATTTTATAACAAATAAATAAGAAAAAAAAAAATATACATGTAAATGTTTTTACCTATGTCATTGATAATATTAACGTTCAATATTAACGTTTACAGATGAAAGAACGAGAGGATGGCTCCTGGTCGATTCGCCGAAACCTACTTTTATATACACAATGTTGTATTTACTTATTGTATGGGCAGGACCAAAAATTATGAAAAATCGAAAAGCTTTTAAACTTACGTGGGCGCTCGTACCTTATAATCTTGCGATGGCTCTTCTTAACGCGTACATCGCGATTCAGGTAACTTGTTTTACAAATACGCGGTACATATATTATATTTCGATCCTGGCTCGATAGATTAATCCGTATATTGATTCTTCGCAGTTATTTGTAGCCTCCACCAGGTTACGTTACAGCTATGTGTGTCAACCTATAAGGCATGTAACTCGTCCAGACGAATTGCAAGTAGGTTGAAAATGTTAAATTACATGAGATTTCGTTAACCCATTAATTTCCAAAGATATGTGCAAGTATTGCCCGGTGATCAACGTTTAAATATGGCGGCACATAGCGCGCCACCGGAAAAATATCGAATACATACATCTTTGGTTATTGATGGGTTAAGAATAATTTTCATACTTCCTGCAACAATTTTCTTTTCTTCTTTGCCAGATCGCTAATGCTGTCTGGTGGTACTACTTCAGTAAACTTCTGGAGTTCTGTGATACATTTTTCTTCATCCTACGAAAGAAGGATAATCAATTAAGCTTCCTTCATGTTTATCACCACTCCACCATGTTTTCATTGTGGTGGATCGGAATCAAATGGGTTCCGAGCGGGTCCAGTAAGTAGACTACTGAGATAAGGTCGATATACGAATGTCTTTCAAAGAATTTTACAGGAAAAGAAATTTCTATTTTCCAGCCTTCTTACCAGCAATGGTGAATAGCTTTATTCACGTCCTTATGTACTCGTACTACGGTCTAGCAGCGTTAGGTCCTTCCGTTACTAAATATCTCTGGTGGAAGAAATATTTGACGATTCTTCAATTGATACAATTCACCACTGCCTTGATCCTGGGTATCAATGGAATTCGATCAGGATGCGACTTCCCACTTTGGATGCAATACGCTCTTGTCATTTATATGGTCTCCTTCATTGTTTTATTCGGCAACTTCTATGCCAAAGCGTATATCGCAAAGGTAACGTATATGAAACAAATTTAATCACAATTATTTTGGAACCGTAATTCAATGAAACTTTTTTATATACAGGGTAAAAAAGCGTACGCGGAAAGACAATTAGAAAAAATGAAAGTAGCCGCTCAATTGAAAACAGAACTTACCGACGGAGCTGTGCGCAACGGAAATGTTACAAATGGACATGCTAACGGATACGCGAACGGTGTATCCAAAAAGACTCAATAAAACGACATATTCCTAAATTCTTTATTAAAATATTAACGTCGCTCGAATTGCAAGCTGTATAATTGTAAGGGAGAAAGCAAAGTCTTATTTTTGATCGGTAAGATGTCCTGGAACCGGAATTCATTTGACTAAAGTTTTTAGTTCTTGCAAATCGCTACGTTCACGATAGGCGACGCTTTGTACGATGTACCCGCCAAGTCATATTTACTCATAAACCAATGTTTCCTTGAATTGTCGTACACTTAAATGCAACATTGGCTTCCTTTGATTAAAGACCAGCGTAGGAGGAACTTCCCACCGTTTAAAGACAAATGGTGGGTGGTTACTTTCTCTACGATTACTCCTAATCAAGAAAAGCCTACATTGCACCTACATGTGTATGTACATACGACTTCAAACTTACCGGCCTGCAATTTTTTTAGCCCTTAGACCAGTAGCACAAAGTTCAACGGATCGCTGGTCTAAGGTATTGTAAATAGAAAATAGTCGAGTATGTTAGCAGTTTAGTCGTTAGTAGGCGAATTGTACAAGATCCAATGGAGTCGAGTACGATAATATTGCATAAGCGTGAAGTAAGCGATCTTTTTGTGACCGACGATTGAACTCTGCCTTGTAAAGAAAACAAAGAAATAATAAAACTAATCGTCGACTCGGGAACTGCCTTTAGTCTTCTCGTTTTTTCTTATGGTAGAATTAAGATTAGAATTCAAGTAAGACGGTCACGATAAGGTTGTATCTATACATTTGCACATTCGAGACATAGTTAATACATACATACATACTGTATCGTGATATTAGATATGTTACAATCTTTTTAAACCGATAAAAGAACATACCTTTCTAACACGATCAAAAACATTGTAAAAAAAAAAAAATAATTGATTTGCAATTTTGCAATTATCTAATATTTACATTATTTGTAAATATTCTTTTATTTAATGAATTGATAACAGATGTTTAGAATTATACATTTCGTTTGAAGGTTTATTGTTTATTTACGGCATAAACATGTTTATGGATTAAAAGTAATAAATCAATAAAAATCTGATACTTAACATTTCAAATTAAAAGTCGCTATTGAATGTAATTATTGTTAATACGTTCCATCAATGCCGTGATATGTAAGAAATAATTGTTATAAAAACATCATTGCCGTGCAATGTAAAAATGTCCAAAAAAAATGTATTGTTTATTCCCAATAACATCTGTTCATCAAACATTTCCACTGAAATAACAAAAATACAAAATAGTATGTAATAATAAAACAGAAAATTTGATAAAAGTATATTGTATATTGCAATTATAATATATGTATGTATTAAAATCAAATTAAAAATTCATTTAATACAAACATATTTGTTTTTTGTATCTAATTCTGTTTGAAAGTATAATACCATGAACACGATATTTTAAAAAACAACAAACAATTTTGATACAAAATATCTATTAAAAATACGTTTGTATTATGAATTTCTAATTTCACAGTTTGGTATACCATATGACTGTTAGTAGTCTTGACTAGCTTATCTACTGAAACCTTATACAATTTTTAATATACTGACTTCTAAAACATTTGATAAAGTATTATTGACAAAAAATTGCGATTTTATATAACATTTTAAAAAACATTGATCAATTACACTTTTTATGCAATCTTTTGTCAGATACCCTTTTGTATATGAAATGTTCATAATACATATTTAGTAATTTGTATTAGAAGCAATAGCTTTTGCAAATTTTCTATGTGATCAAATGTAACTATTTAACATATTTTACATGCATTGTACCATTAAGTTTAAGAAATATACAAATAAATATAATCAAAAAAAATATTTCATTCTGTCTAGTATAGAATCATACTGACAAATAATTCAGTCATGACTTCTAAGAATTATAATGGCTAACCAGATTGAAGAGATTTTGCCAGCATAACATTGTATATGACATACAACAGCAAATTCAACTGGTCCACTAATATTATGGATCTTTGTTGCATATAAATCTTTACACAACTCATCTACATGACATTCGCGTTTGTTTAATACAAAACCGTGAATATGATAAGCTCTATATAATTGTTTTAAATCTTTTTTACCTAATTGTATCTCGGAAAATGGTTCTATCTTAGATATGGAATTTCTTAAAACAGCAGTTGCATGTCGATTAAATATTGTTGTTAAGCCAATATTACTTCGCCAATCAGCCAATTTATCCTTTAAACATTGTTCTATATCTATAGCAGTCTTTTTAATTTGCTTAACTTCTTCATCGGTAATGTGTAATTCAAGTGTTTGTACATTATGATCAGTTTTTACCAAAGTAGTAGTATCAACGGATCGCCAATCTTTACTTGATTTCACGTCATACTTAAGATTATGAGGTAAAATGGATTTTTGCAAATTTTCCCATATCTATAAACATGTTATTTTTAATAATAATAAAAATGAATATCATTTGAAACAAATTTATTCGAAAAATTATTATACTAACACCAAAATAATTAATTAGACGAGACACCTTCATTAAAGGACAATGACTATCATCCAGTTTATGATAATTTCCCGTTTCTGGATCCCATAATACATATATTCCATTATTACTGATACTCAGAACAAATGCAGTCAATTTACTTATTTGTGATGAACCTATTAAATAAAAAATATTAATTTATGCTTATATAATTAAATTACAAATTTTTATGATAACAATGCATACCTAATAAAACATATGTTTGTAGATCAAAGCTTTGTAATAATACTGCTAATAATGCTGCTCTTCCATAGTGATCTACTTTCTTTATGTTTAATGCTTGACGCGGTGTAATTGGTCCGTAATGAGCCGGTAGCGATGGTAACAACATCACTATTTTTGCAGCATCTTTTGGATTTTCTAGGCCACTAATCTTGTATGATGTAACAAGACAACGTTGAATTCCTTTAAGCAATGTATTTGTAGTTGTACTTTCAACGGATTTAGGAGTATTGGGATGCTCCATTTTAATTAAAACATAAATTCTAGTACAGGATTGACCAGGACTAGCTTGTATATAGCCAAAAAGTAACACTGGGCTGAATAAAGGTGACAATGTAATCCATCTTTCAAGTTCCTGATAATTTCTATGATATTCAAGGGGAATTCTAGTTTCACCTAGCCATTGTTGACCCCAAACAGGATGTTGATCATACAAACGAAATTTTATACAATATTCACCACTCTGTCTTGGTAATTCAAACTGTACTGTTTGCTGCCATACAGGTGCTGGGCCCTCTGCTATTGATGTTGCATGAATTGTATCACCCCATTCAACTTCTATAAATGGTTGAACCAATGCAGACTCTTCTCTAATTGGTATCTCTATTCCTCTTAAAATAGTAACAGCTAAAACTGTTTTTCCTATTGTATGATGTCTACGGGTTCCTGATGATGATTCTAATGGATGCTTAATTTGAAACAAATTTCTGAATGACATATCAAGTAGAGAAAGTGCAGGTTGTTCTGTTACAACTATATCCGGTGGCTTCACATTTTCTTCTTGGACTCTTTTAGAAACAGTTACTTCTGAATCTACATTGAATGTTAATGCTGGATCTTCCAATAAAAAATACTTTACTTGTTTCTTACAAAGATTTTTGGGTGGTCTAAGTAAAGACAAACTATTCTGAGGATCATTTGGATCATTACTTAATTTATACAATTGGGATGTGCATGGTTCTTCTTTTTGTTTACCATAGTTCTTTACTGTGACTGTGGATATTACTGTTCCAGCATGTATTTTACCTAAATTGTCACTTATTGCAAAATCAATTTCTACTTTATTATTCTCAACATTACGCTTTGGTAATGGTAATGGTAATATACTTGATTGCCCACCTTTAGTTAGTACTTGTATTGAAAGATTATTACATTCCATATTTCTGATTAACAATTTATGCAATTTTCTATTAAAGGGGCTATTTGCTTTACATATAATCTTTTTCTTAAATAATAAACAGACAGATGTAATTTCAACTGTATCTGATTGATCCCTTAATGTATTAATGTTAACATCACGAATTACAATTTCTAAAAGCTTCCCATGAAACTTATGGGTTGATTCATATTCTAACATTTTCATGTTGCTAAACTCAGAAGATTTAATGTCATTGTAAATAAAAGGACTGTCAGATGCATACAATCCATCTTCAACTAAATTTGTTTCTTGATTTAATTTTTGCAGACTTCTATTGTCAGTGGTAAGAACTTTAGTTCCTTGATCTTGATGTATAGTTGGATATGAATAACAAAGACTCAGATTTTCTTCTGTTTGATTTTCTATACGTTGTGCATACCCTTTAATAAAATCAATGTCTAGGGTGGACATATTTATAATGAAATGATTTAAATTGTCAGAAAAATATGAATATACATATATGTATAGTAGCTATACTTATATAATCATTTCGGGTTTTTGTATATGTACATTCATTTAACATTTACATCGAAACGTTGCTTAGTAACGGGTAAACAGTAAATTTGATTACGATGCCATCTAGAAATTTAAAGTTTTAATTAATAAATCATTAAAAAATTCTGTATACTTTTTTAAAAACATAGCGAAATTTTAAATTCATTCTCGTTTTAAATAAATCATTTTATCGTAATTCAAATTTGTAAAATTCAAGATGTAAAAGAGGTCAGAAACCGCAATAAAGCGAGATCGCAGAATCAAGAGTAGAGAGCGGACACGGTCTCTGCTCATGGGCAGGAAGTAGATCAACTACAATTCATCGCATAATCAATCTGTCGAAGTTTATGCATTGATTTTATGTGCATTCCTTACCTCAATATCGTGTAATAACCTCCTTCTTACAACTTATCAAAATATTTCTTAACATAATGCTTCAAATCGTCAATTTTCATTCTATTTTCTTAATTTAAGATACATTTTTTTCATAGAAAACTGAAATAAAAAAAAAGTTTTATTTTAAATCATAAATTTAATTTACTGTTATCTTTATACTTCTTTGATTTTTTTAATCATTATTCATTTTACCTTAGAGTTTAACTTATAGTTTCAGTTACAGCAATATGTTTTCAGGACACCTGGTATGCAAAGACAGGATCAATACCTAATATGGGTGTCCATAATCCAAATGTTGTTAACCCCATACAACTAAAATTAAAATGAATGTGTATTATATACACACCTGTTTAACGTTATTTGATATAAATTTGTTAATTTATATGTAAAATATACGTATAATAAATTAAATAATAAAAGGGGAAATAGTCTACTAAACTATTAAATAAACTTCTTTGTATGGAATGTTTAAATTCAATATAGTTTTCAATTAAAATAATATCTTTCCTTACAAAATAAATATATGAATTACGTGAGTCACCAATCAAAACGTACAATCCAAATATGGAAGAAACTGTTCACATCCTAACCGAATTTTTTACATAAAAGTTTCTTACCCTTTCGCATTTTGCAGTCAGAATTTAGTCAATAATTATATCTTTTCGTTGTTTACGTGAGGTATGTTTTCAGAAATCTGCATTGTTATTAATATCAATAAAACAAGTGATTGTATTATTAATAGGGGGACTATATTTTCCTTCCAAGGGTCGTGAATTCAGGTACTTGTGAGTACTGCGGTCAGAGAAGAACCAATCGCGAAAGGAAATGAGATCATCGGCGACCAATCTGAGCACGCTGACAAGTCACCTACCGAAGGTATAAATAGTTGTCCCAAGAGGATGGTGATGCATTCGTTCGCTCCAGTTTGCTGATTGTTGGACAGAAGTATCGTAGTTACTAGCGAAAGCTCCATTACTTGCTTTAGCTACTATCGACGTCTTTCGCCAATATACATAAATACTCATTTGAACATCTTTAAAACTTTACAACAGCTACAAAATGGTAAGTTTCTTCTATCTTATCAATATTTAATGAATATGAAAGGATACCCCTGTTACTTGGAGAAGGCAGCCATTTTATAACGGTTTTAAGTACTACTCATACCGGCCGGCTTTCAAACTTTTTCAATATTATCGTCTCTCTTCTTTTATTTAAACTTGTTGGTATATAATGCAGCTATAAGAACAAAATTTTTGTGTTTCGACATTGATGTCGATTTTTTTAATCTAATTTTTTGAAACTTTATTTTAGCGTGAATGTATCTCAGTTCATGTTGGACAAGCTGGAGTCCAGATTGGTAATGCTTGTTGGGAATTGTATTGTCTGGAACATGGCATTCAACCTGATGGTCAGATGCCATCTGACAAAACCATTGGTGGAGGTGATGATAGTTTCAACACCTTCTTCAGTGAGACTGGTGCAGGAAAACATGTACCCAGAGCAGTCTTCATTGACTTAGAACCTACGGTAGTTGGTAAGTGTCTTTGATTTGATCAATTTCAATTTAAATATGTAATTATAACCAATATTTCCATTTTTTAGACGAAGTACGTACCGGTACTTACCGTCAGTTATTCCACCCAGAACAATTAATCACTGGCAAGGAAGATGCAGCAAATAATTATGCTCGTGGTCATTATACAATTGGAAAAGAAATTGTTGATCTTGTATTAGATCGTATCCGTAAATTATCCGATCAATGTACCGGCCTTCAAGGTTTTCTTATTTTCCACTCCTTTGGAGGCGGTACCGGGTCTGGGTTCACTTCTCTTTTGATGGAGCGCCTTTCTGTCGATTACGGCAAAAAGTCAAAGTTAGAATTCGCCATTTATCCTGCTCCACAAGTCTCAACAGCAGTTGTTGAACCATACAATTCAATTCTCACTACACATACTACTCTTGAACATTCCGACTGTGCATTTATGGTCGATAACGAAGCCATCTACGATATATGCCGTCGTAACTTGGACATCGAAAGACCTACTTACACGAACCTGAATCGATTGATCGGCCAGATTGTATCTTCGATCACAGCATCTCTACGATTCGACGGTGCTTTGAACGTCGATCTAACGGAATTCCAAACGAATTTGGTACCGTATCCTAGAATTCATTTCCCTCTGGTGACATACGCCCCCGTCATTTCAGCAGAGAAGGCTTATCACGAACAACTCTCTGTATCAGAGATTACTAACGCTTGTTTCGAACCAGCAAATCAGATGGTGAAATGCGATCCACGTCATGGAAAATACATGGCTTGCTGTATGTTGTACAGAGGCGATGTCGTACCCAAAGATGTAAACGCGGCGATCGCCACCATTAAAACGAAACGTACCATTCAGTTTGTTGATTGGTGCCCTACAGGATTTAAAGTTGGTATTAATTATCAGCCACCGACTGTGGTACCCGGCGGTGATCTTGCCAAGGTACAACGTGCTGTTTGCATGTTATCCAACACCACCGCCATCGCAGAAGCGTGGGCACGTCTTGATCACAAGTTTGACTTGATGTATGCTAAACGAGCATTCGTCCATTGGTATGTCGGAGAAGGTATGGAAGAAGGTGAATTTTCCGAGGCTCGTGAAGATCTTGCGGCTCTTGAAAAAGATTACGAAGAAGTTGGCATGGACTCCGCTGAAGGTGAAGCAGAAGGCGTTGAAGAATATTAAATAATGTGATCATAAATATCGTTTTGATACTTTTTTTTTCCGTAATAAAAACACGAATTATCACCAGCAACGATGCATTCTTTAACTTAAACCTCTGCATTGAATAATTATTTTATTAGTTTTCTATCGAGTATTTTTAATTTATTTTTCATGGAAAAATAAATTCTTTTTTGTACAACATAAAGTAGAACCATTGTACGATTAGAATTTCCTGCATAATTAACCGTATAAATGATAGTTAATACTATACCGCAGTTCACCAGAGTCCATAACTGCGAAAAGACCAGTTTTCGTTCTTCGCGCTTCTCCAGTGCGCATCTTCGCCCTGATTGGCTGATTAGCAGAGAGCTCGCTGCGTTCCCCCACCATCTTCCAACCTGCACGTCGCAGTTATGGACTCTGGTGAACTGCGGTATATGTAGGTCTAGCCCTATTTCTAACTTATATTTCTATAATAAACCAGCGAAAATATACATTTATTTGTGCGTTTCTTTATACAAAGAACAGTACGAATGAGTACGTGGGACATTACAAATTTTAAAAATGATGCAAAATGATAAATAGAAGCACACGTTTTGTTTATATGATCCATATAAAAAAAATACGTTCACATAAAAAGTAATAATGGATACTATATTTTTGAACGTATTTATATTGCGTTTATTTAAATTTTATATTAGAATTCATAAAATAATTCCTCTTCTGACTCGTCTAAGTATTGTAGCAAGTCGAAAAAAACGGTATCATCCTCATCTTCATCATCATCTTCTATTGGCATTCCATGGTATAACATGTTATAGCATTTAGAATTTGTATCTTCGAAATGTTCGTACGGTCTATCATGATTTAATATAGTATTACATAGCCAGCAAAAAGGTGTATTACATCGCCAACATTTCATTTTGTTGCAGCCATCCAGTTTCTAAAAAATAATTATGTTACGACCGAATTGAATAATTAATATTGACAGTTCGTAAGCAAGTATATAAATATACTTTTAGTACCTCAATAGCAGCTTTGCATTTAGGACATTTTTGGCTATTAGTTTTGATCCAATTTTCAGACATGGTATTTTCTACTAAAGTTAAAAGTTGTTTTTTACCATAACGTTGTTCCATCTGAAGTTTCTTATCATCAGGGGCTTCTTGATATTCTGTTACTAACTGATGTGTTCCAGCTACAAATAATGGATGTAACACAATTTACATATATGCTGTATGTTTCACTAATTAAAAAATTCTACAATATAATTATTAAGTCAATTATGGCCATAATAATTTATAATGTTGTACCTGAATAAAGTTTGCATGGCTCTATACCATGATATACCATTTTGCAAAAAACACAAAATGCATACTGACAAATTGGACAATTTGCCATTTGTTCATTTGGCTCACAACTAACTGGATATTGACAGTTACGTCGTGGACAATATATTATATCTGTCATAGTAGCTAATGTAGCACTTAATAATATAGAATCATATTTTGCAAATAACTCTGAACTTACTAGATCCTTTATCTGAAAATTTTTATAAAATTTTGAATGTATAATAGATACAAAAAAAATAAAACAAAACAAAACATTTCTATTTGGTTTAGGAAAATAAAAGTGCACCTGTGCAGGAGTTGCTTCAGCAGTACACTCATCTTCAGGGCAATAAATATTTTGCACATTTCCATCTTTGATTCTTATTTCTAGGTAATTAGTTATGCAATCTTTACAAAATACATGAGAACAAGGCAAGAACTGTGTACAATGCTCTCCTAATTTGTCTACAAAACAGATTTTACAAGTATAGAAATTTTTCTTAAATTCAATTTGATTTCTCTTTTCACTGTAATCAATTAATATTTGAATGGGATTTCTTCCAACAGGACAGTCTAAAATAGCTCTTTTATCATAGCGTTTTTGTATCAACTTCTTTTTACTTAAATATTTACTGTTAGTTCCCACTTTCATCTTGTTCCTTACATCTTCAGTATGTTCCTTCCCACTATTATCTATTATTCTGTTTTTCTGGTTGTTTTGGGCTTTTTCTAAAGTTTCTTTGTAATAAGTGTATATATAATTCATATTAAGATTTTCTTGTATATGCAAAAATTCCAAGGTCTCATCTTGTAAAAATGCCACCCATGTAAATAAAATTTCTTGTCCTTTGTTTTCTGCCCATAATTCATCCAATTTTTTGCATAATTTACTCAACAATGATACATGTAACCAAGGTGAATATAAAGTAAATTTAGGTGGTAACTTGGAAGGATAATTTTCTGGTAAAACAACACGGAGTGTTAGAGGTGGTAAATGAGATATCTTAACTGTTTGTTCAGGTTCATCCAAACGTCTAAAATCCTTGTAAGTTGCATAATAGTTTGGAGGAAGATTTATGAATATCATAAAGGTACATTGGTAACTACCATTTTCCTCATGATATGAAAATTCTTCTGTATTATAAATACTTTCCAGTGCAATTACTTCATCTTTCTGTTTTTCAGCATCCATTTATGTAAATTTAAAATCCAATCATAAAAAAGATTGCTGTTTAGGTTCTGTGAGATTAATACTGAAAAAAAAAATAAAATTTAATGCATATGTATAGTATACATACAAATTTTGACAATGTGATAAGAAATAGGAATTTGTTGAACAAAGTATGCTTTGCATTTGACAGTTATAGGTTAAGTGATTCTAAACCTCTGTTAAATTCTATTGTTTTTTTATTAATAGATAAAACTGAAGAATATAATTAACATTGTACATCAACTTTACAACCAATTCCTTTATAACTATCAAAATTTTATGTTTTATGCAAATTACTGAGCACACAAAAATCGGAAATAATTTGAACATAAAATTATACAAATGTAAATGTTACAATTGGAAACTGAATAATACAAATAAAAGTATATTATATTATTAAACTTCTGTTTCATATAAAAAGCTTACAAATTAAAATTAAAGTATATAATTAGATTTTTTTCATACCTGCTTACCGCGAGTATAGAACGCGTCTGACGAGCTCAAACATGAGAAAACTAATGTATAAATTAAGAAATAATTATTCCATACAATTTTTTGAAAGAGATATCATTGAACTTGTATTATCTACGTTAAAGGACGGCACATAATTGATAACATCTGTCTTCGGCCACGTCAAATATTCGTTTGTATACATCAGTATACATATGGCTTGTTTTATACTGTTGTATTGTACTTGTCAAAATGTTCAAAATGAAATACGATAACGACACATGGAAATTTATTTTTCCAATTTTAATTAATTTTCTGATGTCGGTTAGTGTGTACTTTTTAACTGTACGTTTAATTCCAAAAATAAAAGATATGTTTATTAAAGCTAACCTATATGGGATTGATTTGAATAAAAATAGTGGTGAAAAAGTGTAAGTGTATTTGAAACTACATCATTACTTCATCTTCTGTTTTAAGTATGTTAAAAGCAGGTAATTCATGTATTTATTCTTTTATAGGCCAGAAGCATTAGGTGTTGTTACCGGATGTCTGTTTCTTATAACGCTCTTTTTGTTTATTCCTATACCATTTACAAATTATATATTTAATGACACAAACTTCCCTCATAGCGAGGTATGCTACTAATATTTTATCCGGCATATCATATATAGATATATCATCAGTATTATATGGATAAAATCTTAATTACAGTTTATGGAATTTTTGGCTGCCCTACTCTCAATTTGTTGTATGTTACTTTTGGGTTTTGCTGATGATGTTTTGGATCTTCGTTGGCGGCACAAATTACTGCTACCAACTATTGCTTCCTTACCACTTTTAATGGTGTATTATATTAATTTCAACTCTACCTTAATTATTGTACCTAAACCTTTAAGATCATGGTTTGGTTTCTCTGTGGATCTTTGGATATTTTATTACTTATACATGGGGATGCTAGCAGTGTTTTGCACAAATGCTATAAATATATTAGCCGGTATAAATGGTTTAGAAGTTGGCCAAAGCCTAGTAATTGCATTAAGCATTCTTGTTTTTAATATAATAGAATTATCAGGAAATCTTTGGAAAGCACATCAGTTTTCATTATATTTTATGTTTCCATACATAGCCACTTCATTGGGCTTACTGAAATTTAATTGGTAAGTGATGGTTTTTTTTTCCAATTCAAATAAGAAAAACAGTAATAATTAGTTTTTTTATAAGTTATGTGTATATAAATCATTTAACATTTATACATATGTTCATTCAACATATTATTTTGGTATATAAATTCAGTACAATATTATATAGTTTACATTGAGTATTGAATATGAGTTAATATCACAGTCAGGTGTAACCAGTATGTTAATAATAATCTAATTTAGCATAAAAATTTTCTACTAGCCAGTCATACTTCCATGTATTATTAAATATTGTTTCAGGCGCAAAATAGAGGTCCCGAGATTTAGAGACTCTTAGGAGATTAGTTTTTCCATCTAACCATAGTCCACTTCCTATTAGGTCCTCAATGAATGGTACATCAATAGTTTTATCTATTTCAATTTCTTTGGATTTGATTTTATCTTGTAGACTAGTTATAATGTTTGAAGGTGCTTGACATAGATAACAGTACCATCCTCCATAATGATTTAAATCTCCTATTACTAGGCCTAGGGTATCTCTTTCACTGAAGTCTCCTTCTAGTTGCTCCAACATGATAGAATTTGATTGATAAGCTTCATGCATTAAACCAATTGTACAGGCACCAACTGTTATTGTTGTTTTAAGTGGATGCTGCCAGAAGAATCCATAAACAGACCATCTTAATCTAAAGCCAATAGGTTGTGGCCATCCATTATATACCTTGAGGAACATTAATGCCCTGGAGTTTAATATTTGTTCTGATTCAGTTGTTACATAAATATCGTCGTCTCTTAGATTTCTTACTACACTTCTCATTTTCTCCCAAATATATTTAGACACTACTCTTGATGGTTTGTGTATCTTGGTTGCTACATTAATATATAAAATTTTTTTCTGCTTATGTTGCAATAAACCCTTAAGTAATTTATGATGAAAATTGTCTTCTGCATTACTGAAATCACAGATTACAAAAAGATCTACTACGTTGTATAGTTCCTCTACTATCACTTCTGCAATTGCTGAATTATATTCATGCAGAAAAAATGCATGAATAATACGTCTAGCTATTTTACGATGTTTCAATTTAATATTTTGCTTTGATGCCATAATTGCTCTCCAAACAACTTCTGGTTGGCCACAATCCGAACCGTGCCATCCATGAGTGCAAATACATTTTTGAAGATTTTCACTATTTTTCATTTTCTGATCATCCACTCCATATTTCCAACATATGGTATGATTATATTCTTCAAATAGTGCAAAAGTCTTGATATCTTTCAGTATTACCTCTCCATTGATTGTCTGGTAGATGGGAATTTTTTTATAATTAGTTTGTTGAATTTGAGGTTTCTGTAAAACAATAAGTATTGTTAATGGAATTAGAAATAATAATTGTTTAAGCGATATATAATACATTACATACTTGTGGTTCTTCAAATTTCACAAATGTAACAGAAGTATGAGTTGTTGATACAGTTAGTTCAGAAGGTGGAGTTGTAGCAACATAAATCATAACAATAAGAACTTGCAAGACTAATAATGTATAAAGTAAGGCTAGTTTCCCATCTAGGCGGGGCTGCATGGCACTATATCTTGCTTTAATTTTTAGTTATTCATTTTATATTTCATAAAAATTTCATTTTAGTCATAACGTTTCTGGCACAGCATAGCACCATTCAAAAACGTACATATAATTGACTTATATGATATTTGCCTATGGATTGAACTTTTATATTGCTGATGATACATCATACAGCAAAATTAACTGAAATTCACATACTTTGTTTTTTACTTATGTATTAAATAATTAGTTGCAATCACCAAGCATGATAAATTATTATAACATGTTCGAAATATCAAAGGAATATAAAAATATTCATCTATGTGTAAAAATTTTCGTTGCACAAGATTTTACGTGAAAAATCATAGTTTTCACAAATATTGAATATTAATCAATAAATAATTCTCACAATCAGTGATATTTCAGATATAAAGTATACGTAATTTGTATACAAACTCACAATATAGTTTGACGCTAACGATGATGCGAATGCCTTTGCGTCGTGACGTTTAAACCGTGACGTCACCGCGCCCTGAGGTGCCATTTAATTTTAAATGACCTCGATTACTGGTTAACAATTTTTTTAAGCAAACAAAACTGTGTTTTTTAGTTAACTTTTGGTATTCTGTTAATTCTAGGATTGTTTGCTGCATAACGCCACATATTTCCACTTCTTCGTAACAAATTCAATTCATTATTTAAACATATTTCGTTGTTCTGTTAAACCCTACCCAGTTTCTTATGCTATCTTTTAAGAGCAATGGAACAAGTTCAAAAACCACGCCCAAATGCTTTTCTATGGGTCTTTTACTGTAATTCGTTAGCAAGCGCGGTTGTAACTCCTCTCAAGGCGCACGCGTCTGTATACCGCAATTCACCAGAGTCCATAACTGCGAAAAGACCAGTTTTCGTTCTTTGCGCTTCTCCAGTACGCATCTTCGCCCTGATTGGCGATACTTCCAAACGAAGTGGAAAGCGATTAGCAGAGAGCTCGCTGCGTTCCCCCACCATCTTCCAACCTGCGCGTCGCAGTTATGGACTCTGGTGAACTGCGGTATACATCTACGAACTTATCATCTGTAATTTTGATAAATAATAAATGGAAGTAAACTATGTAGATTTGTACTCTTACAATATTATTAATTAGTTTTTATTCACTTTTAATTTTTAATTGTAGAAAAAACGTCTTCAATTTTTTATAGAAATAAATTTGTATTTTGTTTAAGGTATCCAGCTCAAGTATTTGTAGGTGATACTTTTTGTTATTTATCTGGAATGACATTTGCCGTTGTTGGAATTATTGGTCATTTCAGTAAAACAACGTTGTTATTCTTCATTCCACAAATACTTAATTTTCTTTATAGTGTACCTCAATTATTTCATTTTATACCATGCCCTAGACATAGACTACCAAAGTAAGTGCTCCAATAAACTGTTTTCAGTTTATTTTAATATTTACTAATCTGTATGTATATATTTTTATTTACAGATATAATAAAGAAACAGATAAGCTAACAATAAGCAATACAGTATTTAATAAAAAAGATATTGGAGTCATTGGTATGGAAAATTAATTTACTAACATTAAAATAACTTGATCCAAGATCACATGGGTCTATTTTTAGGTTCATTCATATTATGGATATTTGGGAAGTTAAATATAATAAAATGGAAAGAAGATGATAAAGGTATCATTACTTGCAATAATTTTACATTGATTAATTTTATTCTAATTAAAATTGGACCAATGAGGGAACCTACACTAACTCTAACTTTACTGCTAATTCAAGTAAGTTTCCTTTAAGACTTTTACCTTGAAGCAATAAATCAATATATCGTTTATATGGAATATGCTGATGCATTGAACAATTATTGATATTCTAGGTTGTTAGCAGTTTATTAGCATTCATTATAAGATACCCTCTTGCTTCAATTTTCTACGATGTTTGATGAGGTATGTATTTGAAAGAAATGGTCGTATGAAATACGAAATTACTGTATTGTTTCATAATGAAATAATATATTATCTATCAAATTTTTCTGTACAACAATTTTCAAATACGCACGTGTTTTCGTATTTTATATTCGTAGTGTCATTATACAGCCACTGAACATTCTGAACAATGTAGGTACTGTTTTATTGTACTATTCCCAGGAAATGAATATGTTCCTTTCTAGTTTGTAAGCCATATTATAATTTTATATCTCAAATTTTACATGATTTGATTAAAAGATATATGTACAAAATAATGTAAAATACAATTTTAGATTCGTAACTACAATTTTTAGTAAACTATTACAAATTAATTATTCATTTATTTTTTGTTTTTTAACAATTTTGTTTCAATAAGTAACATATATGTGTATACAATATTTTAAGTATTGTATAAGCGTAAAACCTTTAGTATGTACGCTTATATGTTCTAAGAATATTTAATATGATATTTCACAAAATACAAGTGAATAACAGATCTTGTAAACGAAAATTTTATAAAAGTTTAAATAATCAACAATTGAAGTGATAGTAGGCATCATGTCTTTGTAGTCTTATATCTAACGAAAACGCTAAAATAGATGTTTTATAAATGCAATTTTCAAAAATAGAGTTCGTAGGAACTTACAGTTGAAAAACTACTAAAAAATAATGTAGTTAAAAAGTAACTATGATGGATTTTTAATGTTTTACTTTAAATTTCTACAGAAACAACAGCAAATACAAGTGTATGGTATTTGTAAAAAGAATCGATGTATTACTGCGAAAATTTTACTGAACTCGCGTATAAAACTATATTTACGGATCATACCATAGACACGAAACTTCATTCTTTAATTCTGGTAACCATGTGTATTATTTATTTTAAATTTCGATCCCGATCAGTGTTGTTTTATACAAAAAAAAAGCTTATGAAACATTTTGGAAATTAAACATTATACTGGAACCTAGTTTATCTTTTATTGTAAGTTGCGTTTTTGCAGCATCTCTCAGACTGAAAATATGTGTAAGCTCCATGGCTGTGCGACCTAATGCTAAGGCCTTGTCAAATAATTTTATTGCTTCTGTTAAATTTCCTCTGTTGAAAAAGTAAAATTTATATTTTAGAACGATATAAAGAGTCAATATTTTTTCAAAAATTAAAGAAAAATAATATTGATTTACCTTTGAACTTCAATTGTTCCTAATGTTTCATATCCATATTCACATTTGTCATCTAATAACAATGCTTTATTAATATATTCAACAGCTTTATCAACATCAGCATTCCATTGTAACTGTAATAAACCTCTGTGCACGTGGACTGTTGCATTAGTTGGGTCTTTTTCAATTGCTTTAGCAAAGTACCTATCTGCTTTCTGATAATCTTGTGTTTCCGACAACATCTATATTATTGTACGACACACCGAATTAGATATTTAATCTGATATAAATTTCAGTAAAATATTACTTAAACGTTTATTTATACCTGGGCATACAAGGTATAACATTCGGGACAGTCTGGAAATTTCTCAACTGCTTGTTCAAAACCTTTCATAGCTTCTCTTATTACTTCCATATCCCTTTTTACTATACCATAACGATAATCTGCATAGCACTTCTGTACAAATGCTACTCCAAAGTTGGGATTAAGTTCAACAGCTTTTCTAAAATCTTCCCTGGCTTCATCTATGTTTTCCATAAGTAAGTTTACCTGGAATTATAATTTGTATGGTTTTATTTTCTCATTTCATTAATCTTAAAATGATCTCTATCAGTACCTGTCCTCTATGATGATAAATGTCACCACACTCGGGATCAAGCTCAGCAGCCATTTTAAAATCACAAAAACTTTTTTCTGCATTTTCCAGTTGCATAAATAAAGTAGCCCTTTTTATCAAAGCATTTACTTTCACACCATTTGAAACAGAATCGTTATCTATAATAGTTCCAAGATCTTCAATTGCAGCATCATGCTGTCCTAATAAAAGGTAAAATGTGGCTCTTGTGAGTAATACTTCCATTCTGTGTAACAGTGTATTTGGTTCAGAACTATCAAGTTCTTCATTGCATAAGGGTATTACATCATCATAATTTTGTTCTTTCACAGATTCTAAAACTTTTAGAAGACCCCTGAAGATTACATAAATTTTAATTATATAAAATCTCTTTCACAATACATGTACGAATTGATAACAATTTGAAACATTTTGAAATACTTACTGAGAAATATTACCATCATTGGCATTTTGAAGCCTTACAAAAACAGGATCTTTAGGGAAAGTACTAATATATGTTTTAATAAAATATTTGCTAGGCATTATTAATTTCTTGTTTGCCAAATGTTCCATTGCATGTTGTCTACCTAAAAAAGTTTGAAACTTGTATTTCAAGTTACATTACATACATTTAGTTTTATTAATGCAGGGATTTTAAAGTACACATTTTTACCTAATTGCTTTAAAACTCTATCTGCCATTAAAATTGTTGTTTGATTAGAAAAATTTTCCAAAATACATGCAGCAGTAACATCTTCCAAAGCTGACTCTAAATCATTACAGTGTTCCATTGCCCTTGCCCTACGTAATAATGCTTTTGCATACTTTGGTTTTAATTCTAAGGCTTTTGTACAATCTGCTTTGACAGCACTATACTTTTTCTGTAATATATCATTACATGATGTAATTGTAAAACATATCAAACACAAAGTTACAAAAAGTGTTACCAATTGTTCATAAGCAGCAGCTCTATTTTGATAAAAAGTAGCAAGAACTTCTGTATTTTCCTTAGGACATATTTCAATTGCAAGATTGTATTGTATTATTGCTTCATCGTACTTTCCCTTTTTAAACTGTTCGTTTCCTTCATTTTTGTATTTTTGAGCTTTCTCCAATAGAGTCTACGATCATATATCCTCATTTGGTATATCAAAATTTAATGTTATAATAAAATACAAATAGTACTTTAGAATTGCTTAAGATTGTAATCCCATGTAATAACTTAACAATAAGAACTAAAGATAAATTATAGAATATATAACTTGAAAATACCTGAAAGTTGCATTATAAGTAAGGTACTACTAACGTTTTCATCATAATATAATCATAATATTTCTAACCTCAGGTTCAGATGTACTTTTTGGTGGGTAATCGATGTCAATTGAAATTTGTTTGTCAGTGGCTGGTGTGCCATTTTCCTTTGAGCTACCCTTTGATTTACCACGATTTGATTTTGAGGATGGCTTATTGTTAGTATTGTTTTTATAATACATATATCCGAGCCCTAAAGCAACCGGCGCTGCAACAGCCAAAGCGAGTTGCCATTTTGGTAGCGGGCTACTGGTCACGCTACTCGCGCCACTTGCACCCGTCATTTTTCACTAATTCTTTACTGTTTCGAAATGTTACAGGCTACCTTGATTTTACGTTCTTCTTTAAATCTCAATGGTAGGAAAACGGGCAGTGAAAACTAGTGTAAAGTCAGAAGCAAGTTATTTAGTACGCATTTCCACCACCGTCCGAACTTAGCGCTTAATCTTATCATCACCATGAGCTAAGTATATACATTTTTCCTAGAGCCTCCATTACCATTTTCTTGTCACCTCCTGCTATATTAATCGCAGCGCTTTTAGTGGTAGGAATTGCAATTAAAAATACCGATGAGCAGTTGTTATTTTAATTTTAAGATTCTAACAGGGTTTTGTAATTTTATTTTTAGATTATATTTTAAAATAATTGTTGATCCTTCTTAAAAAATGTGAAGATTATTAATGTTTATTTTACAATTTCATTCTACTTTGAGCATGTAATTCTATTATAAATATTCTGTTTTGTTTGTTAATAATAGAATGTTACTTCATTGTTTGATATTCGCGCCCTGTCTTGATGCGTGCACAAAATTTTATCTAAAAGATGGCAACGGTCTGTCAACAGAAGCGCAATTCTGTCCGTGTCAATATCTATAGTTCATTGAATTTTAAAGAGAACGTAAATTGTAAGAAATGTTATGAAAGTTATGAAACTCAGCAAATAATGCTAAGTGATTGGGAGTATTTACTGCGCTGTAGAAAAGTGTAATATATAGAAAATTTGCGATTTCACACGTCTTAAAAGGAGTGTGACGTTTACCAAAATGGCACTACAAGAAGATGAAAACACCTGGTGAGCTGCTTTTCGAATTTCAACACTGTTTGAAACGAGCCGAAGATATTTCTTCATCAAAATTGAAATTTCATTTCTTATTTTATAAGTGTTCACTATTTTAAGTATATTTTCCCATTTATCCATTGTAATACTATTTAATTATCATTTACCTCAAATACTAGAAAATATAGGATACTAAAAATAAGAAAATTTATGTACTTTCTACATATATATTTAATCTTTTCTATTTAACAAAACTGTATCATGGGTACTTTAGAAGCTAATTGATATTCTATTTAAGCTTATTAGTATGTTTACAGATGTTTGTTAAGTATTTCATAGAGGTATCGTGCATTAAATAATTGTCATATATAAATTATATTAAGGTAATCAAAAATAATGTGTAAAACTTTTTGAGAAAGCTTATAAAAAAATAATTTGTAATAATTTCTACTGTAGTGAATAAATTAAAATTAAATAATTAAATTAGGGTATTGGAGCTGGAAGCAGCTCTTCTTGATACCGAAGCACCATCAGCATCTGACATATATGCAATTTGCAAAGGACAAGCAGTTCCTACAAATTTAAGGCCAGACGTATGGCAGGCTTGCTTAGATGTTATTGATCGGGGTAATCAATTAAATCACTTCAATGAAGTTTTTGATTTACCTGAACAAAATATTATTCGTGATGATTGTCAGCAATTAGTTGGTAAATTATACTTCTTAAGTTTTGTATGTATATTAAGAGAAATTATGCATTCATGTAATTAAGAGTATAATTGTTTGTTACAGCTAAGCTAGGAAATGATGATGAAGACAAAGTTTCTGTTGTTTCTGATTTAGAGTCTATTTTAACATTTTACTGTAAAAGTAAAAGGAAGCAATATGAAAGAGGAAATGGATGGATAGAATTATTGGGTCCATTGATAGCTTTAAAACTTCCACGTAGTCCAACATATAATTTGTTTGAAGCTATAATAGACATTTATATTCCTAGGTGTGATATTTTATAATTGAAATTGTTTCATTATATTTTAAGTATGATTATTTTTTTTATGAATAATAATAATATTGTATTATATGTATTTAGAGGTGAAACATATAGTTCTGTATTAAGATTGTTACTACTTTATCATGAACCAGAATTATGTTCTTTTTTGGATACAAAAAGAGTATCTCCTGATCAGTATACAAAAGGATGGGTGACTACTTTATTTGCTGGTGTGTGTTCTTTGCCAGCTGTTTGTACAATGTGGGATCTATACTTTATGCAAGCTGATCCATTTTTTATGTTGTTTCTTTCACTCATTATGGTAATAAATGCCAGGTAAGAATTATGAAATCAATTTTTTCTATACATATACTATTCCTATTTAATTAATATCGTTTTTTTAGGGAGCAAATTTTAAGTATGAAAGATAATGACAAGCAAAGTATAATTGATGCAATTGCTGCTTTACCTTGCGCTTTGGAAGCAGAAGATGTAACAGATTTTTGTTCGTTAGCACAGTATTATGCAATGAAGACACCGTCGTCTTTCAAACACGATTTATATCCTGTTATGTTCGGTGAAAGTTTCGATGAGAAGTATATATCGCATGCACTTTGCTTACCAGTATCTGCCCAAGAATTAGTTGAAAATTCTATCGAAAGTCCGTCCGTACCTAATACCTCGGTTGAGTCTGTTAGATTTTTTTTAGTGGATTGTAGGCCTGCAGAGCAATATAATGCAGGACATCTGCCAACCGCGTTTCATTTAGATTGCAATTTGGTACGTTTCCGTTTGTTTTTCTCTATTAGTATTTACGTATTAATCTTTTGGAATGCTATTTTAGATGCTCCAAGAACCCGCTGCTTTTGCCACGGCAGTGCAAGGATTGTTGCAGGCTCAACGACAAGCACTTGCTGTTGGATCACAAGCCGGCGGAGAACATCTTTGTTTCTTAGGAAGCGGTAGACAAGAGGAAGATCGTTATACGCATATGGTAGTTGCGTCCTTTTTACAAAAGCATACGCAGTATGTTAGTATGGTTACATCGGGATATCAAGGTAAGGAAAAATTCTATTTAAAATTAGATGACTAGTAAAAAATGATATCTTCATTGTTTTAGCTATACACGAATATTTTGGCGATGAAGTTGTTTCTAGTCTTATTGATCATAATTCGCAACATTGTTTAGTGTGCAATGCTAATATATCCGAGACAAATTCAAACGAAACAAGCCCTGTCAAGGTTAAGAATAATAATTCTGATTTTCTTGGGAAGATCAAGAAAGTAAAAGGAAAGTTATTTGATTATATTGTTAATCCATCGGCAAGTGTCCATAGTAACATGGAGAATAGAAATAGCAAAGATTTAGAGTATAGTAAACGACAAAGAAAAACAGGTCCAGTATTTAGTATAGACGATGATCAAGAATTGGGTAGGTTTTTATTTCTATATTTACTATGTCTATGATTCCAAGTAAATATTTATTTCATATCATAATTGTAGATATGACAATGACGAATAATGAAAGTGAGGAACCGATTGAAGTAGTATCGATTCAACAATGGATGAAGGATCCAAAATTGTTACATTCCTTTAAATGTGAAGAAGTGAAAGTTAATGGAGATCTCTGTGATAGGTAATTATTTGAATATAAAATATAAGATTATATTTGAAGAAATGTGCTTTGTTGTGTAATATTTTGATTTATTTTTCAGTATACTTTTAGTTACTGACACTCATCTTATAGTACTTCGAGAAATACAAGAACGGAAGGGTGCAGCGCACGTAATTGTTAAACGTCCGTTAACGAGTATTGTTAAAATAACATCTAGAAAAAAATATTCAGATTTGATTACATTTAAATATGGTACCACACAGTATAATGACACAGTTATTTCAGATATGGATAAGTTTCTTATTCCTAATGCTAGCGAGGCTACTAAATTGATTACACAACAAATTTTGAAGCAATTAAAAACGTCGAATTAATGGTGGAATTTAATAGAATTGTGTACGATGGTACATGCGATATAAAGTCCAATTTATTTTAGATGATTTTTATCAAATAAATTTCAGGATTGACATTTTTTTTTAGTGTCCTTAACTAAATGGTACCACAAATGCAATATATAATATTAGCATATCTAAAAGAACATAGTCTAAAAGTTAATAGCAATTCGTACAATTTCATCACGTATCATCAGCAGCAACAATACGGCCAACATAATTTGTATTTCGATTCTAAGATTTTTGTGATTTCGTTAATTCATTATTTTCATAAATTATATTTATATTTATTCTATTTCACTTTGCACTTTTAATGTTTTTAAAGGTGTTTAACTTCCACGAAAAAGCATTTTTTGCATTTCTTTTTTGTAGTAATATTGACAGTGAACAATCGCTAATTTTGTTTTTATTTTACATATGGCTAAATGGTGGCCTTACTATAAAAATGAATAGGAGAGGTAATGGACTCTGAAAATTATTCAGTAATATGAATATGACGGAATGTAATGTGCCATGGACTAAAATATCATTTTTTCTTTTTATGTAAATATTTTCAGTAGAAATGTATCAATATTTATGAAGATCAATTATTCATTCTTGAACAGGACACTAAAAACTTTTAATCACAAATTTTAATATATTATTATATTATATTTGTATATGTTGTAATGAACTGATAATTGGTCCTAATGTAATGCAGTTTGAGAGATATTACCAGATGGTTATAATATTTGCATTTTATAGTGTATGATCTTGCACTAAATGTTTACAAAATATTTACAAAGGTACAAAATACATTAAAAAGTAAACAATATCACTTTTACAGGCATACTTATTACACTGCCTGATTATATTTCGAAGAATTTTTAAAGTTTACGATATTTCGAAAATATATTTGAAATTCATACAAAAATCTTAAATAACAAAGTATTCCTGTCATTTTATGGAGTTTATATGTGAACTAAGTGGTACAATTCTTTTTCAATTTAATAATAGAAATATATTAACGATAGCATGTTGAAATTGGTCTCATAATGAGTTCTTTGTGCACACAGTTGTACTGCCTTTTTGTAATTTTCAGACAATACAATTTGCAACAATTATTAGTTTGTGTATAGATTATAAATATTTTAACATGGTTGTAATTTCATGTGTTCTTTTAAAGGAATTATTTTTTATTTTTTAGAGTATTTTATGTTTAAAATTATAAAAAGGTAATTTAAAATATGATTAATTTTGTCAGAACCTTCAGTCTTGTAGATACTATCAGCATTGTGAATATTTGTAATAATAGTAATCTGTAACATACTTCGTTCTGTGTATAGTATAAATTTTCTATTTATGTGCTTCCATATTGAACGGCAAACTTAAATAATGAGACAGTTGTTATTTAATGAATTTTAGAATTTAAAGAGAACTATAGTGTGTTGTAAACCACTTAAATATAAATCTTCAGTTGTATGTAAATAAATTATATGTAATTCATCATGAATGAGTTTAAATAATACATATTTTCAAGAGATTGTGAAAATAAAATACAGTTATACCTCTTGATACATATTATGATGAATAACTATTTTAATATTTATTATTTAAAAATTATGAATTTTACATATGTTTTCATTTACATTTTGAATGCTGTGACGATATCGCGTTACCTAAAGTATTTATATTTATATGAACTATGAGTAATGCATTGAAGCAATGTTCAGATGTTTAAATCGCTGTTTTTTTGAAGCAAAATAACTTATTTTCATTTGTTCATAAATTAATATTTAATGCGTTGTATTACATCTGAATACTCGTTATCATGTAAACATATTATGATTAGTAGCCTCAGTTGATAACAGACGTTCCGGCAGGGAGGTTACTGTCGTGATATATATTTCACGAATGCATTGGTTTGTAACGTAATAATATTTAAAAAAGGGTTTGCGATGGGTTCCATCAACTGGGGGGAATTATTCCCGGGAAGATGGAGTCCTGTCATTTTTATTTCGTACATGGCCCTTTTTGTAAATCAAGGTACACAAATGTGGTTAAGTTTGTTATACTTGTTTTGGTATTAATTTTTTGTTTATTATATGTCCTCTTTTCATTCTAGTTTATATGCGTCATTATCAAAATACAAATTAATATTGTTAAATTGTTTTTATCACAGGTATTATTGTAACTTGGTCTCAAAGAGATGGACACTACGAATATAACATTGTTATGGTAGTATTAATGACAGAGGTGTTAAAACTGCTTGCCTCAATTATTTTGTATTGCAAAGAGTAAGTAATATTATATTATAGGCATAGAAGTAATTCAATTAACATGATCTATATACCATTAATATTTACAAATTTAATTATTGTTTCTAGCAATAGTGTCTCAAGTCTCATTCAAGAAGTAACTAGAAATAAAAAAGGTAATTGCATGTATTGATTTAGTCTTAACAGATGGTTTAGAGACTATCAATAGTTCATATCTTAATGATACGTAATGTAAACGAACTAGAAAGATAAGATAAAGATTTTGTAAAATTTGGTATAGGTTTTTAAAATTATAAAAAAAATATGTATGTGAAATAATTGTCATTCATTTTTCTATTCCAGTGTTACTTCTGTACACAATACCTTCATTTTTATATTGTCTGTACAATAATTTGGCATTTATCAACTTGGCTGCATTTGATCCAACAACTTATTATGTTTTATTGCAACTTCGTGTTGTTATGACTGGAATTATTTTCCAAGTACATATCAGAGATTTATCTTGTCACATAAAATGGAACATAACAAAATTTTTAAAGTATTATTTCTTTTAGGTCGTTTTTGATAAGAAATTGTCACTTAAGCAATGGTTTTCATTAGTATTGTTAACTATTGGATGTATGGTGAAACATTTAGAGTTGGACTTAAATGTCAATATATTTAAGGCCAAAGTTAACTTAAATAGTAATATAATTTTAATATTTGTACAGGTAAATACATTATCAATATAATTGGTAGTATATTATTTTAATTGCAATCTAACATTATCATTTGTATTTTTCAGACTATTTGTTCTTGCCTAGCTGGAGTATACAATGAATATTTACTTAAAGAACAGGGAGCAAGCATCAATATTTTTGTACAGAATGTATTTATGTATGTTGACAGTATATTTTGCAATTTTTCAGTTTTTGTATTACTTTACATTTTTGAAAATAGCACATCTAATATATTTAAAGACGCCAGTCCTAGTATACTTTTACAACCAAAGGTTATTTTAATTATGTTAAATAATACAGCAATCGGAATAATAACAAGTTTGTTTCTAAAGAATTTAAATTCAATTTTAAAAACGTTTGCTAGCGCATTAGAATTACTATTTACAGCAGTCCTGTGTTGGTTAATATTCAGTATTCCTATTCATTTAAATACTGTAGTTTCGATTGCTATGGTGAGTTATGCAGTGATATTATATTCGCAACATCCAGTACAAAATGTTAAAACGAAAGAAAGAACAAAGGCTGATAGTATAGTTTAATGAAATTAATTAAGTAAATTTCTATTATTTGATACATCTAATTGATTCTAAGAATATTTTACCTCATACAAATTTGTTACTTATGTGTTCGTCGTTTACGCTTTATATTAAACAATTTTTATAAGATAAATGTAAAATGAAAGTAATTTTTATATAGTATTATAAACTGTAACTAATTTATTTTGTGTGTAAATATTTATAGTTTACATAGAAACATATGTAATTAGTCTCAATGAAAACAAATGATTCATTTATTGTTTCTTTAATATAATCATATGCGGAAGTTTAATAAAATAACAAGAAAGTTTCTGTTTTTATAAATGATTTTAATTTTCTATTGTCAGTAGTGATATCTTTATTCGTACGTACATACATACGGGTACACCGTTAGGGTAGCAACACTTCCTGAAAATATTAACTTGTAAGTTTTGCATAAATGTGCATTCATTTATACGTTAGTTATGATATAGTTGTTTAATTAATTTTAACATTCCTTTTAGCGAGTCGAATGCAATTTTAAATTTGAAAAAAGAGTTCTTGAATCCATTAGAATTTTAATTGGCGGGAAAATCGATTCGCTAACATCGATGAAACAAGTCATACATTTCTTTTGCTAAAATTATGCGATATAAATTATTTTTGATGTTCTCGTAATTCTGTTCGTGATTATGGTCTATAGTACGTATATAAAACCATTTTTCGAGAAGTGGGGAGAGGGTGGTCGATATCACCTCGAAACCACCTTGCTTTGAGAACAGAGTGACGGCAGTCACATGTCGGCCGTCGTCACGTAATCGTCGTACCGGGTTATTGTCTCGGTGACGTGCTGTTTGTTATGAAATGTGCGTGTATAACGAAATGAAGAACTCGGCATATAATACAGTGAATAATTTCTGGAAAATTAGGATATTGGAATACGTGTTGGCAAAACTGAAAAATTTCTGTATCATTTTCATATGAAAACAACAGGTATGTCAATTGTACTCTATTATATTCACATATTATCTGTAATATCATTAGTTTAACAATAAGATTATTCTTAAAATTGAATGTCTTTTATTATGCTCATAAAATATATTCTAAATTCTACGCAAAACTTTAAGTATTGTATAGAATTATTGTAAAAAATGATTCTCTTGACAGTATTACGATTTATTCAAATGTAACGGATTTGATCACGTGACAGTTTATGACACATGATTGGCGCGATTTTAAATCGTAATTTCCTCTAAATTTCCTGTTAAGTTACTAGCATTTCTAGTTAATAATTAATTATTTATATTAAAATTAAGTATATTTAATACTAATTAATGATATTTAATGAAGAATATTTAACACTATTAATAATATCGACACTAGTTTAAAAACGATACAGATAATTCGATATATAGGTGCGAAAAAACAATACAGGTAGAAAAGTATTTATTCTTATTGCGACCTCGTGAGAGGACAACCCTTTCTTTCTCGACTTTTCAGACACACGCACGTTTTCTTTGGATTATGCAATCACCTTTCGTGTGTACTACTTTTATGCAGAGTTCGTGTCGTGAGATTCAATGATAAACTTCGCCTCGACTCTCCCTTTTTTTTTAAATGTTACTTGCAAAGCCAGATAAGAGCACGTCGAACGTAATATTTGGAAAATTATACACACTGTTTTGTCAACTATCAATTATAAAATGTTGTATAATTCGTATTATATATGAAAAGTTTAAGACATAAAAATAGGAGAATTATTTTTAAATATTCCTAGAAATAGAATCTTAAAATGTTGGTATAAAATAGATAGGTCTGTAATTAAAAAAATATAATACGTATAGTTGTTACGAGTTATTGGCTTCTGTTTCGAGGGGGGTTAAACGTTTTCCTATGCACGCTAAAGAGATCTAAATTAATATTGAAACGTGTTTCGTGACTAAGGTGGTTAATTCTGCAACCGAAACCGGAAATCAGATGCGTCGGTAGCTAACCGGTTAGTCTTAGCAATGTCAATCATTTCATACATTTCTAGGTACTGCTGCCGGAAGTAAACATAACGAAAGTCAAGATGTTATGAAATTTTAATTCATCGGAAGAAGATTCATTTAAATAAATAACGAAATTCTACGAAATATTATACTAAATAGACCTTTGAATACCTTATGTATCTTGATCGAACTACTATTTAAAGTTCGTACAATTTAAGTCGTACTTGTAACAAAGAAATTATTCAAAACCAATTGGTTCACTTTACTTAAGTGTATACTTTGAAACACGTATCTATGTAAAGGGTAACATTATAGAAAGACCGAGAAAATCTCTTTTGAACTAATCAATATTCTACTCGATTACCTTAATATTTTTTTCATAGAGAATAACAAAATGCATTCGATGAATTTTTTTTCCTATTATTTTAGGATGCAATTACAGGATCAGAAATTGGAGGAAAATAAAATTTCTATTAAATGCCAGTAATATAGTTCAAAATGATTAAGGATTTTATAGGACACCTTGGGTATTAAACAGGACGGATGTACAAGCGTTACAGCGTTACAACGTTACTCGTATCACTGTAAATATCCAACGAATCTATCAATCAGGTTTGTCCTCGCGTGACTCGATGAACGAACAGGAAGTGGAAAAACGATTCTTAAGGAAGACGATGAAGGACATACGATTCCCAAGGGACGAGACGTAGCCTGGGTATGTCCGAGTGCTTCGAGTTCTCCTCATCTATGACAGGGTCGACGAATTCGGGGCCTCTGCAGCCCCAAAAGGATTCTTCACCCCTACCTTCTTCACCCTTTCACTTTCATTCAACTCCCAAGAGTCCGTCTCGTCGTAATCATCGTCAGCGGCTTCCTCGAAAAATGACACTGACATCATCCAATGGACAACCCATACAACTTACTCCTCTATGGGAACACGTGGTTAGTATAATAATTTTCCCCGTTTTTGGCAAATTAGTATAATCACATTGGCTGACAGTTTCATCACATAAAAGTATCACGAAATACAATCATACCTGCTCGAGTTGCTTATTTCGAGGCAACGGTACATCGAATTATGTAGAATTAATTAAAGTAGTTATGCAAAGATTTTACCGTAGGTGCGTACACGAAAGTTCCCAAGCGAGGTCGACACGCGTCTAACGTTTCTGGAAATATCAGAGAGACTGCGTGATCCGGAATGGGAGGTGCGTCAGCATGCTCTTCGTGTCCTAATCGACGTGTTACCGACGTTGAATGCTGACATCGTGGACAAGGTCATGCAACCAGTGGTACCGGAACTGGTCAATAATTTGGGCCACCCCGCGCCTGCTGTTCGCAAGGGTGCTCTCGACGCTTTACGGGTTTTTCTCACTCATAATCGCGACAAAGAGAACACTATTAAAAGGGTAAGATTTTCATTGAAAAAAAAAAAAAAAACTGGATCGTTATAATATCGTCTTGACCTTTAAATTTCTTGCTGATTCTCAAAATGTTCCTCGGGCATACAAGGAAGGAAGGAAGGAAGGAAGGAAATATACGATAACCTTGCAGACTATCCCCCACTATCCGATACACTGATCGATCGTAAAACGCAATTTCATCGACCACTTGCACGTTTTCTTGCAGATTCTTCAGGATGGCTTGAACCGTTCCGAGGTGTGCGACTCTTTCCAGACGAACGTCACCACCGGAGTGATCTTGAGCGTGCCATCCTTATTGTTCCCATCGTCGAGCAGCCCATCGCCGTCTCCGCAGTTGGTGAAAGACGCAACGATAGCTTTGGCATCTCGTTTAGCTCAGGTGCCTCATCAGGAGGCTGTACTGAAGTCCTTGACTAAAATCCGTGATGCCGTTGGCACGGAAACCTTCGAGAGCTACCTGGAGGACTACGACAACAAACTGAAGAAGAACATCGAGATACTATCGAAGATCTACAACGTAAGGTCCAATAAAAGGACGCAGAAGAAAAGCATCGAGAAAGTAACTGAGAGCAAGGAACAAGACCGAAAGTGGGATAGCGATAGCGATACGTCAGGCATAGCCGAGGAAGAGGACGAAGTGAACACTGGAGCAATGTCGGCGGCTAGAAGAGTGGTGCTGGAGACTGAAATTAAATTCAACGAAGAAACAGCCATCACGATGACGATTCTTGAAGAGAAAGACGACAGTGAGAAGGAGCAGGACGAAGAGAGCGGAACGGACGTGAGAAACGACACCGAAGGAAAGAACGCGTCTCATGATAGACGGAAGACACCGAGAAGAGTACACTTTGGCGGGGAGATAGTCAAACTGAGGACTCCGGACAGCGACGAGACCGAGTCTATCGAGACGATACCAAAAACAAGAATACCAGTTCCCGTTTCACCGGCCACAAAGATGCCTAACGCGAGGCCAAGACCGTCCTCCCAGCCTTGCAGTCCTCGCAGAGAGGCTGGGAAAACGAACAGACCGTCTAGATCAGTTTCCAGCAGCCCGAAAAGAGATGTATATACTCATAACGCGGAGTTGAGTCCTAAGAAGAGCATCCTTGCGAGGACAAATAGTCCGGTATCGATGAAGAAGTCTGCGGAGCAGTCGAGAAAGAAAAAGAATACGAAGAATGGTAAACAAAATCCTGAAACGAACGAGGAACGCATCGCGATTAGTGGAAAACCTGAGGAAGCTAAAAGAGAGGATGTTATTTTAGTTCAGAATGCTCAGAGCAGCAATGATCAAAATTCGGTAATAGTTGTTAAAGAATATGAAAATAAAGATAATAACAAGGCGGAAAGGATAGAAGAGGAAGTTAGAGAAGAGAGGATTTTAGAAGACAAACGTGTGACCGTGGAGAATATTCAAAAAGTGGATTCTTTATTTGGTTCACCGATCCGATGCAACGAAACAGAACAGATTCGCGATGATGTTAACGAAGACGATAGAAGTGGTGGTAAGTTGAAAAGTTGTTTGACGACTGGTTCAAAGCACGATAACGTTGACTGTGAACGAACGTCGAGGGGTGATCGCGATAAAGCTGCGCCTAGTGTGATCGAGAAAAATGGAAATGCTGGTGGCGAAGCGGAAGTTAAATCCGAAGAACCAAGCTGGGAGGGATTAGGATTGGTCGATCAGGAAGTGTTGGAGGATTTACATAATAAGGTATAACATTTTTTTTTCTTCTTTTATTTATACCTTCAATTGTTTATTGCACGACTACTTTTTCTTAAGCTTGATTGTTCATTATTTTTATTTATTATCTAATTTATGTATTCTATGCACCAGCAATTTTTTAAAGCAACACTCATTTATTTGGTTGCAACCCCTCAATGGATTATTAAAACAATCAGTGGCTAGTAGGAAAAGTGAGTTTTGAAGAAGTTCTTGCTCGTAAAATGGAGATTTTTATCAAGACTTTAAGCGCAGTTTGCGCGAAGATTTCAATGCACAAGGGAAAGAAGGAAACGCGTACAGTCGATAAGCATAGGTAATGTTAATTAATGGAGTTTAAATCACGTTACACCACGCGACGAACTTTTGCCGACGAAATCGATTGACCCACTTCGTTGTAATGTATCAGAACGATCTGTCCTAAAGTCGAAGGCTTCCCCTCGAGTCACATTAATGAATGGATGTGAACGAAAAAAAAAAAAAGGAAAAAAAAACAGGGTGCTCGTTAACGAGCTTCAAATTCTTTGCGATTCTAATCGTACTTCATATTTTATTCCTTATCCTTTTTACAAAAAAAAATAAAAAGAAATTATCGTGAAGAAATGTAATATCGTTGATTAAGAAAATTCTAAGTAGAAGTTGCATATTGGAAATAAACCTTAGGCGAATAATCGAACAACTCAAAGTCTAATTTGAATTTTTCATACAATTTTTCCACCATATCTCGGTTCAATTGACTGAAATATATTCTCGACGCATTCGAGTACCCGCCGCTATGTCGCCATCTCGGTTTAATTACCTCTTGCAGCTGTAATTTATGGATCGTATAAATCTGGTCCCTCCACAATGTTTCTACCTATAGAACATGTCGTACGTAATGATTACGATTAACAATTAAAAACATATATTTTCTTTACAGAAACTATGGTCCATCGCCCAAAGATTAATCGAATACCTTTGCAATTATATCATAATTAACGATACAAGGTGTACAAAAGAAATAGTAAGGCATCCAATGATCGTCTCCATAGCTGGCCAAATCAGTATCAATTAAATATTGTACAAATTCTTTGAAAGTTGGCTCAATTCCCGCTGGTTCAGGTATGTCCTTTCTTCTAATCACTTGATCATCCCGAGGTTTTGTGAAATTCTTCTCTCATCAGGATCAATATTTTCTACCGTGACTTACCACGGTACTTTTCAACAATCTTGCCACCGTATTTCCGATAAAAGTGAAGTGTCCCGTGTTCCCTTCCAGCCACGGAGTTTTCCAGCTTATCGCGATACGCGCTCAACAATCTTTCAAATGGCTGCCTTACCACCAGTAGTTTCTTCGTTGCTTTTAAAGCCTGTATCAGTTTTCCTTGTTTAATCTTGTTACAGGATTAGTCGTAGCGTATTTGAATAATTCGGAAACTTTGGTAAACATAGAATTTGGTATTGCCATTTTTCACTTGAGCCCAGTTCGACCCAGTAATTATAGTTTATTAAAGGATATAGCAGGATATGATGATCAAAAGTGCCCTTGAGTCGATTTTATTCAGCAATGCACCCTAGAGTATTCTAGAATCGGCTCAAGGGCACTTTTGACCATCTTATGCTGTTCTACCCTTTCTAAATTTTCGGTTTAGAAAATTAACGAAGTTTTACCTGGTCGGCTTCTGGAAACTCTAGTTCCGGTATTAGCCTTCTGGCAATGGTCGATATCTGCTCCTTTCCACCGTTTAGTTCCTTCTCGGACACGTTCATTAGAAGACATAAGTTGTAAATCCATGTTGTACTACCAGCTTTGTAAATCGGACAGTATGATAGACCGTGATTCCTATTCAATCATCACTGTTGTTGGAGAAGCATAAAATAAAGTGATTTTTATTTATCGATTTAAACAACAAACCTGACTATATAAAAAACACTGTATTGTGGTGTAGGCGGATGTTTAAAAATAGATGATTCACCAATTTTCTTATAGATTCCTAAACTGTACTTTTGACAAGTATTTCTTATCGTCGATATTCTATTGGAATTATCATTCTCTGCTTCAATCTAAAAGTAATTGATAAGTTACTATATTTGGTTTTATAAATATATCTATTTATCTACCATCAATTTCTCTCTATCACCGAACTCGGGCAGTGGTTTACTTTCATCTCCAATAAGTAGCAATTTTATAACAAGAAAAGCTAATCCACAACTGATGATACATTTTAAAATTTGAATTGTCCCTCTTTTATAACTTCTAATCATTATTCAACACTTTATCTTTCATTCTATTGATTTTGTTTCAGAATTCACCGATAAAAAAATATATTTAACAGAAGAGCAAAGTAGATATTCGTTATTCTCTCTGGCAAGGCACTGACTGACCGGTTTCCTCCTTTATTCGGACAGTGATGGATTTAGAGTATTCTGAACCTGTAGCAAGGAACTATATTCTAAAATTTAATTTCAAATTCCAAGAAATAATCAATTATTTATACCAGAAGTTGTAGGTATAAGATTTAATATAGTTTCTGTTAAATGATTATACAACGAGAATGAAGTCCTTGAACTACTAACGAATCATTTAGAATTAGATCATAGATTGGATAAAGGTTTGTAGGAAAGAGAACTTTATGTTCTTGTTGTGAACGTTTGTTTGCGTTATCGTCTTGATTAAACTTATCTAGTCTTATCGAATAAATCCGCTCCTGGAATCGAGTCAGAGGTATTCCAGCACGAAAACTCAGAGGAGATTCCGTTGCATACTAATTCGATTAGTTGAGTAACTGGGATGTTTTTGTATAAGTCTAGATATCAGATACCTATTATTTTCAAGTTTTTAAAAATTTAATTTGTCTTTAAAAATATAGAATTCGGAATGCTTATTAAATAGGGAACTTGATAAATAGGATTTGAAAAATATAGAATTTAGCATATTTAGTTCGGTACATAATATTTTCACACCGCTCTGTACGTCAGACATCACCGATGAAAGCAGACAATAGTTTTAATGCAATTATCGATATCACAGAAAAACGTAAGTCTCGTGACCACGAAAGTATCTTCCTTTCATTCAACGGAAGTTCAAGGCTATTCTATACCTTCCTGTGAATTCAACTGTGTACCTGTATGATACATTTATGCAGTACACCTATGCACATCCACATGCTTGTGCGATAAGAATATCAGAAAAGTAAATAATACTCTTTATATCGATTCCTAATGTAGCGTAATTCTCAGCATTCCAGGAACTATTTTAAATAAGAATTTAAAAAAATTTCATCATTTTTGGCACGTGAAAACAGTTTAACTTAACAAATTTCCAATTTTCCTGTTACACTTTTTCGCTGTTTTATGCTTTAAAAAATATGCACCTTGCAGCATAATATTGTCGTTTAGTGAAGCTTGTACCTCAGGGTGATGCTTTAATTGCTCGTAATTTGTCTTGGTCACTGTTGGAATATACATATATTTGAAACACCGTCGCGTTCGGTTAGTTGGAATTTTACAGTTTGTCTGATTAAGTAGATTGATCGCATTACCAGGGGATATTTCTCTCGGGCGACGTTTGTCGTATCTTCGTGGCAGTGAAACAGCCTGTTCAAATTATGCATGCTGTTTCATTTTCCACCTGATGGTACCGCGTCCCGTCGCGGTTCGTGTATGAATATTCCGCGGGTGAAAAACGACAGATTTCCTCGCGAAACATTTATGCCGCTACGAGGGAAATTCTCTGGTTCGCCGGCTAACAAGAAAATAATTAGGAACGTGTTGCGTGTAAAACGTCGTTTCTCTCTACATGCAAATTGCTCCTGGCAATTGTACTGTACTTCCACTTTGCTGGAACTTTCACGTGGCATCCTCGAATTCTTTATGATATCCAGAATTTGCGTTTTCATTTCCGTGCTTCGTGTAATTATAAGATACCACGAAGAGAAACGTGAATCTTTTAGGAAATACATGGATTTTTAAAGCTTAAACTGTAAAGAAAATAACTGCATAAAGGTTTCATGGATATCATTGATACAGAATGATTGATCTTTTATTGAAAAATGAATGTTTCCCTCGATAAACTTTTCAAGACACCTACGTGCTATGTATACCTATATACCGTTAAGTTCAATGGAATTATGAAAGTCAATGATATTGATTACTTCCGTGTAAATAAAGCCGAATCGAAAAGTGAATGCAGATGTTACCTAGTGCATTGCATTCAGAGTTGGTGCAACGATCGATAATGTTCACTGGACGACTCTTGATTCTTGACCAAACGGCATTACTAAATGATACTTTCTCTATGAAATTTCTATCAATTATTAATAACATTTTTCATTCCTCGATGATACACCGAACACAGGATAATCTATAAAAGTTGCAGAAATTCCAAGCATAGAAAATAGATAAAAGATGATTATTAATTAATTGTAATTTGATATCGTTTCAGGAGGACTGGAGAGCTCGTGTTAGGGGTTTAGAGAGAGTAGCATCGGCTTTGCGAACGTCTTCTGCACTGATCGCGATAGAGCCACGATTAGGATCTCTTTTGCATGCAGTGCTAGGCTGCGAAAGGAGCTGTCGAGTAGCGGCTGCGGGTTTAGCGGTGGCTAAGGTAAATCTAATTTGCGCCATTAGATCAATCCTGAGCGATACCATTATTTTAATTAACGTATAGAATGTTCTATAATAATCAATACAAATGATAAACAATATGAAAGTTAAGAAATCTTAAATAAAAAATTGTCACTCTTTATGGAAATTTTATGGATATTTCCTATTAAGATTTACAGTCTTTTGATTTCAACTGATAAAAATTATTTTCTCTATTTAGGTAGTCGTAGCTGGTGTAAGCGAGGAGGCTTTGAAGAAACAGTTACCGCAGTTAGCTTGGGGTTTGGCAAGACACGGAGGACCCAGTGCGACCCAGTTGGCCAGGATAACGATGCTCAGGCTAAGACCTGCTCTTCTTCTGGAACAACTTCTGCAACCGCAGTGTTTAAATGCTAGAAATGCCAAAGTGATTTTTCTTTTTCTTTTTAATTTAGAGGTAATTCTCTTTGGCAAAGTTTTCATTTTAGATGGATTTTGGTTTTGTTGCAGACTAGAGAAAATACACTGCAGCTGTTAATTTTTTCATTGGTAACGTTTCCAAGTACAGAATTCAAAGCGGATATTATAGCCAATAAAGTGGCTAAAATGGTTAGAGATAGACGACGTAGGGTGCGACAAGCTGCACTTGACACTTTGGCTGTTTTAGCACAGATATATGAATCTGAGGTATATCGTGTTTCTTATCTAACGTGTTCTAGTGTCTAACGTAAATTGGATCTTTGTTTTTTTTTTAGGAAGTATTAGCAGCAGGAAAACGAGCATCGGAAGGTTATCACGATGCAGAGGCAATGATGTCTGCAATCAGGGCTCGTCTAGCTCGTAAATCCTTACCCTTAGTCTCTGTTGATGGTCTCGTTATGTACGGTTTACAAATTTCACCTACCGTGCAAATAGCTACAGGTAAATTCATTGCTCCTAAATTTTTATTCACTGTTTCATATTTAAGTATATTTGTGCAGGACCTGATGTCGATTGGATTGTAGCTGGAAGTGGTTCGGTTTCGCCCAGCATTGGACGTACCAAAAGCCAAATTATAGCTACGAGGTCCGAGAAAGAAAGATTTGCAAGGTAGTTACTAGAAAGTCAGATTCATCAAACCAGCGATTACATACAAATAGTGGGTACTTAATAATCTTTACAGGAATGAAAATGCTAATTGTGAAAGCCCATGGATCGAAAGACCAAACTTCGTTGCACTTGGAGTTGGAATGCGTTCTAAAACAGACCCGCCATTGGTTTGGCAAATGGTTCCAACTCAAAATCAGGTAAAAATAATCCTTTGAAGTTGGAGGGTTCCTCTATGCAGATGTGTAAAAAAAAATTACCGAATTACTAAATACTGCATTTCTCTTGGTATACTTTACAATTATTCCTTTATACCGAATGTAATGTAATCAGGCCACTGCAGTTACGTTAAATATAATTCGTTAATTGTATATGTAATACGTATTGTTGCGCTGAATGCGACTGTAGTTATTAACAATTTTAATGAACTCATTAATAAAACATAAGCGTAAAAGCTTGCATTGACGTTTGATCGCGTGTCGCGAAATCAACGTTTACTTACAAAATGTAATCGCATTATATCAGGGCCCTAGTTAAGTTGCAAATCATGGTTGTATGTTCTTACAAATTGTATATTTACACAATGTAAATTCTGATGTTGCGTAGAAAAATATGTAGTTTCAACGTTTAATGGTTTGCAATTATTGACTTTATATCGATGATAAATCGTTTCAAGTCACTCGTTGATGGATTCAAGACAGTAGATTAACAACATTCGGATCGCTTTTTTACCGCTTTGCCGGATAAACGGTATGAGAAAATTTCTTTTCAGTTTTACATTATTTTTTATTGTTTATAAAGAATTCAATTTTGTATTGATTATAATTCATTGAAATTATGTATCATTCATGTTTCATCCATTTGTTAGAAACACTTAAGGTTAGCACATGATTATTTATTATTTTTTTATTGTAATAATAATTGTGAAATTTTATGTATCTTTTTACTTAGAATCTTGGATGCGAAGATGAAGTGAACTTATTGGAAACCAAAGGCGCAACTACAAATATCCGTAATGGTAATTATTATGTAAATATTGCTCTTTTAATAACAGTACAATTAACGATAATAAATATTAAGTATTAGGTACTTTTGTTTAAGGTGAAGCTTTCAATTTGGATATAAAATCGAGAAATCAAACAAGAATTCCAGAATACCCGAGAGAATCCGCCAATTATCGTATCATCGTAGAAGATAAATTTGATCGGAGGGTAAATTTCACGAAATTTCATGGTTTCTATTTAAAAAAATTCTTATAAAGTTTTGTATCTTAGGATAACGGTAACAAAACAGAATCAAGAATACCTGTATTGTATATTCGCGATCGTGGGGCAAAAATTGATTACAATCAGGATAAATCAATTAATTCTCAATTAATAAATCCTAATTCGAAAAGAAGATTCAGAGATAATATAGAAGAAAATTTTAGGTATCAACTTTTTATTTTTATTATTCAATAAGATTTAATTGTACGGAAGTAATTGAAAAGGAATAATGAAATGTTAACAGAAATTGTGAGGCAATGTATTATCGAAGAAGAAAAAATCAACAAGATTATGATAATTATCGTTCGATGAAGAATAACGCTAGCGCAGAATACAGTGTAAACTTTTATCTATCAAACGCAAAATCTGTACGATTAAGTTATATGCAATAATTAATCGTTAATATTGCAGGATGTTGCGGACAATTCGAATCAAGAATTATCGAATGTTAATTCTAGAATGTACCCAAAATATACAGAAAGGGACAATCTATCAAAAAAATCTGATAGATCTAAGTGTAGTTGTTCGAGTTCCATTGAAAGTCATCAACCTTCGTTATCGAAAAATGTTCAACAATCATTCATAATGCATAATATGTAAGTGTAACTTGATTACACGTATAAAATTATTTAATTAAATGATTGTTATTTAATTGTTTCAGGTATAACGCGGTTTCACACCGAGAGAACCGATTTGGTGATGAGAATTCTTTTCGACCATTGCAAACGGCTCCTACGCCATTAACATATCCTTATAATACTGCGGATTTTAATCAAAGAACTGATGAAAATAATGATAGTAATTTGTCTCGAGTAAGTAGGGCTGATTGCTATATCATGCGTCGAATCCATCATACATATTATTAGGAATTTTCTGATTTATCCAACATTTCTTACAAACTTTAATCATTTTGTAATTGTATTGCATTATAGCCAAAATTTCATCGTAGAACGAAAGATGCAGCTGCTCAAAAAATTACTAATGTTGAAGTATCATCATCAGATGCTCAGACTAGTGAATATTTCCCTGCAATATGTAGCGGTACCCCGTGTAGAAGAAGATTACGTTCTCTGTCTCCATCGCAGTTGTACCATCGTCAGCAATTTGTTAAAATATACGATACGTAAGTAATCCATTTTCATTTTTAAAATAGTTACAGTAAGAATTATTGCAAATATTAAACCAGAGTAATGATAATAAATAGTAGAATTTCTACGGGTTCCTTTTTCTATCTGAAGGTAGTGACGCAATTTTATGGAGGCATTATCGCCCCTGTAAGTCATTTTATTTTATTTTCTTTTTTTCAACAATCCTGCTTATTTCGATGCATGTTACAAAATGTATCGTGACAATTTTTACAGCTTTCTAACTACATGTAGTTCTAGGAAGGTGACAAACATAGGGTACGACAATTTTTTCTGAGAATGTAACTCTCTAAACCAACATTATATGGGTAGCATTGAAACCATTATATTGTATTTACTTGATCGATTTCTTCAGACGTTAAATGAAACATGACTCGTAGTTTTATCCTTTAAATCAACTTGAAATTGAAATTTTATTTTTAACTTGTTATCTAGGACACGTTAAAAAAGCACTCTTACTTTTGTACTGATAATTTAAATCATTAAAATTATATACAGTTTTATTTAAAGAACAATTATAAAGTAAGAAATCTGTTGAGAAACGCTTGATCTCGTTTTTCTTTCCTGTGATTTATGATTGTTGCGTGAGAGGTAATGTTAGAACTGGACTCGTAATTATATTTCGTCGTGATTTAAATAACTCATTGTAAAGCCCTATCTAAGCGGTAATTTAAATTCATTATAAAGCTCGTCGAAAAATTCTTACGAGCATTGTATCGCAATTCGAAGTCCTAATAACCGATACTCTAAAATTGATTGCGCATTTACATATTTTATTTATAAACTGTATAATTTTTAAAATTGAAATTTCTATAAAATATTAAGTGTCCATGATAGAAAATCGATACAAATAGAAAATAACAAATGAACTTAAGAAAAGGTGAAAAGTGATGACGTTATAACCGGTCATTTTCACCCCCTGATACTTATATCCACATAGGTCTTACAGCCCCTTGACAAAGAAGGGGTCGAGCTACGGTCAGTGTAAAGCCATTCGATATGGTATCACGGGGTTACAGGTGAAATGGTAGAAGGGAAAAGAGAGAAAAGGAAGGAGGGGATTACAGGTTGAAAGGTAGGGGCAGCGGTCAGCGTCGGGACGCTTGACGTCTATGTGGGCACACAGTCGTGCGTATGCGTCGTCATTTGTCGCATCCTTTACAATTACCCCCCTCTATATTTCTTTTTTAATTTAGCAAGAAAGTGACCAAAAATTTTCCATACATTTTCAAATTAAAGTGTATAGCTGTGCTATAGTGACATTGTGGAAAATAAATTTTATGGTGTGATTTAAAGTATCAGGTCATTTTATATAAAAAATGTGTCTTATTTATATTGTAATTTTTTGTTAATATTTTTTAACGTTAAAGACAATTGAACATATTAAACTGATGGATTTTAATCTTTTTCTAGATTATGGGGGGTGTAACACCCTCTAATATTTAAATTAGGTATTTTCTAATACCTGTTGAATAAAATTTTATTGCAATTTATATTAAAAATCTTAATTACAGATTTTGTATTATAACAATGTTAGAACTTTGTATTTTTCTTTTTTGAATTTTTTATTTGAATTTGAACTTGCAGTGTTGAGTGTAGTCGGTTTGATAACAGGTTGTTAATCAATCATTCCTTAACCTTAGGAAGATAAACTCGAAGTGCTGTGAATTAGAATTGCATATCGTTTAGTCACGTGAAATTTACTGCCTCCAAGTTTCTTGAAATTTACAAAATCTCTTGAACCGACAAATTTTCTACATTGCTATCAGTTTCAAACTATTCTTCACATTGTTTTCTAGTTGAAATTAAATTCGAAGAGCTATTACTCCGTTTATTGATTAGAAATTACAACTTGGAGTTGCATAATTTATGTGTAACGCTATTTTCACAACGGACTAATAATAGTTAAAGCAACTATTGGAATCAATAGTAAATCGCTTTACAAAACGTTTCTTCAACTTCTCTAGCGTTCGAAATAAAAAAAAAGAAGAATTAGAAAAAAGTGAAATTAAATTAATCTTTTTCATTATTAATTTCTCTACAATTAAAAAAATATGGTGTCTTCGAAGCAACAAAATTATTAAACAATTTCTTAAATCCTTGTTATCCTGTGAAAAGTGAAGAATGAAAGGAAGAAACGGTATAAAAATTATTTACAAAAAATGTGCGATAAAGATAAGAACTTTTGACTGTGATCGATGAACAAGAACATATGAAAATGATCTTCAAGTACTGCACTTGGCCTGAAGAGGCCAAGGAGAGCGACAAGGTGACGGTCTTGAAAAACTCTGATTCAAATTCGATCGGAAGGGATGAAAATTTTCATTCAAGAAGAAAAGAATACAAGATAACCAATACAGTTCTTCGATACTGTCCTTGTGCTTTTCGATGTCGAAGATCCGTGGATGTTGAAACGGAAGAGGTGGATTCCGCTTTTAGGATAACCACCGCTAGTAATATTACTCCTGTCATTCCTTTGGGGCTAAATCGAAGCGATGACACTATGTAGGTTTTTTTAAATTTCTAATACAACACATGGGATTTATTAACTATAGTAATGTAGCGAATACCAATAGAAATTATATAAAATACTTTCTTTACACTTTGTGTCCTCGACATTCGAGTATAAAAAGAAAGAAGTATAAAGTGCAAAATTTGACATTGAATTCTTTCATTAAATATTGTTTATTCGTTGTTTCAGAGATAAAACGGTGAACGAAGAAGAGTACAATGAAAAGAATAAACAGCACTTTTTATCGGAAGAAAATTATAGAGTGGCGCAGATGAATGTTGAAACCCAATTCGAAGGTAGTTAATAAATCACTATAAAATAACTGCTTGCTACAAAAACAAATTAAGAATATTATCTCTTTTCTTTTTTTCTCATGTTTGCTCTAGTATATCACAATATTTTGTCCATAGAAATTATTACCCCCCAATCGATTTTCCGAAGGCCAGATCGTTATTGAATTAAATTTAGTACCTATAGAAAACTGTTGGACACGTTTCAATGGAATTTCGATGGTTAACAAACGATAAATCAACCTGTGGGACTAGCTGGAACGATCGAATGTACACGAACTGGAACGCGAGGTTCTTCACCTCAGACTAACATGTAAAGCCAACACGATGGGGATGTAATCAATATTTTCTCGTCACGTTTAAGCCTCGTTTAAACGAGCATTTTTTTCCGTATCAAAAATCGTCGCCAGTTATCTCAGGGTCCTCTATTCTAATATCATTTTACAAAATGTTTCACACAATTTTTCAATCATTCGTTATATATCAATGTATTTATTAGATCTGGTTTACCCAAATCCGTACTAGAGTTAAAATTTTTCTATCTTTTTTTTTTATTTTTAAGTTCAAAGGAATGAAAAGATGCGTCACGAGATACGCATGCAACAGCAATAAATGAACAGACCCTGAAGTATTGTAATCTAGATCGAAATCCTTCGTGATGTTCAACATAAAAAATTGATCGTTTACTCGAACATTTATATACGTGATAAATCACGGCTTTTTTTTCCACTGCCATATCGTGTAATAATTGTTTATATTATTTCGTTTTTACTGCTCACCTGGAAGATACTTATCAAACATTGATTTTCTGTTCGTACGAATAAATCATCAAAACTAAACATTAAAAAAGCGTTTAGTTCACTTTCGTTGAGTAAACAAGAGCAAACGTAGAGAAAAGAAAGAATGAAAGGATTTAGATGAATAATTTGATTGGTATTTTTCTAGGGGATGATTACGAACATTCGTCGTCGGATGCGTTAGATAATAATCAAGAGGATATTGAGCAGGATGTGCAAGACACACAAGAGGATACCGATAACGGGTCATCCAGTTCTGATAGACAAAATGCGGAGAGTGCGTTTGATATCATCACTGGTCAATCTTCCCCCGCGAGGGATACCGTTGACTTTGTTGTAAATAAAGATATAAATAGTTATTTAATTTATATTCTGCATACTTGATCTAATACCCAATCGCGTTCGTAGATCACGTTGGACCAAAATACCGAAACTACAGACGAAGTAATAATCACATCGAACGAGGACGAACCATCAAAAGAATGGAGCAGCGACGAGGAAGAAACTTTACAGAACAAAAAACAAACTTCGTCTAGACAATTAGAGTTCCACGATGATGATCAGAATGAAAGCCAACTCAGTTCTTCCGATGAAGCTGAAAGAACGAATATCAAAAGAAGATCCATAGTGTCTGTTTTATCGAGTGAACGAATATTAGCAAACGAGAGCTTGCAAACGTCTAATGAAATCTTGCATTCGAACTTTCAAAATGTGGGGGCATCGCCTTTGAGAAGCTCAGCCAGCCCTAAGAAATCGAGTCGATCGTCGAGTCGGAATTCGAATGATTTTGAAGCGTTGAAATCACCGGGACGTGGTTCTTGCAGCAGTTCGCGTAAATTGGTTAGTCAAAAATGGGGCGAGGTCGTTATATTATTTTTTACAGTTATTTAAAATGTTTCTTTTTAACAGAGCTTTGAATTAGAGGACAAGAATTTCGTAGACTCGGGTGAAGAAAAAGTGGTTGCTTCTGAAATGCAGTGCGAAAAAGATTCCTATCAAACGATAGAATCGGGTCAGTCTCGCAGAGGATCTAAAACAGGAGAATCACCAACGATCATTATTGCCTCCAGACCTCATTCTTCCACGGACGTTTCTAATTACTCTGAAAACCATGTAGAAACCACTGTTCAAATAGCAGAAAATAATAATAATCCTCTCAGGGTAAATAATTATAAAATGAACCAAAGTTCTTTATATTCTTCCTGTATTGTATCATCAATTGAAATGTTCTGTTTCAGTTTGTTAATGAATCTAATGAAAATAATAATTTAGAATATGGACAAAGTAAAGACAGTTCTAGCGAAACGAATACAGAACCGGGAATCTTAAAAATTGAGGTAACATCGCGGTTGCGAATAAGGAGTCGTTCATTTTCTTGATTCTTAAAATGTTGATAAGTACAGTTAATTTTACTTTATTCAGACTCAACCCGTGGAATCTATTAATTTGTCCAAAAGACTCCCATCGAAAGTTCCTCGCGCCACAGGAAGATATAGAGGTATATCGAGCAAAAGAAACTCGGATAAACCAGAAAAAACAAAACCCATAGTACAACAGTGTTTCGCTCATCTCGAGAGTAAAGACTGGTAAATAAAGTCTGAAATTGTAAGCAGAAATACAATCTAACATTAAAAACGAACCTTTTATTATTGTTTCAGGGAGATCACCATGAAAGGTTTGAAAACTTTGTCTCAGCTCGCAAAGCAACAACCTGAATATTTGGATGTATGTGCAACAGCGACGATATGTCGACTTTTAGGCCGACAAATAAAAAGTCTTCGATCACAGGTCGCACGAACCGCGTGTTTGGCAGCTGGTGACATTTTTAGCTCGTCGATTCGTGGTATAGATCAGGTGAAAGATCCTAAAGTTCTCTATTTCTTTTGCTATGGAGACTTTGCAAAATAAAAGACTTACTTTCGTTTCTTCTTTCTACTTATTATTCGTGTTTTTAATAGGATTTTGAAGACATAGCCGAGCCACTGCTTCACAGAACAGCCGATACAAATCGGTTTCTTCGCGCGGACAGTAATGCAGCTTTGGATCTCATGATCGAACATCTTCCTCCTCACAAAACTATCGCTGTAATCGTGCAACGCGGTGCAAGGTAAATTGTTGATTGAAATATCAAAAAGTTCCCTGTAATACGTTCAGTCTTATTGTTCAGCCATCAAAATGCTATTGTAAGAGCTGCAACGGCTAGATTACTGGCATCCATAGTGGATCGAATAGGACCCGAACACACGATGATTTTGCCAAAAGATGTGAAAGATAAACTGCTTAGTACAGGTGCCAGGTTACTGATCGATGGGAATCTGGATGCTAGGTAAAATGACAATCTTGTTAATTTTTTGAAAATTTTCTAGATGGGAAGACTGATGGATTCCATGGACATTATGACAACATAATTAGATATATTAACTTCACAGGAACCATGCGAAGAAGATGTTCCGACGGATCATGGGTTGCGAGGGATTTCGAAAAGCGTTAACAGACGCGGTACCGGAAACCACCTTAAGACACATCGACAAAACCTTGAAAACTCTTTAATGGTTCTATTAAACATAATCATATAATATCTTGCATACGTGTCTCTTTGGCAGCTGGATTTTATCCATCCAACAAGACTGTGAAAAAAACAAATTGTTTATTCGAATTCAGTGGCGTGTTTTGATAATGATTTTCGTGGAAAGCATGAAACCGCGTTTTCTTCCCTGAGTCTAATAGTATGTTCAGCCGTGAAAGAGGAAAAGAAGCATGATTGATACACGACTGACGATGTTCTTCAACATTTCACATTTTGATACTCTGATGTACGTCCGTACATTTCATTTTTTATACGATTGTATAGACGGCACACTCGTATTGCAACGAGAGAAGTTTATTTACATAAAGTGGATTTTTACAATTTTTTTATTTTTCATAATCCATATGTTACATCTTAATGGGACTCTTGATTTCAAATTGTTAAGATACAGTGAGATTTGTAATGACATTTCTACTCGACCAAATTATTCCAATTTTTATAGATAAGAAATTCACAGTATGTAAATAATTCTTGTTCCACTTCGTAAGCAATGCTTCAGATGATTATCTGTTACACGTCAATCTCGTTTTGATATCATTTTAAGCCAGCATTGATTGCTTTTGATGACGCTTGTACTTGAAATTTTAGTGCCTTATAAGATTGAAAGAGTTTATCACAAAAAAAAGATTTATCTAAAATTGTTTTTAATAAACCAGTGTAAATGATTGTGAGAGTTCGATATTAATGATTTGAATGATGCTCAAATTGTTAGTCGAAAGGCCGAATATTACAAATTCTATGATAAGACAGAGTCAATCGCATAAAGTATAAATTAAAAAAAAAATCATGGATACTTTCTCATTAATATACATAACATATTAATACGAATAAAATGTGATATATATACGTAATGAAACGGTATTAAGTTTTACTGAAGGATAGCTTTCTAAGTTACTAATAAATTACAAATTTATAATGTTGTAATGACAAAACTTTTACTCTTCTTTTCACTTCACCAACTCTTCAACAGGGAGTTGCAGGAAGAAAGTTATAACTAAATTTCATTGAAGAAAGGAATATCATTGCTGATGGCAATGATTCCATTTCGAATCGCTGACTGTTAATCATCCTATTAACTTATATTTGTTATTAATCTTATTTGTTAACGATCTCCAATTATTAGTATTATACAATTTCGAGGAAATCAATGTAAATACATAAATTAATATGTACAAAATCAACCAAACAATATGGAGCTCTCTAATCGAAGTGAAAGAATTCAATTCATTGTTCCGTCCATTGTTATAGTGCAATAAATCACTTACGATATTTGTATTTATATATTTAATTATACACGCGTCGTGCATATGTGTATACTTATTTATCTCGACGAAATATATACACATTATTGAGTAATATAATTAACGATGTTATATGCGATTTATTTCGTTGTTATTCTGTTTTATTTCGATGAAACAATCGAATCTGGATAATCTTGATGTTGCTAATGAGAAAACCAGAATTTTACTGAGAAATGGAAAAAGAGCAAAACTTATCTGAAGGAAAAAATATCGAAATAACAATAGACACCATTCAAAATGTTGTAAGTGTTAGATTAATATAATTATTGTAATTGCAAAAATTAATGATGAATTTTCTAAATAATACAGATCAAGAAGACGAATGTGTCAGTATCATTTATAGTGGAGCATAATGGTACCATCCTAGGAAACAGTGGTCCTACGTTCATTTCAGCAAATTGCGAGGATGTGGTTTATGGGGTTGAATTCGTCGTTTCTTTGCCAGTTTCTACAAAAGACAAACAGAATCTTAATTCAATTGTGTCTACTCCAGTATTGAGTAACAGCTTATTTTTACTTATTCACATAGTTGTATCATTTCTATATTCTATATCTATAATACTATTTGCAGTAAAAGCTATGCAAAATGTGGAAAGTGAACATGATGAAAAGTCCATTGGTTCAGAGAAAGGCACTAAAAAAAAGTCTGTGTTCACCTCGAAATCTATATCCACTGGTGGATCAGCAATGTTAGGAATTTGTAATTTTGATTTACTACCAATAATATTAGGTAATTAATTAATTTTAACAATTTCTTTTATTATACATATTTTTCCTAATTTTTCTTCTTTTATTGTTATACAGGAGAGAAATGTTATACAGAGAAGCTGATACTAGAAACCCCGAAATTTTTCATGGATGAAGCATTAGTTTCTTGGCAGAATCTTCCACTTTTGACGGTGACTGCTTCACAGAACAACGTACCATTTTTTCAGCCAGAGGAAAGCGTGAATTTTTTAAACATTACCGTTGAAAGTATATACAATCTCCCGCAAACATTCACGGAGAATTTACAGTATAAAGTTGGTACAATAGCGTACATCGATAACGAGATTCCTGAGAACATCATTTTCGAAAATGGATTATGGACAAAGTTTCGTGACGTCGAGAGGACAAAACGATGGAATAGCTTAAGATTTCTGGAAAATCGAGCTCAACTGTCGAAATACAAACTAGATTGCGACTTTATGGGAGTTAAGAATGAATTTAAAAAATGGTTTAATCTAACGGTACGGGTAAACATAATGTTAAACGTTACTTGTTTGTAATTAATATTTTTGTTTTTATTTCAGGATAAGGTATACGAGGATCTACCACGAATAGAATGGAATTCTTTAGAGCGATTTATCACATGGACAACGGGAATTGAAGCTATGAAGAATCATATTATAAAGTAAAGAAACATTTCCAAAGGACTCTTACAAAATGCTAATACAACTTAATGTTAATTTATAGGTACAGATATTGGCCTTTTCAAATCATGATCACTGAAAAGGGTGTTCCATCTAAATTATCAATGTTACTGTATCAATGTTACATTGATTTATCGGAACTTCTTTTCTCAGGAAGTAAATTATACCACTCGACAGAAAAAATCTATAAATTTTTATCACAGAAGAAATTATATTTTCACAGGGAAAAGTTGCCGAGTCGTAGGGCAATTATATTCCTATAATCCGACGGATATATCCGAAAAGGTAGGACTTGAGAAGAATATTTTCGATTTGGAGAAAGGACCAAAGGAATCGAAAGAAAGAGAGAAAAAAAGCAAAGCGTCAAAGGTGATTGATGATTAATCACAGTTTTGAAGCAAATATATTGTATTTGAACGTGTTAAATTTAGCATTCACCCTCGGAAACGGCGGAAACAGTGTTCGAACCAAGCGTGGAATTAATTTCAGAAAATGCTGAACCAACAGTAATAGTGATTGAAGTTGAACTTTATAAACCTTTATTTGTTTCCACTGTCATAGAAGATTTTACAAGGTTACATATATAGTTAAACTATATATTTATATGCAGTTTGTAAAGAAGAATGATCCATTACAGAATATATGACATGATTTCCAAACCGGAAAAGAAGACACGTTATGTATACACTAGCGAGCTAGCAGAGAAACAATTCATGAATTGCATCCAAAAATTGACTGAATATATAACCGAGTGTTATCGAGTACGATGATCCAAATAACGTTATACTTAAATTATGAATATCTAATTTGATGGTTTCTTTTCTTTAAGCTAGGATTTTCGTGAAGAAAACGAGCAAAGCGAGGAAAGCAAAGAAAAATATTGCTTTAATCCCAGTGAAGTAATACATTATAAAACCAAGATAATTTAATTATTGTTGTTTCATTTTAAATGAAATTTTAGGACGAATTAACGTGTTTCACTCAACACCTTTATAAAACTGGACAATATTTGGCTATACGTAACACGTTAAGATCAAAGGTTCCTCTATTGCTGGATCAAAAATTTAATATGCCTAGAAACTTCGTGGATTCCAATGAAACTCAAGTACTTCATTTCTTGTTCATACTAAAATCTGCCACCCTTATATTGATTTAATTCATTTACAGAATTTTATCGCGTCGATATACTCCTATTTGGTGGAGCAAATGCACATAGCGTTGAATAAAATTGTGGAAAACCGATTCACGGATGACTTGGATCACTCTGTAGATTCAAAGCTAATGTATTTTTATGCTGAAGAGGCTTATGAACTTGGAGAACTTGACAGAGCTAGATATTATTACACAACGGTGAACTTTATCAACCCTTTGAACTTCACTATTATACTGAAAAATACTTTTACAGGTAATAGCGTCGAATAAATCTGATCCTCACTCATGGACAAAATATGCAATGTTTTTAAAAAAAATTGGTGACGTAGAACGCGCTAAAGAATGTTGTTTAGAAGCAATTTCATTAGATAGACATCATCCTATCGGGTAAGCGAGGCAGATCTAATTCTTTTTTTAAACATAAATTCTGATAAATTTTATATAAAAATCGTAGATTGTTAATGTACGCGCTGCTGTTGTTTGAAAATAGAGAATACAAAGAAGCAGAAACTTTTCTAAGAGCTCTCACTAACTTTTACCCACGATTTTTTGAATGCTGGGCTAGTTTGTACATTTTTTATATACGAACTGAATATTATCCAGGTAAGAAGACTCTTGGATGGTGATGATCGATGATCATTCTTGTATAATGTTCCACCCTAGGAATAGATCTAACACTTCGGATAGCAGAGAAATGTATTAAAGACAAGACTAAGCAAATAATACTTGATCAGGAATCACTTTCATGGACGATGGTTCATTGTCCTCAGGATAATGTGTGCATATTGATAGCAACATTTTTATTAAAACTTCATTTTTGTGAGGTAAAACATTTTTAAAACAATGTTAAATCAACAGCTAAGACTTTAATAGCTTCCCTTATTTATAGCTATGAAAATATTAATTTTCAAATACATAGTTTTGTATATTTTGATGGTCTTCAGTTTGCAGGAATTGCATTAGCACAGGCAATGTCAAATTCCAATCAATCAACTAGTGTTTTATACTACATAGCAGTGGAACATTATTTATCTGGTAGATTTGAAGATGCATTGTCCCATTTAAAGGAAGCTGAATGCAATTATGGAATAGTGTGTATCTTTACATTACTAGTTTTCTAGCTTTATTAATTCCTTACATTTGTTTATTTAGGATTTTTCAATCAGTAGCTTGATGGGTCATTGTTACCTAAAACTGGGTGAGGACGAAAAAGCTGTAGAATATTATGACTTTGCTTGTATGTTATTTGACAGACCTAGGATGGCTCATTTAGTGGAAATCAGGTAACATCATTTCATGATACTTGTGACTTAAATCTACATGTTTTCCTATGCGTAAAAATATTTTTACTTGTGTCGTTTTCTAATTCTATTTTAGGCATTAATCATTACAATGTGCAATCTTTGTTATTAGACTAGGATATCATCATTATAATGTCAATGAATTTGACCGTGCTAAAAGATTATTTCTAAATACATGTAAAACCTCACCAACCTTGCATACTTGGCTAGGGGTCGGTATGAGTTGTTACGAAGTAAAAAAAAAATTTCTTCTTTTATAAGATATATACGATGCGTCATATGTTGTACTCTTGTAATTACATCTGTTTTAGCTTGGCCATTTTGAAGAAGCGGAAATGGCTCTGATGGAAGCCAATATAATTGATAATCGTAATGCGGACACATGGGGTTATTTATGCTTATTAAATATGACACTTGAAAGGTACGACGAGTTTTCTCAATGTTACGCAGAAA